AACCCAGGATTTTACAGTATTTTTTCTTTAAAATACCAATAACAGCAACATACAGTTTACATAATATGTTGATGTTCCAAAATTAATATCATTTATGACCTTTATGACCTTCGTTATGCTCTTAGTTAATGTCTTAGCCGGAACACATCATTATATCTCATTTTGTATTTCTTTAAAAAAAAATAATACAAATCTTTTGCCCATCCTAACAGTATTGTTGTTATTGTTTTTATCCTGTAAAGTGCTTTGAGGAGCCACCTTTAAAGGCGCCATATACAATAAAGTTCATTATTATTACTATTGTTAATTTGCTGGACAGAGAGGTGAACATTATTAGGCAGAAGACAAAGATAGTGATTTACGTTGCATTGTGCATTGTGCTGCTGTAATACAGTTTTAAATAATTAAAAGTCTAAACAGTATCAGCTTTATTTATGGGTTTTAAATAAAGGCGATTTAAATGCGATTTAAATCAATATAAATGTTTATATTGGAAAGCATAGGTGATTCATTGTTATTAAAATGACTTAAATTCGATCATGTTGTGATATTTAGAAATATTTTTTAAAAAGTCATGGCTTCGGCTGGATTCAAACATGCAACGTGTGATGTAGGAGTCAGGAACCTAACCCACAGCTCCACCAGCAAGGTCATATGAGGAGTGTTGAAAAAGACATCGTACAGCGTGTACTATTCTTGTGTTGCGGTACATGAATATAATTATATCGTTATTAATTTCTCTAGATACGTGATTCCATATTATATTCCCTTTTAATCAAATTCTTAAAGTATGCTTGTTGACTCCGGTATCACATTAGTTAAAGACTTCGATGCTTAAAATGTTTAATGAGAAATGGAATACTGGTGTGTATTTTTCTTTAAAGTTCTGAAACCAGCCATATACTGTATGTTTATGTTCCAAAATTAATATTGTTTCTGGCCTTCACACGCGTTACAGTATGCTCCTATTTTTTTTATGCTCAGCTACTAAGATTTCCCTTCAGTGGTAAAATTCCATATAAATATTCAATACTAAAACGGGCACAGTAAAGACATTTAAATCTTTCTACGACTGACCAACGGACCACGAGCGCCCCTGTCGGTCAACCAATCATGTACCGCAGTATTATGCGCGAGGCCGTAGCCAATAACCTCCGGTACGTGTCTGTACCGCGCACTTTGAATGGCTACATCTGTATGTTCAAAATAGTGTCAATCTATAAAAGACCAGATGTTCCAATGAATTGACCATGTATGAGGATGTGTAGGGAACCCATAGCCTAAACTGGGTTTTAAAAACTGGAAAGTGAGTTTTAGGGAATGTTAGCAAAGCTTCTTATTGATTTTGCCCCCCAAAAAAGGGTTGTCATTACTCTTGTGCTGAACTTTAATAAATCACAGCAGTCATAGTGTGAAAACAGCAGTAAATTCCAAAGATGCAAAATAACCGGGTGGAAGTGACTGCTAGCGTTGCCTCTTCCTCACCCAGTCCTGACCGTACTGAATTATCTTGTAAACTTTTCTAACATTCTACCCATTTCGTGATATTTTGTAAAAATGCAGTTTGCATAATGGTTATAGTATTATTATAATGGTTATAATAATACAGTATTTTAGGTGGGTAAATGTCTTATAAGATACTTATTTTTCATTTTTTCCACCTGTATCCTGTATGCTGAGCAGGCTGTCCTCTTTGCTGTACCATGAGGAGCTGAACATCAGCGTTCAGCAGGTGATAGTCCAGCGCTGCTGTGAGAGTCTTCCACTCTGGGATACCCGCAGACAACGACAGGATCCAGCTCTCCTGGATGGCATCACAGCACTCCTGCAGCAATATGCTCAGCCGCATGTGTCCCACCTGGGCACAACATTACCCCTGCTACCGAAACCCAGTGAGGAGAGTGAAGAGCCCAGCTCTCCACCTTTGTCTCCTGGTGGCAACTCCACACAGCTCTTTCTCACACCCTCTGCCTTGAGCTTTCTAAAGTCCTGCTCCAGCTTGCTAGCCGTCGTCGCCTGTCTGAGTACTTCTAAGGGGACCAGAGTCGCCAAGTCCGGGCTGTCCTCTTGGAGAGAGTTTCGTGGCAAGAGGGAAGCCCCACTGGACATGGAGCAGATTTCAAAGGAGTGCGAGCAGCTCCTGAGGGAATTCCCTGTTCTGCAGGGGTTCCTCCATGTCATCTGCGAGCCGGTGGTGGGTAATCAGTTGGAGGGCAGTGGGCTGGTAGCTGCGCTATGTGGCAAGTCCAGCACCAGCCTGGCATTCTCTGGCCTGCACTGTGGGTCCACGCGCAATGTTGCCACTGATGCCTTCCAGCAGGCACTGTCCTCCAAGGACTTTGGCAGAGCTCTGTGTGTCTTGGAGCTGTATGGTCAGGAGCACAAGGGAGTTGGGCCATTGAAAGACATTGTACTGAGTTGTGCAGCAGTGGAAGGTGAGTCTTCAGTCAGTTTGATAGCTTACCCAGGAATCCCTAACGCAGGTCCTAGAGGGTCTGTGTTTCTCCAGGTTTTCAGTGACAGGTGCTGAGTGTGCAAATTCATCTCTGAAGTGGGGCAATGATGACCTTATTCACAGCTGATTGATGTTTTAATTGTCTAAAACTGTTGCATAGCGTTAAAGCCTGGCTTTACACATTAATAGGGATGATAAGGGTACTTTTATACAAAGAGACTTACAGAGACTAGGAGGTGATGTGTGGTTCAACTACTACTGCTGCAGTCGCTGACAGCAGGATCTCAATTTGATCTCTTTTCTCAAGGATGAAACAGAAATTTACTTAAACACGCCTCACAGAAATCTGGTAAATTTTCCAATATTCTGGAAGAAATACAGAAGTATGCTCTATGTAAAGGTCTTATTATTATTTCTGTAAACAGTGATATTAAGTATCAAAATCAATTTAAAAGTTGTTAATGTTCCTAAATTCTCATAATACTGAATAAATGTGATTCTTTAGCATATTACAGAAAATCAGGGCTGCATGGTGGTGCTGTGGTTAGCATTGCTGCCTCACAGCACCGGAGCCCTGGGTTCAATTCCAGACCTGGTGTCCTATCTATGCGGAGTTTGTTCTCCCTGTGTTCGCATGGGTTTCTCCTGGGTGCTCCGATTTCCTCTCACAATCCAAAAACATACCACTAGGATAATTGGTTACTAGGAAAATTTGCCCTGGTGTGAGTGGTGTGCTACAGAGACAGCACCAGCACTAAGGGGCAAACTGGAACTAAAGAAACAAGAGCTGCAGGTCTACCAGAAGGTAAGGGTCCACTCTGAGCTATGAAATCCCAAGTACGAGCACTGGTTGTAAGTGACAGGTTGTATATTGGTGCAATAGTTTTTCAGCCCTGGGGCTTTTCATTGGCAGTTTGTGGTAGCATTAATGTACATGTAAGTTTCTATGAAGAAAATTTTTAGGACCCTTATACCACAGTATCTGTGGTTGTTGCTAAACAGCAATGGTTTATGTTTGGTTGGCTTCAAAGCATTATGAAAACAGGACCGCTATTATTACTCAGGTATTGTTACTTCAGTAACTTGGCAGTGACCTGGTGTTGAATTCTGCTTTACAACATCGTTCTAGAGCAGCATGTCTTCGGCTCGCCAGCATCAGTCCCGAAATATTTAAGTGACCCTTTTCAATTTCTTTGTGATTTTATCTCATTAGAATGACAGCAGGCGAAAACTCAGTATGGTGGTAAAATCTATTATTGAGTACCACCCTGCATGTTTGTTTCCGTCTGTGTGTCTGCCTTGCAAAATGGACTGGCATCCATGTATACTGCCTTGCATCTCTTTGCTTACTGTGATAGGTTCCAGCTCTCCTGTGACTCTGAATTGGATGAAGCGGTTAGAAAATAGATGGATGTATTAAAGAAAATTTACATGCTACTTTTATTATTTTGCTGTGGAATTCAACCTACTGTAGCTATTTAATTGTTAAAAAATGTTCAAAGTATCGACTGTAAAAGGTGGATCTGAGTATGAGTATAGACCCTGGTAATGAGCTTGCAATCAGATGTTTGCACTTGAATAATGAATCATGAGTCTTAATCAGGGTTTTGATCACTGGCTCTGCCCATTGTTGTTGGGCAGCTGCCTTTGCTATTGGCTACATATACACCAAAATCGAAATATTAACACTTCATACCCGGTATAAACAGTTTCACTGTCCTCTGCAGAGCCTGACGGAATAAAGCATGTGTTCCGAGTAAAGCACCCTGATCTGAGAGCCAGGCTGACCCTTGAGTGCTTAAAGAAGTGGCCTCTGGAAGCCAGTTTGGAAGTGCTCCTGTACTGCCTTAGTGCCACAGAGACGGCACCAGAGCTAAAGGGCAAACTGGAACTAAAGAAACAAGAGCTACAGGTCTACCAGAAGGTAAGGGTCCACTCTGAGCGGTGAGAACCCAAGTACGAGCACTGGTGGTAAGTGACAGGTTGTATATTGGTGAAATAGTTTTTCAGTCCTGGGGCTTTTTGTTGGCAGTTTGTGGTGGCATTAATGTACATGTAAGTTTCTATGAAGACAATTTTTAGGATACCACAGTATCTGTGGTTGTTGCTAAACAGCAATGGTTTATGTTTGCTTTGCTTCAAAGCATTATGAAAACAGGACCGCTACTGTTACTCAGGTATTGTTACTTCAGTAACTCGGCAGTGACCTGGTGTGGCATTCTGCTTTACAACATCGTTCTAGAGCAGCATGTCCTCGGCTCACCAGCATCAGTCCCGAAAGATTTAAGTGACCCTTTTCAATTTCTTTGTGATTTTATCTCGCTAGAATAACGGCAGGCGAAAACTCAGTATGGTGGTAAAATCTATTATTGAGTACCAGCCTGTATGGCCACCTTGGTATGATTAACATTGAAGTTGTTAAAGTTGCTCATTCTCAGTTAAAAAACAACATGTTCTGCCTTTTCTTTTTCTTTCTTTCCCAGATCCTCAGTCTGAGTGACACCCTGCCCTGGACTGAATGGCAGGACCTGCAGAGGGATTCCACCAGGATTCCTGAGGTGGTGATGTTCGTGGTCCTGAGGGCCAATGTAAGCCTGGTCTTTAGTCTGCCCTACCCACAAAGCCCTGGCTAATAGAACTTTCTTCTCAAGCTTTGTTCAATCCATCCTTTTCCCTGACTGATTCCCAAAAGCTTTCAAAAAGAATTGATAAAACATACTACAGCCACCCTTTCAATGGTATATGAGACCCTTACAATATTTAAAGTATTTTGGATCCTTTGGGTTAAAAAGCACTGTACTATACATAAGTAGTTATTATTAAAAGACAAGATATTGATAAAGAGTATTGTAACCTAGAAATGTAGAGGTGAAATAGCAGGTTCTCAGGTGCAGGTTCTCAAAGGCACTTGCAGGCTGTGCTTCAGTGATGAGTTGTGTGCTCCCTACAGGAGTTTGAGCTCTGTGAGAAGTGGGTTGAGCTGCACCCCATTTCTCCAGAGCTTCTCCTCAGATTGCAGACAGACCACCTGCTTCACCTGCTCGACAGAGGCCTCACCGAAGAAGCTTTTGAGGTACTGCTTTTTAGGCAGTGAGCCTTGAAATTGCACCCTTGATGCCATCATAGTCTGGTGAAATAAGGACCATTTATATAAACTTGTTGTTTATAAATTGCAGACTCTGAGAAATTCAGTGTCTGTTTTAGAGATTAAGTTATTTTTATTCCAGGGCTCTCAGGAACTCTGTAGAAATGTAACCTTGTTAAACATTTTTGTCTGCAGAATCTTTAGGCTCCCTAATTTAAACAGACTACCATTAATATCAGATATCGCTTTAAGACAGCTCTTTATGTTTTGTAATAAATGGGATGAAAAAATACTTAACACTTCACCTATAAAGTACTGAATGCACAGTAAACTTTTGAGGGAACTGTCACCAAGATTACAAGAGTTGTATTGGCCACCTCTCTTTTATTGACTGTAATTCTGTAAACTATTTTTCTGTCAATGAAATATTGAAGATTTTAACAGAAGTTTTCCGTTTTTGTTTGTTTTCGGAGCTGCTGGAGAGCTTGTCCAGCCCTGCACTGCGTCTGCAGGTCAGTGAGCGTGCCCTGGACCAGCGGCCTGGCCTGGCCGTTTGCCACTTCCTGGCTGACTACCTCACATCGCAGTTCCAGAGCAGCATGACCTTAGCTCGCCAGTGTGAGATCCAAGCCATGCGCATTGGTTCCAAGGTGAGAACACGAGCAGGAAGCATAGGGATATTTCAGCACTTTCCTGCAGTGTAGATGTTGGAAGACCTCGGTTATTGGGTTCCTGTATGCAGGAGCTGTACCTCCATAGACCTCTCACACTGAAATCTCTACTGTACAATAAATAGCCTCCAAAAGTATTAAACCTTTAATGACCTAGAGCTGAAAGCTAATTAGGCAAATAAAATACAGTTTAGATATTTCACAATTTATTAATTCAAATGTCTGCAAAGGAGTTCTTAATATAACATTCATATAAATGTAAAGAATATTTACATATATTTCTAAATATAAAACATTAATATTTATTCATACTCTCTAAATGCATATAAGAGCATAAGAAACTTTTATCCAAAATGTGGTCAAAAAAGTGATTTGGGAGCTCACACCAAAGGGCAACTGTTGGGAGTCCGTGGAACTGTGGCATATTAGGATTAAGTGCCTCCTCTTTATTCCAAGGTCTCTTAGAGTTCCGACATGGGAAGACTTGAATTTACCACACAGCATGTTATTCACTTCGAAGTTAAGTGATATCATATGTGGATGGATGAAGGAAACTAAGTTTATGGACAGTATGTTCAGAAGTACTATATGATTATCAGAGAAAAAAAAAAGAGTTTCGGCCCTCTGAAAATCAAATGATTTTGTGCTGCTTTAGGTTCCTATGATCCTGGGTCTTCACTACAACTGAAGGACAGACTCTGAATTTTACCTAGAAATTGTAGCATAAAAACGGTTTCTTCTGTCGAGAAGCTCAAGCTTAGTCACAAGTGGCCTTTACAGCAAAATAACAATACAAAGTCTGCAGCAAATATAATGGAAAAAGCCAAGAACACATCAAAGTCAGTATTCTTATTTGGTCATCACAGTCTCTAGCAGAATATTTATACAGTAGTATGAGCTGAGGAAAGAAAATTATAATCAGCTCACAAATAATGAGCTGGAGAAGTTCTGAATACAGGATTGGTCAAATATCCCTCATGAGAAGAGCCAATTCAAAGACTGCCCTGTGTCTGTTTCTGAGTTTCAGTACTGCCTGTATTTAGCTGTAATTTAATCGGTTGCACCAATTTAAAACACAATTGTGTTTGAGAAAACACATTGTATAATATATTGTCATTCCCACGTCTGTTCACCAGAAATTCATCACCTTATTGTTAATAGATACTTAAACAGAAATAAGGATGGAAATGCTAGATTATTGCATAAATGTATGCATATGCTGAATTTTATGGATCACTGTGCTTTAAGTGGGGGTATTTTTGAAACTAAGGATTAAGTGCCTGAACAGGTAAACAAAAGTCTGAGCAAGCACAATATTAATTAGTAGTGTCAGTGATTACCAGCTGAGGAACACCTGAGCTGAGCAGACATGGAGAACTCCTGATCTATAGGACTCTAGTTGCAGTCCTGACCAGACCCAGCTTTGAGGACTGTCTGGAACTGCACTTGAATTGGTTTCCTTTGTGCCACAGCTCTTGCTGTTACTGCCCGAGGTGGCTCGGCAGGATTACTTTCACCTGCTATGCAGCCCTCTGCTGATGCTGGAGCAGCTGCTCATGAACATGAAGGTGGACTGGGCTGCTCTGGCCGTTCGCACTCTGCAGCAGCTTCTGGTCGGCCAGGAGGCCGGCTTCACTGGAGAGGACATTGACAGCCTGCTATCCAACTATGCCCACAAAGCCCTGGAATTTCCCTTCTCACTGCGGGAGAGAACCAGATCAGGTCAGCAGGCAGTCAATCAAACTGCTCTTACTAAAGAATTGATCAGAAACAAACACACATCTAATATTTTTTAGTTTCCTGCTTGATTTTTATAAATCTTGCTTCTAGTTTTTTTAATTTTTATAGTACGCTATTTTTAGGCTATAAAAAAGTGCTCTCCTTGAAGATATTAAAGACTGTTCCATCATAAGAATTCAGAAATTATTACTGACGTCTAATGTCTTCTCATACCGTGCAACTTAAGATACTGTGTTTTTTTTCCCACAATTAGGACAGCACCTAATGCCATGTTGTCATGGTGTCATGCCAGGGCTTCAAAAACATACCACTGCTTGTCATACAGAGACATCTGAGTCACAGGTTTTCTTTCTGGTGAGGTAGTTGAAAGTCCTCTTACAAGGACAAGATGTGGGATCACACAGAGATTACTTTATCATCAACAAAATAAATGAATGTGGTTGTCTCTGCTGTTTAAGCTTACATGGTTTTACTTTTGCACCTTATGTTAGGATGTGTTCCAGTCTTTTAATGATACACTAACAGTCAGCTCAGTTTTAACTTGGTTGCTTTGACCTGTAAGTGTGGGGAGAACTGAGAATTAGTCACATCTTCTTTTCATCTTGTGATTAGTATTGCTATCAGTATCTAAAATGCAGTACTTTTGCATGTGATGGTCTGTAGATTGGAACAAAGTGTAATCTCAATTGCTTTAGAGGCAAAATCTCTAAATCTAATCTAATCTCTACTTTTTTAATCTCTGTGATTTAGCAAAAGCATTGGTTGTTGGTATTGTTCTATAATGGTGTGCACCATGGTGTCAGATGAGTGTTAAGTATTTGTACTCCCCACTGTCTCTAGACTCTGTGATCAGTCTGCAGGACCTCCTGAATCAGAATCCTGGCCAAGACAGCTTTTCTTCAGCACCTGCAGGAGAGTCAGTGTCCCCTCCTATTTCAGGTGCGAGCCTGTACACTTGTTTATCATGTTTGACAACAGTTTGTACCCCATGTTCTTTGCTCCTGGGTGGGGGATAAGTGTCATTTTGCATTCATTCTTACTTTAAATTGTAGGTTTAACTTTAATAACTTGATTTATTTAGATTTTTGTCAATCTATACTTTTTCAGATCTAGACAAATTATTTCGCATTCAATCAAACAATTGCACGACTTATGAAAGTGAGGATTCAGAATTAAAGCCTAAGGTTATTGCAGTTCTTCTGAGGTACTGCATTTTCACACTGCCCTTTTAGAACTCACAGAAGCACACCATGATTTTCCACAAATGATGGCTGACATATCCTGCCTTTATACCTCTACTACATAGCCCTCCAATACCCAGTATAGAGTAGTGTAGGAGTTTTGTGAATTTACTGGGACAATTTATTAATTGTAGCAGTAACCACGAGGTGAATCTTATATGGCTATTAGAAAATCAATTGATCTGCGACACGCACACATGGATTCAATACACAAGATGCATTTATTAATACATAAATTGTGCATATAAAACATATAACAGTCTGTCTGGATGCAGATGGCAGATCGTACTGTGAGGGTTATCAAAATGCAAGGTATATAATCATGAAGACATACAAACAAAGAATATAGTAGTTCAGGTGGGTAGCTGCGTCAGCATGCGTAGGCTGCAAAGGAACAATTAATAGGTTTATTCCATGCTGAAAAAAAGAAGAAAGAAAACACAAAGTTTCAGCCGTGGAGCCTTCTTCAGGCATCAACCAGGACACCTGAAGAAGGCTCCACGGACGAAACATTGTGTTTTCTTTCTTCTTTTTTTCAGCATGGAATAAACCTATTATTCCTTTGCAACAAAGAATATACAGTGGTGTGAAAAAGTGTTTGTCCCCTTCATGATTTCTTATTTTTTTGCATGCTTGTCACACTGAAATGTTTCAGATCATCAAACAAATTTAAATATTAGACAAAGATAACACAAGTAAACACAAAATACAGTTTTTAAATGAAGGTTTTTATTATTAAGGGAAAAATGATCCAAAAAAATATCCAAACCTACATGGCCCTGTGTGAAAAAATGATTGCCCCCCTAAACCTAATAACTGGTTGGACTACCCTTAGCAGCAACAACTGCAATCAAGCGTTTGCGGTAACTGGCAATGAGTGTTTTACAGCGCTGTGGAGGAATTTTGGCCCACTCATCTTTGCAGAATTGTTGTAATTCAGCCACATTGGAGGGTTTTCGAGCCTTAACCGCTTTTTTAAGGTCATGCCACAACATCTTGTTGTAACAGAAAGAATAAAGTTCTGGATCCCGAGATGAAGTAAAACAGATGAGTTTATTGCATGCAAGGAACAATAAAGCCAAAATCTTGTTTCCCGCAAGAAACAACAAAACCGAAGTATTGTTCCCCGTACCGGTACAAACTTTTGGGTTATATAGTATCTTATTCTCCGTTTCTGACATCACTCGGTCTGATGGTAAAGAGGGGGGTTCATGGTATTTGGCCAGTTTAAGAGGTCCTGGCCAAATGGTCAGTTTAAGATTACACCCAGGGGGGTTCCTAGCTTGCATCTGGAATCCTTATCAGTTAACCCCATTTCCTGCCATAAACCCCAGCTTGTGATTTAGAAGTCTAAACCTCATATAGAAAGAATTAAATTTAAACCCCCATCTTCACATCTTTCTTCATTCCCCCCTTATAAAATACGGCATACGTCAGTGTAGCCTATTTTTATACATACAATGTCAGGGCAGATCTTTCCTTTCTAGGTGAACAGGTATGTATTGCCATGACATTATACGTTCCACGGTTATAGCAAGATGTGATACATGTTTTTGTGAACGTGATGGTTACAATTACACATATAAGCAATACTATTCCTACAAATAAACACTGTGATATTTCTGTCCCTCATTGTAAATGTGTTGGGCCAGATCCGAGATGTGCTCAGAATTATCAGGAATATATGTGCAGCATTCAGTGCCAATTACTGCATGCCAATTATGTCCTTGGGCCGCCAGTACATAATCTTAAGCTAGTCGGTTCTGCATGGCCACTGTTCTGAGGGCTACCATCTCATCATTAACAGCCTTCAGACTAGATGAGGTAGAATTTGCTAATTCCTCTAAAGTCGAGTCCATTTGAATTAACTCTCGACTCAGAAAGTTCATGCTGGCTTGTGGAAATATCATACCTAAATAATATTCCCAATCAGCCAGTTTTCTTTGTGGTCTGTGGTTAGGTCCGAAGGGGCTGTGGGTTTGAACACGGATATGAGAAACCACATATCCTAAATAACATGAGCCAGACCACTGGGCTGGCAACCATGGGTAGGCTCGTTTTCCACAAATGAAGTATGTTCCGTTTGGCGCTCCCCATGCCTCTGAAAATAAGAAGCTTATACTGAATTGTGGGGTGTGCTGATCCCATCCTGGAATTTGGAAGGTAGAGGTGGATATATCTGGAGCGATGGTAAGGTTGCAACTATTTGGCAGTTGTCTGCGCAGTCTCTCGTTTGACAGGGACAGCCTCCACCCATCTAGAAAACTGGTCCACCATCACTAGGAGGCCTGTTTTCCCTTTACAGGGTGGCAGTGAACAATAGTCTATTTGCCAGTGTCTAAAGGGCCCCTCGGGTGCAGGATGTCGAAGATTAGGAGCCCGAACCGGCGGTGCTCCAGAGGCTTTTTGGCACTCTCCACAGCGTTGTACCACATCAGCTGCGAAGGGTGTGAAGCCTGTGCCCACCCAGCTCTGAGCAAAGCGTCGAGTCATTTGGCTAACACCTGGGTGCCCTGTGGAGTGTATTTGCTGTGCCAGGTAGGGCATTAGTTGCTTGGGACAGGCGGGTCTGCCTGTTCGCTGGCACCTCTAGGTCCCATCCCTCTGCAGCCCCACATTGCGTTCCATCCAGGTCCATTTCTCAATCCTTGGAGCCTGGGCCTGGAGCTCGCTGAGCTGTTCCGTCCGGAGTGCCTGTATGTTCACTGTGCAAACTGAAATAATCTGAAGAGGTTTTTCTATAGCCCACTCCTCCCATTGCCCCAGGGCAGCTTGACGTGCTGTCCAGTCTGCCAGCTTATTGCCCCTGGCCTCGGGAGTGTCCTCTCTGCTGTGGCCCTTACATTTGACCACAGCTACCTGATTTGGGAGTTGGAGAGCCGCAAGCAACTCAGACACCAGATCCGCGTTCTTTACCAGAGTGCCAGCAGAGGTTAAAAAATCCCTATTACTCCATAACCTTCCAAAGTCATGGCATACTCCAAATGCGTATCGTGAGTCTGTGTATATTGTGGTGGTCTTGCCTTTTGCTAATTTACAGGCTTCCACCAAAGCTTTCAGTTCAGCTCGCTGTGCTGACTTGGGTACCTCAAATCTTCCCCCACATTGGATATCATGTTCTGTAGTCACAGCCCAACCCGCTTTCCTCACTAGAATTTATGAATGAAGTTCCATCAGTGAAGAGGATGAGGTCTTCATTCCTTAGTGGTTGCTCGGCTATTTTGATGCCCTCATCTTCTCCCATTGCCCAAACATCACAGCTGTGTTCTAACATATAGGCTTCTGATGGGTCAGGTAACAATGTGGCTGGATTTAGAGCTCCTTCACGTTCAATGGTAATATTTGGAGCCTCTAACAAGACCCACCACTTGCTCCATCGTATCGCATTAACCTGACTGACCCGATTCAGGGACATGAGGGTGTGTACCGCATGTGGGCATCGAACAATCAGTTGTTGATCTAGCACTATGTTATTGACTGCCTGTACTGCTAGACAGACGGCCTGAACGGCTCGTAGACATGGTCCCCAGCCCCTGGCTACCTCGTCCAAGGATCCAGAGTAATACCCTACCGGGCGGTACCTACCCCCATGTTCCTGTGTTAGTACAGCTGTCCAAAATCCATTTTTTTCACCTACGTAGAGGTAGAATGGTTGATCCGTCTGAGGAAACCCCAATGCAGGAGCCTGTAACAGAGCTTGTTTTAAATCATTAAAAGCGTGTTCAACTTCAGGACTCCAAGCAATAGGGTCAAGGGACCTCCCTCCCCCCTTTAATAGGTCTGTAAGTGGTTTGGCCCTTTCAGAAAAAGCACCAACCCAATTTCTATTGAAATTGCACAGACCCAGAAATGATCGGAGCTCTCTCACCGTATTGGGACTAGGGTGTGTTCGGATTGCCTGGGCCCAATCTTCTGTCAATTCCCTTTTTCCCGGACTAATCTTCTGTCCCAAGTAAATTACGGTGTCTAGGCATAACTGTGCTTTGCTATAACTAGCCCTGTGTCCTTTTTTAACCAAATGGTCGAGAATAATTTGGAGGTCCTTCTTGTGGGTTTCCGCGTCAGGAGACACAATTAAAATATCATCCACATATTGGATAACGACGAAGGACACTGGAGGCAACTCCCGGAGATGCCTCACAAGTGCCATGTGATACACCGTGGGGCTGTTATGAAACCCCTGTGGTAACCTGGTCCAAGTATATTGTTCTCCATCTACAAAAGCCAACCAATCTTGTACCTCTGGGTGTAGAGGAACAGACCAGAACGCATTAGCCATGTCAATTACTGAAAACACCTGGTGCTCAGGGGTCAGCAGTTGAAAAATAGCTGAGGGATCTGCTACCAAGGGGGTGAGACGGTTAATGTGTTGATTAGCTTTTGAGTAATCAACTGTGAATCGCCATGCTCCGCTGGCTTTCTTTACGGGCCATATTGGACTGTTGCTTGTACTATGTGTTTTTCGTACAATGCCTTGAGCCAATAGTTTTTGTATTACTGGTCGAACCCCTTCCTCCGCCTCTTTGTTGATTTTATATGGCTTTGTGTATGGCGGGGATTTCCCAGTAAATGTGGCGGGTTCCATATCCAGAAGCCCGCATTCGTCCTTATCCATAGTCCAAATTGAATTCCCTTTTAGTTCGTTTTTTTGGAAGGACCAGATGTTTACCTCCACCCTCTCCTCATGTACAGTTAATGTAACCCCTTGTAGGTATTTCAGAGCATCCCATCCCAACAGATCTGGGGTAGGTCCTACCCACATGACAGCATTAAATGTTACCTCCCCATCTCCTAGTCTAATCTTGAGTTTTTGAGTTTCTCTGAGTGTTATTCGATTGCCCCCTACACCAGTGGCCTCCAGCTCCCTCCCTGTGAACATGACACCACACTGTTTGGCTGACTGTTCAGATAAACAAGATAATTGAGCCCCAGTGTCCCATAAAAGTGACATTTGAATCCCATTAATCGTGCATTGTAATTTGAGTTCTTTTTCACCCAGCTCCTGAGATAGGCGTAGGGAGGCCACTAGGGGGAGTCCTAGTTTAAAAGATCCCTGATAGTGTGTTTGTCTGCTTTGCTCAAATCCTGTAATTGTGAAAACAGGTTTTTTTGCCCCTCTCGATTCGAGGGATTGAATGGGGGATCGCGATATTTTCCAATCCTGCCTTCACTGGCTAATCGCTTTTTGCAATTCTTTTGCCAATATCCGAAATTTTTACAATAATGGCACCGATTTGTAATAATTTCGCCTTTTGGACTTAGTCGGGTGTCAGGGCCAGCTCCACCCTTCAGTATGGGGGGTGTCCACCCTGTTTGTATTGCCCGCACCTTAGCATACATATTTCTTTCGATTTGACGTGCCATTTTAACTATTTCCTCAAACTGTTTGTTCGTATCTTGCCCTATTTCGGTCTCTTTTAACTGAAGGGCTTTGGCTACATCAGGCTTAAGACCACTCAAATAAATTTGTTTAATCACAGCAGAGGCATCTCTATTCACATCATGTCAGTGAAGTCAGCCACATCCTCGCTTTCTTTTTGCTGACACGCAGGTATCTTTTTCCAATCTGTCTTTGGTGGATCATTTTGTTTAAGCCATCGCCAAACCCATTCCCATCGTCCTCCCCTGCCGTTATCCTCACACAGTTGTTTAAGTTCTCCGACACGCTTTTCCCCTGTCCTTCTGAGGATCATAGCGGCAGTCAGGGGGGAGTTACCATAAGTATCTTTTAATTCCTGAAGCGCACTCCAGGTTCGCTGCATCCCTAATTTTGGGTGCGGTACTTCTCTAGCCCACCGGTCAATATCCTCCGGTTTTGGATTTGATCGTATTGGGGGTTCAGGGAAGGTAGGTGCGAGAACGGACCCCCTCGGTGTGGTGCAAGACGGAGTTAGAGTAGCACTGTCATCAACGGCGCCAGCCCCTGCTACATCGAGTCCTTTCCCACTTCGAGTGAGAGTACAGATCTGCAGGCGATCTCCCTCTTATAGGGGAGACCCTGATCCGTCTTTATCACACTTATACCAAGTGTTATCCCAATCAGACCCCCCATCTCCATATGGCCACTGTGGGAATTGATCCCAATTATTTTCGTTTCCTGCCTGTTTGTTCACCTGTGGGAGAACAGGATATAACTTAGTCGCCGGCTGTAACACATTAACCAGTGCAGCGTGACCAGGAACTAATTCCTTCTTTAGTTTCTGATTCTCCTGTACTGCCTCTTTTAGCTTTTTTTCTAGTTCCTCTTTTGCCGCGAATAAATTATCTTTCCTCTCATTTAACGCTTTTATTTTTTCTGTGAACTCCTTCTCTTTTTTTATCCCATTCTGATTTCTCCTTCATGCTAATCTGCCACCTCAGGTGTCGGCCGATCACCAGGGCTGCAGCTAAATCTTTGTTTTTGTTCCAATGTTCATACGCTTTTTTACAGGTATCTTCACCCCAAACTCCTTCTGAGTATAGCTTCTTCCTATATTTTTCTTCCCTTTCAGTTAACTTACACTTTTCCGATATGTAATCAGATACTTCCACCACTTTCTCAAACACCCAATTAGCACACTTTTGGTTTCTTTAAGATTTACTTTTGTCGTGTGTGAGATAACAGCTCATTCAGTAGGGGGATGCTTTCACTTGGAAAAACCTGTGCATTACTGCACTCATTCAGCTAAGGGATGAATGCCTCTCAGAGACTTTAGAGAGGACTTACACCGCACTGTTCACAGGTAAGGAACGAGACCTCGAAAACCCCCTTTATTGATCAGTAATTCGCCATCCCCAGAACGCCAGCATTGCTGCTTTTGCCCCGGGGTGGACTTGCACACTGAGCTCAATCAGGGCGATTCTCGGGTCTCAACGTCCTTTAAATCCTGCTACTTAATGCTTTGCTCTTTTATTATGAGGTGTGTTTATGTTAGTGTCGTGCGTGTGTATATGTATTTCACAAACAAGGAAAACACCAAAAACATACATATATATATCTTCTACTTCTGTTTCCTTTAAAACAAAAAACCACGCCACGCCAATCCGTGCACGATCAAGGCGTAGCTAATCTCAGGACCCCGGGCACAATTAAGGCCCACACCAATCCTGGATTATACATGCATTTAATGCACCACTCGGCTCCAAAACCCCGGGCGCAATTAAGGCCCACACTGATCCTGAGCCTCAGAACTCCGGGTGCAATTAAGGCCCACACCAGTCCTGAATTATGTGCATTTAACGCACCACTCAGCTCCAGAACCCCGGGCGCAATTAAGGCCCACACCGATCCTGAGCCTCGGAACTCCAGGCACAATTAAGGCCCACACCAGTCCTGAACTTCAGAACTCCGGGCGCAATTAAGGCCCACACCAGTCCTGAACTTCGCGGTAAAGGTCTAAAACCCGTTCAAAAACTCCACGCGCAATTAAGGCATACACCAGCTTCGAACGCCTGTACACAATACCGCGGACCGCCTGCCAGACCAAATTCTGGGCTTACAGCAAACCACCTATTACATACACCGGTGTCTTCCCCGGGCCAGAGGAATTCAGGAACTCACGTTTACTCTGTCATCTCAGGCGATTCTCGCAGGGAGCAGAGACTTCCCAATCAGTCAGAGAGAGTCGGGACTTTTAAATAAAAGAGGAGTCCTTACCTCTTAATAATGTGCGTGCTGACCATCTCTCCTGCCGATGGGAATCTCTCCTACGCCTTCTGGAGCACCCTGCCGACTACGCCAAATTTATTGTAGCAGAAAGAATAAGGTTCTGGATCCCGAGATGAAGTAAAACAGATGAGTTTATTGCATGCAATGAACAATAAAGCCGAAGTCTTGTTTCCCGCAAGAAACAACAAAACCGAAGTATTGTTCCCCGTACTGTTACAAACTTTTGGGTTACATAGTATCTTCTTCTCCGTTTCTGACGTCACTCGGTCTGATGGTAAAGAGGGGGGTTCATGGTATTTGGCCAGTTTAAAAGGTCCTGGCCAAATGGTCAGTTTAAGATTACACCCAGGGGGGTTCCTAGCTTGCATCTGGAATCCTTATCAGTTAACAACCCTTTCCTGCCATAAACCCCAGCTTGTGATTTAGAAGTCTAAACCTCATACAGAAAGGATTAAATTTAAACCCCCGTCTTCACATCTTTCTTCAATCTCAATCGGATTCAGGTCAGGACTTTGACTAGGCCACTCCAAAGTCTTCATTTTGTTTTTCTTAAGCCATTCAGAGGTGGACCTGCTGCAGAACCCAAGTGCGCTTCAGCTTGAGGTTACGAACAGATGGTCGGACATTCTCCTCTAGGATTTTTTGGTAGACAGCAGAATTCATGGTTCCATTTACCACAGCAAGTCTTCCAGGTACTGAAGCAGCAAAACAGCCCCAGACCATCACACTACCACCACTATATTTTACTGTTGGTATGATGTTCCTTTTCTGAAATGCTGTGTTACTTTTACGCCAGATGTAATGGGACACACACCTTCCAAAAAGTTCAACTTTTGTCTCGTCAGTCCACAGAGTATTTTCCCAAAAGTCTTGTGGATCATCAAGATGTTTTCTGGCAAAACTTAGACGAGCCTTTATGTTCTTTTTGCTCAGCAGTGGTTTTAGCCCAGACTTGATCCAGTGAATTTGACCTGTCCTCTCTACTAAGCAAATACCTTTACACATTGAATCATGAGGAGGTGTTATAACTTACAGAACTCCTCTATTCTTAGGCGGCACCCTGCTGCAGAAACCCTCCACTCCTCGAGACCGAGAGCGGATGACTCATAGGCTGAAGCCTCCCACTGAGTTCACCCCCCCTGGAAAACCCCCAGATAAGAGGAACTGGGTCCCTGACCACAGCCAGTGTGTGTGTATGGCATGCAGGAAGGAGCAGTTCACCATGGTGAGAAGGTTTTACTGAGTAACAGTCACTTCATTTTGGGCAAGCCTTGCCAAGTAACTATTCCACTATTCTATTCCACTAACGATTCTATTCCAGTCAGACCTATTTCAATTGCAGTCACAATAACCAGATGTTTGAAAAGCTTTTGCAATGTGTTCACATAGGCAGTTAATTTGGAGTAGTTGTTCTTCTCTGTGCCCCAGGATATTTGTCTAACTACAATCTTAATTCATATTAGTGTACTTGTCCAAGCTATGGATGTTTGCAGTCTGGTTTTTACAAACCCTAAAGACAGATTATGTACTTAACAAACTCAGAATCTTGCAGACACAAGAAGTATTATTCAAATTTAAAATAAATGTATGAATTGGAAAACTAACCTTAAAAATTGAGAATAAGAACAAATTAAAAGTATGGTGAAAATCAGACCTCCAAACCTAAAAAACAATCGGTCAGTTCAGTGATCCTGTGCCTGTGGGAAGTCAGACATTATGTACTGTATATACAGTAGCACAAAACACTCCTTATGTTAGATTATACAATTATTTAGGCAAAAAGTGGAATTAGAAATGTCCTTAGATGTTCTCTTACATCTCGTCATTTTTAAATGCTACTCCTAGAAGGGAAAGAGGTGCTGGTCAAAGATATCAGGAATATTAAAGAGAGGCCTGGGAAGTCAGGGAGTGGCAATGTAACATTGTGCTGTCTAGGAGCTGGAAGTTGAGATGTCATATATACATATAAATGTAGGAAAGAAATTGATAAAATGTACCCATAAAGATAGTAACTCATGACACAGACCCCTTTCACCCAGTGTGGAGTTCCATTTTATCAGGTAGCGAATAGAAAAATTTAATAGCTGTAAGAGGAAAGTCTTCACAAAGATAGTAATCAGATAGATCTGATTTTGTGTGTGGTGGGAAATGTATTGCTGTCAGGGACAAAATTAGATTTAACTCCTGCAAAATTGTACCCATACAGTAAGTGACTTTTTTAGAAACTAAATAGCAAACAAATAAAATGCAAATGTCTGTATGTTTTGTGCTGTGGTCACTCACATACAGTAGCTTAACCGGGTGACTGTCAGTTCTTTGTTACTATAATTGCTGTCCTGGCTTAACTTCACTCTGGATTTACATTTACAATCTGGCCTTCCTAAAGTTCTCCTTTAATCCAACTGGTGAAACAGTTACTCACTTATCCCCCTGATCTGCATTATAGTGGAGTTGCTGCTGCTGAATGGCAGCTTTGTGTCACCCAGCTAGCTGCTGCATGTCAGTGGGGAATGAAATTAAGTGGATCCATTCCTATACGTAAAGTGCTTGTCATCTTTTTGGATAAAACATGCTGTGTCAGTGCAAGAAATTCTTAATAATTGTTTCCTGTTCCCAGTTCAACAGACGTCACCACTGCAGGCGCTGTGGTCGTCTGGTGTGTAATTCCTGCTCTAGTAGGAAGATGCGAGTGGAGGGGTGCAGGGATGAGGCAGTGCGTGTCTGTGACCAGTGCTACAACTTCTTCTATCAGCCGTAAGGACTGCTGCAAGCCTGGCTTCTCTTACAGAACTTCTTTCTTTCTGCTCTGGATCTGGTTACACAAGCCAATATAAAAATAGTTCCAGTATATCTAATAGGCATAAGTAGTTATGCTGTGTTGTCTTCATGGCATCACATAAAAGAAAATTGCCCTCAGAGAGCTACTAGCAGGGAATAAAAATTGCAGGGTTATGCATCACTAGAGTGTTATATTAACCCTGCAGTAGTGTGTTGCTACAGCTGTTTAAGGCCAGATCCTGCTGCTCCCTAAGAAAGACAACAGATTTCATTCTAATTTCTGTTTACCTGATGTTACAGAGATTTTTAGAATGGATCATCCATGAGATATTCTTAGAAAATATCCTTTATCAGATTGATTTTATTGTTGGAATTACATGCTTATAATGAGGCTGCTCCAGGGTCCCAAATGCAAAGCTTCACTAAGTTTAGGGTGCCCCCTCCTGAATCAAGTAGCCAGTCTTCAGTTTTCCTTGTAGTTGTCATCCTGATAAGTTCACAATGCTCCTTGCTGTGCTAAATGTTGTGTAACTTTTTTGAGAGAGGTTTTCTCAGGGAACAGGGAGTCCTGGGAATAGGGAGTTGATATTTGGGTTTTCGATATGCTACATGCGTGCAGCAAAACAAGACGTTTTAGCAAAGTTGTGACTTAGGCTTGTTTTCACTCTCATGTTACATATAACTTGTTTAAAAAACAATTCCAGGTATGATTTTTATTGCATTTGTGTTCAAGACCAGCATTGAAAACACTTTTTTCTGTTGCAGTGCAGAGGAAGAGTCAGAACCAGAAGAAGGTAAGAGCGCTGCAGTGGTGAAAGGTTGGAAGAGCTCTGTTGCTTATTGTACACATTCAAGGACAAGCCCTGGTCCTTTCACAGCAGACACAAGACAGCTCTCAATCCTGGAGTGAAACTGATGTGACACTGAAGCAACACAAAAAAACATGAAAGCTGAATTTATTAAATAATTGTATAATTTCTGTATAATTTCTAGTAGATTTGAGTTCCACTAGTAGAACATTGTGAAATACTCAGGGCATAGACAGGTCTCAACAGAGATCCAAAACCAATCTTGTTACCTCAGCAACCAAAGCGACATTATGTTAACTCGTTTGCACATATGTTACTGGGCAAGCTGATGTGAAACACAAATTGGCAACATTTACCACCTACAAATGGACCTGTAAGCTGTTTTTCTACTGCTTGTACTGTACACTTTCCTAAGGTTCTGGCACATCACTTTCCTCATTGTATCTGTTGTCTCTGGTGCAAATAGAAAAACTGTTATAGATTCATTGTTTTTCCCTATGGAATTGCATTGCATTTGATATGAGTAGCTACCAGTAGTCAGAAAAGTAAACAAATGACCCCCAAAGAACATGCTCTGCACTCAAGCTGACAATCCCAAGACAGAAATGAATAAAAGATTAAACCGCTTGGAGATACAGAGTGTCTTATAATTTTAAAATTTGAGAATTTAAGCATAATAGGGATTTTTAGTGTCTGTATTGGAAACATTAAAAGAAAGTCAGAATGCTGTCAAAAATATTGTTGGAGGTTAGAAGGTGGGATTGAATGGTTCTGAACTTTCTCCTCTGATTTTGTGATGGTGTTTGAATGTGCAGTGTCTGGAAGCCCCTGTCCCGGGGATGTGGGTTTTGCTAGTATCCTGCAGCTGCCTGAGATGCCTCTGAGGCAGCACAAGCTGGGCCTGAATGAGGCTGAGAATGAAATTGAGCGCAGCGAGTTCTACTACGAGCAGGTGAGCTCCTCCGCACTTGTAACAGCTGGAGCCAGAGATAAACCGGGGATTGCACTTGTATTGGTTCATAAAAGTTTCATACAAAATTAGGAAAAGTTCCAGTAAGAGTTGTGCAGTAGTGAACTGCGGGTTGACTCTCACTCGTGGGCGGGTGCGGGTTTACCCACAGGTCAGGCAGGCTCGAATTAAAACAAAAATAATTTAAATTGGGTTGGGCAGCTATGGGTTTGTTTCTCACAACCGCAGGCGGGTGCAGGTAAAAAGAAAATCTGACCCGCGCATCACTATTGTGCACTTTTCATGAATTTGCAATTGATTTTGTTTTGTAAGAAACTAAACTGGGACATGCTAAAATAAATCTTCAGTTTATTAAATTTAATTACAAGCACTGAGATAAATAAGTCTGAATATTCTGTTAAACATTTTGCAATGTTTAATTCTTCTGAGATAATTTGAATGAGTGGGTCACATTTTCTGTTTTAAAATCCAGGCTCCCAGCGCCTCTCTCTGCGTCGCTATCCTGAACCTGCACAGTAACCACATAGCCTGTGGGCACCAGCTAATCGACCAGTGCCGTGAGTTGTCTCAGGGGCTCAATAACCCGGAGGTAGATGCCCGACTTCTCATCGACATCATGAAGCAGCTGCTTTTCAGTGCCAAAGTCATGTTTGTCAAAGTGGGGCAGAGTCAGGACCTGGCCCTGTGTGATAGGTAAACAAGACAGGAGAAGAAATGCATTGTGGGAGAAGGAGCAGTCACAGTTCTAATGGAAGATTTGTGTTTTAATAAACACTTTTAAAGTTTCATGTATTGTTGTCAAATGTTTCAAGATCCTTTCAGTTTTACTGTACGAAATTAAACAATTATTCTAAAATTGTCTGAATAGTAGTGACGTTTGAAACATGTCCTTTCAAATAAACACTCCTGGAATGTCAGGAAAACAAGAAAGTATTAGTCTTTTTTAATTTTGATTTTCTAAATTTTAATAAATCTGATAGAGTTCACAACCTAGTGTGTATCTAAACAAAGATCAGGAAGCATTTTGGTTTGCAAATAAAATTAATTCCATGCTGTCAGATTAATCATTTTCAGTATCTTGTTTGCTCTGTGAATTAGGACTACATGCTACATTCATTAAAGAATAAAAAAAAATATTTTAACATTCAATCAGCTGTTGTGTCCAAATCCCTCCATAGCTACATCAGCAAAGTGGATGTGCTGAAGATCTTGGTGACTGCTAATTACAAGTATATACCTTCCCTGGATGACATTCTACAGCCTGCAGCCGTGACTCGGCTCCGCAACCAGCTGCTGGAGGCAGAGTATTACCAACTAGCTGTGGAAGTAAGAGGAATACATGCATCTCCTTATGTGTTTACAGCTGTCTGCTGTACAGGACCAGCACATGTCATCACAGGCTTAGAGCATTCTGCTCTGTCACATCTAGGGCTTGGAGCTGTATCTATTATGTGTGCATTCTGCCTGACCAGAGCGCATGCCAATTTAGAGGCATAAATGTAATAGTTAACATGTAGTAGTGTAACTCATACATTCTTAATCTGTCCAGTTCAAAACCTTTTACAGTTATCAGCTATTCATATGCCCAGTTTGCTTGAATTTTGAGGATAGGAAAGATGTGGTATATCTGAGATTGTTGTGTAGTATAAGCAGTCTCAGGCTAAACATTTCTAGCTGGAGAACACTGTTTTTTTTATGTGGAATCTCCTTGGAAACATCCCTATGAGTACTGGCATTGTCTTCTTGACAAAGATGTTTTTATAGGATTGACAAGTGATTTATCAATGCGATTCCCTTTTTTGAATTGTGTTGTTTGAATTTAGAGTCTACATACAGCTAAATTCATTCTGGTTTACAATTAACTCTCATTTCCAACTACTGTTGAGCAGGTCTCCACCAAGAGTGCCTTGGATCCCAGTGGAGTGTGGCACGCCTGGGGAATGGCTACATTGAAGGCTGGAAATCTGACAGTCGCTCGGGAGAAATTCAGCCGCTGTCTAAAGGCACCGCTGGATCTCAACCAACTGACCCAGGGCTCCAGGCTGCTGCAGGACATTGTGCAACATCTGGAATCCAATGTCAAGACACCACACTCATTGGTACAACTCTTCATTCACGCCTCATTTGCCACTATATACTGGGCTATTCCATTTTCTCCTATTTTTTAGGTCCTGTGTTGTTTATATACTTTTATAATTGCAGAACTCAGTTTTCAATGATTTACAAATCTACAAATTTCAGCCTTCTTGTGTTCTTGGAGCTGGGCAAACAGAGTGCTACAGGAAGTGGATGAGGAGCATAATGTCAGTTGCAAACTATACTTCATTTGCACAAATATTCATTTAGTTTACTGTAAAATGTGCTTTATTTTTAATAGCAGTGTTTGCTTTATAATAATAATTTCTTATATAACACTTTTCTGGACACTCCACTCAAAGCGCTTTACAGGCAATGGGGACTCCCATACTCCACCACCAATGTGCAGCATCCACCTGGACGATACGACGGCAGCCATAGTGCGCATAGTACACTCACCACACCCCAACTAACAGAAGCTTTAATAGAAGGGTTCTAATACAGTAAACACCTCAGTGTGAAAGGATATAATTCATGAGCTCCAGAAACTGATCAAAGTTCACAGACTCAAACAATCCACAAAATCTCAGTAAAGTATCTGTCCATGGAACAGCAACATGCTGTTTCCACATCCCCGAGCATATCTGTGTGTCCTGACAGCCAGATAATGACATCCTGGCCTCCCTGAGGGAGCTGGAAGAAGCCTTGACTGAGACAGCAGGCACAGATAAACCAGATGGGAGGATCCAGCAGAGCAGCAGCTACCAGGAGTGCCTGTATTACCTGCACGCTTATGGCACTAACCTGGCCATCACTAGCTTCTACATGAGACACGATTGCATGAGGGAGGCACTACTGCACCTGCTCAACAAGGTAAGCCAGGGGCAGCCGAAATATGACAGTCTAGTTTACCAATAGCAGTAATAGTCTTCCTGCTGTCAAGTAAGACAGAGGGTTCCTGAGTTTGGGGTCTACAGCCCAGACTTAAGCTGTTCCTTTCCAGGCTGTGGAGTTAGTAGTCTAATGGAAAGTGCTTTAATATTGCAATGCTTTACAGTTCAAGTAGGTAGCTGTGTTAGCTTGCGTAGGCTACAAAAGAATAAGTAAAGGTTTTTCCATGCTGTGAAGAAAAAAGACAAAACTTTTTGACTGTGGAGCCGTCTTCAGGTGTGTGCCTTACAGATAAATTTACTTATGAGAGGGATTATGTTTTTAAACAAAGTGAGATGAAATCATTTTTAATAATAGTGTTTGTATTATTATTTTAAACATACAACACACACAACATTTTATGTTATCTTTATTGAGCAAATGGTTTAAACAATCAAGGTCATTGATGGAAAAAGTATGTGAACCTCTAGGATAATAACATATTGAAAAGAAGGTAATTGGAGTCAGGTGTTCCAATCAATTCAGGTTTGGGTTTGACCTGCCCTGCCGTATAAAAGGGGGCACAAACTTTTTCTCACAACTGTATAAATAACTTGTAGATTTTTTAAAAGTAGCTTTATCTAACTCTAGTCATTAGCAACAGGGATTTTCAACGGTGTCATTTAATTGGCCAAGTAAAGACTGATTTAATGGGATTGAGATGACAAAGGTATCCCCTGTGTTACATCAGGCACCTATGAACTTGCAGAATCATTGGTGAAATATCATTTGGTTTATTGTTTGAAGTCCTAGCTCTATTATTGGTGTGATCAGGTTGTTGAATAAGAAGTGGGTGACCTCAGTGTGACAGTAGTTGATCGGAACAGCTGGTGGGCCAAGTTGGTTAAGAACAGGTAATTCAGATTTTGGGGGTAGGGTTTGATGTTGAATTTCGTAATAAGACTGAAAACACAATGTGCAGCAATTGGGACTGCTGCCTTACAATGCTCTGTCTCTATCTGTGGGTGTTCTCTTGGTGCTTTGTTTCCTTCCCACCTCCCAGTTACAGACTTGTTAGAAGAATTACTGCTCATGTGTGTGCCCTGTAATGAAATGGTGTCTTGCCCAAAGTGTGTTCCAACCTTTTCCCTATGCTTCCAGGATTAATTGGCTGTCTGATAATGGGCAGATTGATTAAAGCACTGACTTGCTCCGATTATCCATTAAGACCATCTGAGTCACACTGGGATATCCTGGTCTCTGTAGTCTGGTCCTGGGAGGTGGCACTGAACTGTGCACGTTCTGACAAGCTATGTGCTGTTCTTTGCTAGGAGAGCCCAGAGGAGGTATTCCTGGAGGGAATTTTCATAACCTGCTATGAGCGTGGGAAATTGCACCTGCTGGAAAACCTGTTGGAGTCCCTGGACTCCAGCCTGGAGAGTTGGAGCCGTTATCTGATTGCTGCCTGTCAGCACCTGCAGAAACGCAGCTTCTTCAATATCCTGTATGAGCTGCAGCAGTTCATGAAGGTGAGAAAGGTATAGGGCTGTGAAATTGACATCACTGTCATCTTGCCACTCTTTTCTGAAATACTGAAATGGCCATTGTATCCATTCTTTTTTATGAACTAACAGAACTCTGTTCATTTGCTTTACATTTTGAAAAGATGTTCATCTATATGTTTAAGATGGGTTCAAGAAAATGGAACTCAAAAGCAGATGATGTTCTTGGTGCCATGAAAATAAAAAATAATTGACCAAGAAATCTGTCTTGCTGCAGCGTGTTCCCTTTTAATGGAATGAGGTGAATATTTAAATAAGGTTTCAGATGGCTTTGCTGTTGGTTTCAGGATCATGTGCGGGCGGCCATGACCTGTATACGATTCTTCACGCACAAGGCCGAGTCTTATGTGGATCTGGGGGAGAAGCAGAAATGGCTGATCAAAGCCAAAGACCATCTAAAAACCTACCTGCAGGAGCACCAGGGCCGCAGCTCTGCACGTAGGAAGTCACCCAGCACCTTCAGGAAGAAAATGTCTTCCACTGACATGTCTAGGTGAGCTTAATTCATGAATGTCTTGTCTGAAGTTGGCTGTTCCCAGTCCCAGGCTCTTTTGTTTTGAGGATTAAGAAGGACAGAGATGTGTGTGTAAACCCACTGTGGCTTAAACAATGTTATTAGTTCAGTTATAGTTCTGGGTGGGACAGAGGTGCTGTATTTAGTGCCACTGCTAGTGTAGTCAAAATTGTATTGCTTCATTTGGCTGATAATTGAAAAAGAGAGGTTACCACTGATGTTTTGGGGGAAGTATTCTTGTACAGTACAGATTCCTTTTTTCTGATTAGTTTTGTTGGATCATTTAAAACGTGTTCCCCAAAACTATTAGTTCAACTAATGATTAGATTAACCTAAAGAACACTCAGCTGGAAGGGAAAACAGAAGTCAGGGTTCCTCTACTGTACTAGCACCAAGAATCCTTCTTGTAGAGTCGATAATATGTTATTTAACAGTCTGTGTTTTTGTCTGTCTGGGGACTAAGCAGATATTTTAAATTGCTATGTGACATTACAGATTGTAATGTCCCATAGCAAAAAGTAAGCAAAAAAACTCCCTGACTTTTTTTCCTAAAATCTGGGACTCTGGTGTGGTGCTCTTGTGCACTTATCTCCTGTTTCCAGACACATCAACACCATTGAACTGCAGATTGAGGTGACCAAGTTTCTCCAACGCTGTGAGAGTTCTGGCACCTCACGCATCACTAGCTTGCCTCCAGCTACACTGTTTGGAAACAGCCTCATGAAGGAGGACGTGGCCTGCAAGGTAAGGAGAAAATTCCCTGGAAAATAAGCACTAAGCATGTCCAGAGATAGAGAAAATTAAAACTTTTTTGAAATGTGGTGAAGAATTTTTAATTATTTTGGTGAGTCAAAACCAACAAAAACCAACATGTTTAAGTTTTTAGCACTTGTTTGTCATGATTCCAATCTTCATCTGACCTAAAAAGAAACTATTGGCAAGGAGACAATTTTAGTTATGTCTTAGTGTTTCTTTGCAGGTTTTGTTGATATTAAAGGGACAGAAGGGACTGGGTAGTTTCACAAGACACTAAATATGTATCACAGAGTAAATCTACAGAAGGGTGTTTTTGTATTTTCAAATAATAATATAATTTTCTGTTGTAGAGATGGCTGTTGTTATAATTGTGGAAATGCTAAAATATATAGTCCTAAGGAAAGTAAAATCATTAAAAGTGTTAGGAAATATTCCAAGTTTGCATTAAAAGTGAGAGTAGAAATGTACTGAGTTTGAATGAAACTCTGGGAATGATTTTAGTTTAGTAAAGGAAATGCACTTTCTTTTAATTTCTTTTCTAGGTCTTTAGTAATAGGCTTTTGCAGGCACAGAGGAAGTATTTAATAGATACTAAGTTCATGACAAGACAAAAGTTGATCCTAAAATGTTCCTAAAACTACTTAGGTGTATTCATTCATAGTACCAGAGCAGGTTAATAACTCAAGAGAAATTTTCTTATCCAGTACTAGTCATTGATTCTTTTAGTGTTATTTTTTTTAACCATGGCCTTATCATTTTAGGTCATGCTTGGAGGGAAGAATATTGAAGAAGGATTTGGAGTCGCTTTCAGAGTCATACAGGTAAATGAGGGCCAATCTCCTTTACCCTTTGCCTTTAGATGTATTAGATTGAGAAGTTTAGAAAGATCACCTTAATGAACGTAGCATATCCTTATTACACAGAACTGCGAACATGAGGAATGTTCACTGCAGTATGCGTTACTGGTATTCTTCTCTTTCGTTCTTGTTTATCTGAAAATAAAGCACTACACATATTTAAAATACTTCTGCTTATACCAATACCCAGTTTGTAGTTTTGGATATGCCTAATGTTTTCATTCCTTTATACAGCAAGCTATAATGTGTAGGCCAACTGGAAATGCAACTGTAGATTTCAATACAAGAAAGTGTTTTTTGGTGTAAAAAATTAATTATACAATCAAAATTAGCTGATTTTTAATTTCAGAAATGATATTTTAAGTCAGCCTTGAAATAAATGGTAGGCTATGCTCATTAAATATAAATAATTTGTAATCTTTAAAAATGAATTCAGAAGATGAAGAACAAATTTTGCATCATCAGCAGACTTACTGCTAGAGTCCCTCTCTACATTCCTGTTAGCAGACTGTCCCTTTTACATCAGGTACTTGGGACTGTCTTCCCAAACACTACTAAATTAGCTTCATGTGCCTCAAACACATAGAAGAACAATTTTACCATTGGAAAAATTAAAACACTTCCAATAAATCCTCCCAGTAGTTTTCTAATCATTTGTCTTCTCCTTTTCTTAAGTTTATTCCATTGAGAGGAATGTTTTCTATAGCAGGCAGTACACATAATTTCCCTGTGTGTATGACATGTAGAAACCAAGAGATTCGAGCCTGAAGTGTCCGTTCATCCAGCCAAGCTTTATTGTATGTATACAAGGAACCACAACAAGGACTATAGTAGTTATAGTAGTTCAAATGGGATATGACTCTACACATCTTATATATACTTTTCTCTACACCCTCCCCCTCCTGTCTTTGAGGTAGCTTTCTCAAGAAACTCCAGGACTCAGAAAGCACTTAAAACATTCCTTTCTTATCAGGAGTTTAGTATGCACATTCCCCATTAGGGAGTTTAGTACAGGGGGGAAGCATCTTTGCGAAAGCACGCGTGACGTTAGAGTTCAGCATGGAGTTCACAGCTCCTACCACTATATGGGTATAGAGTAACATACAGATTCTGCTAGCAGGCTCAATCAGACATAAGGGCTAAAGTAGAAGTCAGCTTGCTTTGACATTAAACACAGTTTTAAATAAACGTCACAAGTGTTAACTTGTTGGTGTTAAGAAGTGGCTTTAGTTATTCTTTTTTGAATCATAAAACTGGTTCTAAGGGAACATAGTGTCAATTGGCAAATTAAATAAAAAGAGCTGTTTGCAGTTTTCTAATTGTCACTAACTGCTACTGCTTCAGGGAGTTGTATTGATGATTTGAGCCTGTGACTCTGACCCTGCTGTGTGTATGTGAGCAGGACTTCCAGCTGGAGGCAGGTACAGTGTACACCAAGGCGGCCAAGCGGCTGGTGAAGCAGCGCCAGTACAAAGAGATCCGCCAGCTGCTCAAGTGTGTGAGCGAGTCCGGAGCCGCTACCAAGAACGACTGCGATGACATCATCCTCAGTTGTGTGGTCGCGGCCGACAAGGGGCCTGCAAATGTGAGACCCTCTCTAACTTCACTTTAGCCTCCAGGACTTTACAATCAGATGCACAATTCCAGGCTTATTATCCACAGGAAAAGGTCTTCTCCAGTGAACTGAATGTGAGAGTAAAATCTGTATTACTGGGTGATGTTCATTCTTTTGGCATCTTCCTGTCCTCTCTCCACTTTCTAGTTCTTTAGGACTTCTGAGTTTGTGGCCTGAAGTTGAGGAGAATCTGTTTTTTTTTTTTTAATGTGATTGTATAGAATGTCATGGTGCCAAACCACTTAGCCATTCTGCCTCACAGCTCTTGGGTCTTGATTTTGATACTGACCTAACCTTTTGTGTGGAGTTTGCATGTTCTCCCTGCATCTGTGTAGGTTTTCTCTGAGTGCTTCATTTTCCTCACACCTTCCAAAAATGTGTTTCTTAGGTTAAACATACTCTGTAAATTGTCCCTGTCTGCTTGTGTGTTCATATTTCCTGTGATATACTGGCCTCCCATGCAGGGTGTGTGTGTGCGTGCTCTGTGTTGGACTGGCATCCTGTCCAGGTTGCAGTCTTTCATTTGTGCCCTGTGACAGACTGGAGTACTGGCAAGGGTGTAGTCCCTCCTTGTTCCCTGAGATAGACTGGGGTACTGTGTAGGGCAGGGATGTCCAAACTACAGCCTGACACTGTTACTGAAACGGGCCACGAGTTAATTTAGAAATATAATTAGATTTGGCCCGATAATAAGTAAAAATGCAGTTCCTATTTTGAACACTAGGTGCCGCCATCACGTAAAATCACATCTCAGAACTGATTAGCTACCCCCTCGCAAGTTCATTTGTCATTCCAGCCATATACAAGTATATAGGTCTATGGTGCGAATACAGACAAGACATAGACAGTTCTGACAGGGTACATAAAGTGCAATGTGCATAGTGCAATTTACTTTACAGGATTGTGCAAATAGTACATCAGACAGTATGCCTGAGATTAGGCAAAAAATAACTAAATTTCCAGATTTGGAGTAGGTGCAGTAGGTACCAGGGTGTTGAGGAGTATGGGGAGGGAAGGTTGCCCTTCTCAGTTCCTGATATTAAAAATGTCTGTAAAAACATCAGCTAACTGTGCTGCACATTCCTTGAGCACGCGACCAGGTATATTATCAGGTCCAGCAACCTTACGTGGGTTATGAATCTTCCGTGTGTAGTTACACTTTTCCTCCCTGATGGCACGAGACAAGTTGGCCCTCACAATCCTTGTCACCTGATCTAAATGCTGCATTGCAAATTCTTAGCAGCGTGCGGATCTCTGCAGTCAGCCTTGGCTTCTGGTTGGCCCGTATGATAACAGATTTAGAGACAGTGACATGACAGTGACAGTGCTAGAAAGTTTGTGAATTTTCTGAATTTCTGCATAACATTGACCTAAAATGTGATTAGATCTTCATCTAAGTCATAAAAATAGATAGAGAACCCAATAAAACAAATAACACACAAAATGATATACTTTTTCATTCAGTTATTGATCCAAAATTAAATGTCTTTGTTGGAAAAAGTATGTGAACCTATGCTTTCAGTAACTGGTGTGACCCCCTGGAGCAGCAATGACTTTAACAAAACGTTTACGTTAACTGTTGATCACTCACACATATCGGCTTGGAGGCATTTTGGCCCATTTCTTCTTACAGAACTGCTTCAATTCAGTGATGGTGGGCTTTCTTGCATGAACTCCCTGATGCAATGTTCTTCTTGGAGAGTGGTGGCTTCCTCCTTGCTATCCTCCCATGCACACTCTTCTTGTTCAGCATTTGCCTGAACACATTAGCCAGTGCAAGAGAGCCCTGTAGATCCTTAGGTGTTACCCAGGGGTTCTTTGTGATCTCCCGGAATATTACACACCTTGCTCTTGGAGTGCTTTTTGTTGGACGACCACTCCTGGGGAGAGTAACAATGGTGTTGAATTTTCTCCATTTGTACACTATCTGCCTAACAGTGGATTGGTAAAGCCCGAAGTCTTTAGAAATTGTTTTGGAACCTTTTCCAGCCTGATGAGCATCCACAACTCTTTTTCTGAGATCCTCAGAAATCTCCTTTGATCGAGGCATGGCATGCGTTCACAAACCTGTGTGGTGAAGACCAGACTTTAGTAGTGGTATGTTTTTTAAACAGAGCAGGGAACCCCAAACTCACACCTGATTGTCATCCCATTGATTGACACTACTGACTCTAAATTATCCCCTTACCTGAACTGATAATATTAGAGGTTCATATACTTTTTCCAACAAAGATAATTTTGATCAATAAATGAATGAAAATGTATATCATTTTGTGTGTTTTTGTTGTATTGGGTTCTCTTTATCTATTTTTATGACTTAGATGAAGGTCTGATCACATTTTGGGTAACATTTATGCAGAAATAGAGAAAATTCTAAAGGGTTCACAAACTTTCTAGGACTAGTGTATGCACTTGCTGATGTAGTTGCTGCATACTCGTCTAGATTGATTGATATAGTTTTCATAGGTAGTGGCCTACCTAAACATATTCCAGTCTGTGTGCTCAAAGCAGTCCTGTAGCAGTCCTATCTTCCTCTTTACCCTCTTCTAAACTTAGATTCTCTAAATTAACGTAAGCAAGATTTTAAAAATGGTGGAACCAAAGAAACGAAAAATTGATAGCGAATGCAGGAGATTCCAGCCACACTGGCAAAATTAATATTTTTTCACCGAGTTCAGAGACAAGTGTGTCCTTTTAATCTGCCAAGAATCAGTTGCTGTAATGAAGGAATTTAATATAAAGAGACATTATGAAATGAAACACCTATTAGGGTAGTCCCCTAAATTAAAAGGCAATTTAGATATTAGAATGCAATTATATCTGATATTTTTTGTTTATTTATTATTAGAGGTAGCTTGTGGCCCATTGCTCCATATTTTTTTCTCACTCTGGCCCCCAGTAAAAAAAGTTTGGACACCCCTGGTCTAGGGTGTTGTCCTACCCTGTGTCCTGAGATAGACTGGTGTACTGTCTAGGGCAGTGGTTCTCAAACTACGGTAGCGCCACCAGCTGGTATACCATATGACCCTAGAACTTTGTTGTATTCGCTGAAAAATTGGGACGGATTTTCATATTTTCTATTTTAATAAAATTAGTTTGTGTCGAATACGCAGCCTACGTACTATGATACAGTGCACGCTAATACTTGAGTGGACACAAGAGCTACTATGTAATTCTATACCATTGTATAGGAATGCGTGCTACAAACGTAAGTGGCCAATTGTATTTAAAAAAAAGTTATCCAGGAAATAGGAAGGTAGGAGAATGTGCGCGATTTTAGAACAATGCCAATGTTGTAAGCACAGGAAAGCATAGAAATGTGTACTGGGAATGCTGGCAATCTTGTGAGCACAGGAAAGCGTGATGGATAACAGAAAAATATTTAAAGAACTGTTCTAGGTTAATTTGAGAAAAATACACTGAGGATCTCTGTTTCGGTCCCATGTGCATTAAATAAAAACTTTTTTTAACTTCTGAGACGGACTCCTGAAACAGAAACGGGGAAAATTGCAAACTTGGGAATTGCTAATGGTAAGCAATCCCATACTATTTTAAAGAACTTTGTTTACCGTTGGCAAAAGAGCTGATACGTATTATGTGTGGAGAAAAAACTGCTCAACAGCTTGACCTGCTGCCCCCTCCAAAAGACACACTCATAGAATTATTGATATGGCGGATGATATCAAAAGTACACTGATAGAGCATGTTAAGATGAGCAGAAGCTTTTCACTGCAATTAGATGAGTCTGTAGATGTCGTTGATTTGGCCAGTTTGCTCGTTTATGTTAGATACGAGTTTGAGGGTACGTCCCATGAGGACTTTCTGTTCTGTAAGCCGCTACCAACAGGAACTATGGGAGAGCACATATTTCAGCATCTGAATGAATTTATTGAAGAGAATGGCATCGACTGGATCAAATGCATCAGTTTGTACAGACTGTGCTAGAGCGATGACAAGCCGACACAGCAGTGTAGTTGCACGAATTTATGAGGTTACTCCAGATATGAAGAGGCCTTTGCCATCAAGAAAATGTCTGATGATTTAAAATCTGTTAGACTCTGTTGTGAATTGTATCAAGGCTTGACAAATGAATTCACATCTGCTTTGCTCGACAAAACAGGCTCACCCCTCTCACTGAAATGGTGCTTTTTTATTATTTTTAATTGTTGTTGTTCCTGTTGTCATTCCGTAAAGTGCTTTGAGAAGCCACCTTTAAAGGCGCTATATCAAATAAAGTTTATTAATATAATATTTATTATATGTGTATGCGAGTGTGTCCATGCATGTGCACTCATGTTGGTCATTGAGATTTTCTGTGGTTCCTATGAGAAGATGACTTATAGGTGTTACTTGGATGCTTTGGTTTGATCAGGGTGGTACTTGGTCCAAAAAGTTTGAGAACCACTGGTCTAGGGTATTGTTCCACCTTGTGCCCTGAGATTGACTGGAGTACTGTCCAGGATAAACTCCAGGTTGTCATGACTCTAACGAGAAACAAGAGGCTTTTTGACAATGTTTTCATATATAGATGAATGGTCTTTAGTCTCATAAAAAATAAAAATGGTAATTTTCTGTATTCAGTAGTTATCATTTCAATATTCTAACCAAAAATAAATGTAATTCTGTTTCTCTTCATAGGCAAAGGAACTGGAAAGTTTGATATTGGAAATGAAGAACACTGACAGTAAGGTAAGATGGCTGTTCCAGGAGAATGGGCCATAAATTATATTCTTAACCCGACAGCTAGAATTGAACATTAAGTTTATTGCAAAACTAGAATTCCAATAGCAGACAGAACTCCATCTAAATGGTTAACATATTTGTAAATGCAGTTCATCTTGCTCTTTTTGCTTTTTGATGATTATCATTTGATATTCTTTATTTTGTTCTCAACCTCTTTTTTATATATTATTTCTATATAGTATTTGTGTTATCCACTCAGGGAGCGTTACTATCGCATACCTGTATCATTCAGGCCAGGTCAGTTAAACTTTGAAGGGGGAATCCTTAGCTGGTAAAAATAAAAACAGAACAGCCTTTGCAAAATAACACCATCCACAGAACAGAGCTGCTGTTAGAGCTGTTATTTTCCATCGCAGGTGGATCTATAGTGTGAAAATTTGGCAACTCTGCTGACTTTGGTAGTGATCAAAGTAACTCTTTGAATCTGTTGTCATTTTGCTGTGACTGAGCTGTTCAATGTTGGATTCAGGGCTCTTATCAAGTTTTACAGCCCATGATGCAAAGTAATTTTTTCTTAGTTTAAACATTGCAGTTAAAAGAGAAGATATGGGGGACTCCTGTGTGACTATTCCAGTAAAGGACAGTCCAGACATCACTGTGTCCTGTTTGACTTTGTCCATAGTCAACATTGACAAAGATTTCTCAGGCAGTAGCATAAAACTGTCAGAGTTCTACCAGAACAGTTTGGGCTTGAGTCCTACATTTTGCAACAGCATCAGCCACTATGTCACGTTTTGGCTGCTGACTTCAAAGTTGTATCGGCAAGAGCCATTTCCCCAACATCTTAACCCATGTGTGGCACATAGTGATGATCCCAGTTGATTAGAAATTGTCCATTCTATACTGGGTGCATAAAAATGAAAAATGATCATTTTCATTTTAGAGAAAATGTCACTGACTGATGTGGCAGATTGAGTGCAAGTCTGACTGTGTGCTGTGCCCTTCAGATCAAGGCCTACCTGCTGTGCAGTAAGCTGCGCCCGGCCTACCTGCTGGCGGTGAAGTTGGAGCTGCCCCAGGCCACGCAGCTGGTGCAGGAGGTCCTCCAGGCAGCCGAGAGCGACAGGGACACCATGATGCAGACTATCTGCCAGCAGTGGTTATCTGAACACCAGGGCAAAGCAGCAGTGCGTGAGAGCCGAGCTGGCACACATAGATAACGCTGTGCCCAAAACTGCACGCCCCGAGACCGTAACAAGATCACAGTCCCACTGCCTGTTTCCACAGAGGCCAAGCTGCCCCTCTTTCTGTTCACACAAATATAACGACAGTATGGCTGGTTTTATTTCTGAAATACACCTTTATACTGACACGTAATACTGCCAGTTTAATTCTAGAAACCCTGAACGTGGCTACTTCTCTGGGAAAGAGGCTCTTATTATTGTACAGCATTTCCTGCCTCACTGAAAGGGATTCTGTTTCACTCTCAGAACCTATAATTACAGAGTACTAAAGATTGATTAAACTTAGGGGATGTGATTTTTCCCAACGGCCTAATTAATATAATTATTCATTATGCCTTTGGATTAGCTGCAATTAATCTAGTAGCTAAATCAGAAAGAAAATAAATGGCTGACGGTGTCTTCTTTCAAGTGCAGACAAAAGCCGTAATTTAATGAAACAGAAAATATACGAGAGCCTTTTATATTTGGTTCTGTGCTTTTTTGTTTCTCCAAATCCTAATTGTTTCACATGCCTTTACGTCAATAAATGGCATTGTTTAATTTTCTTCATTTATTAATAGAAACAGACATCATTTAATTCCAAAACTTGTGTGGCTTTTGTGGTCAGTCCCAGAGTGTAGTTACACTGTCCTTTTTCCTGTCTGAGAAGAAATATAGCATTAAAAATGTAATAAAATCTTTGGATAAATTGATTAGGAATTTGAGTAAAAAGGTGAATTTTGAGCGGCATGTTGGTTGGTTGTATTAGGTAGTGCTGCTTGGTCTTGGATTGGTGTTTCTAAATTGTCCCTCTGTGTGTATGCACCCTGCCATAGACAGACACCCCATTAAGGTGTTTATTTGCATTTTTTGCTTTGTTAAATCCCAAATTAATTTTATTTTAATTAAAATTTTCTACTAATTTTCTCTGTTAGTAGAGTAATGGAAGGTATGACAAATTGAGCTTTTGTAACTGATTTGTAAATTTTGTTCTTACATATTTTTCCTGCCTGAACTAAACTTGTAATTACAGTGGCCAGTAGTATTCTCAGCTAAAAGGCAACATTTCTTTCCCTTTTATGCTCAGTATCTCAACTCACCCATGCATAAAAGAATTCAGAGACTCTTGACTGGGATTATCCTGTGCTGACTATGTCGTGTACCTGACATTGAGACACATTGGAGCACAAGACCAGAATAAGAACGTCAGCTTTGAGTGACCCTGCATTCCCCTTTGTGAAATATTTGATTCATAGGTGGGAGGCATTACAGAATTAGGTAGCAGAAGCATCTCTCTCAAGGGAATGTATTAATATCTTGTTTGCATTGAGAAAGTAGAAACATTTTGTAACCATAAAAAATAAGGAAAATTAATGGTTTGTATTTTGGTTTGTATTTTATATATGAAATGTACTAACACAGAGACTGTTGAACTAAGTAAACATGCAATTCTTTTTACATGATAAGGGAAATCTATGTGTATTTCTATTAGAAAGCATCAAACTGCAGAAAATGGTACATGAAATGGTACTCAAAAGATCTTTGTGTTTCTTTTACAAGTAAATTAGTAAATAGCATGTCAGTTACATAAAAGGACTGTAGCTAGTAAAATAAATTAGAACTCTTAGATGAGTTAGAATATACTGAAGACTAATTACAAAAAGGGAATGACACGTTATCTGTATTAAAGATATCTGAATTTAAGGAAAAAAAACTTTTTTAAAATTAAGAAAAACAAATCATTGTTGCAAGTAAGCAATATTGCAGCTTAAAGTCACAGAAAAATCTCTTTTGACTGTAAGGACCAAAAAAGTGACAATGATGTAGCATTATCCTTCACATTTCTTGAAGAGGTTTGTTTCTTCCCATGCTAGGATCCCACTCATCAGTTCCTGCCAGTGAGCAGACTGCATGTGTAGATATTTCCTAAACTGCTGAGCTGTAAAAGCAAGGATTTCTTAATTATGTTCAACAATTTTAAACAGGAACAGTTTGGTTTGTTGCAGTCTCATGTCGCAATTCATCAACAAAGGCACTTCTGACGATAACATGCGGCAGTCATTTATGAACAGTAAGTGTACCTCAAGACAGCTCATTCCCACTTGATTCCCAGTAGTTCACAGCTGACATCCCACAGCCTCTTTGCTGTTTCTTCATTCCGACCCTGTGGTGCCACAAATGCAGGACTGCAGTCACTAGGAACCAGTAAAAATACAAAGAATTAACTTTTCAGGTGCTATGATCGTACCAATAGGGCTATTCAACTATTCAACTGGTATTTATAAACACAAAAATACAGTTCCATACCAAGAGAAAAAGAGTCATATGGGTTTTACGGGTAAAGTAACAGTCTTAAGAATATTGTTAATTGATGTAATATAGGTTCATGATTTCTGGGAGGATAGCCTCCAAAAAGAAATGTGAAAGAAGATATTAAAAAATTAAAACTTTCATTTACACACATCTCTTAGTGCAGTAAAGCATATATAAAAAATGCTAGCAAAAACTTCCCCCACTTCCCCTATACACAAAACAGGTTTTAATGCTATATGTAAAAGTACTGCTGGAGTCACAATCCTTCATGTAGCTAGGGAGCACTTAACAGTCTTGAAGTGCAGTAGTTGATGCTGAATCAGCATCAAAACTTTCCATTTTTAAATAGTCAATGTGACAGGACAGACAGCTGTAATCATGAGTCATCATCAAAGCAACACAGAAACACTAACTCTATGACTTCTGAGAATCTGATCGAGCAACACCATGAACTGTAAATGCTGAATAAAAATACAAACTCAGAACTGAGCCCTGTCAAAATGCAGGTGAAACTGTACTACAGTACCTGTCGATAAACAGTGACCAGTTCCCAGCAACTTAAGTTTTTTGAAGGTTTTATTTTCCCAAACACAATAAAATATGACTCAAAAATAAAAAATAATTATTCTTCACCCTACATTAACCCCACTCCCCTATCCTTTTCAGTAGTAGCCCCCTCCAGTGTTCTACTCAAGGACCCCTAAATAGAGTCAAATAGTTACAGTGGATCCCCTATCCTACCCTAAAACTGTTTGTCAGCAACAGATATTCAAAGCCTCCATTATCTCAGTGCTGGCACCATGGATCCCAGCAGCTGAAAAAGTTCTATATAAATAATACCCATTCAGTGAGCCAGGGAGGAGGAAGTGCAGGGACTCTGAATACAGCACCAATAACATTTAAGCAGCAGCCAGACCAGAGATCTGCCTCTGCTGCTATGGGATGCCCAGGTCATCATCCAACATTGTAATTACAAAGATCTGTGAAGATGGGAATTACTTTTTCATGCTCAGGTGAAAGAGAAAGGAGAATTTCCTGTATGTTTATGATTATGAAAACACATGAGAATAAGGCATGCCATGTTTTCTACATTGTTTGACCAAACAGACTCTGCATGTAAAACAAATTTGTAGTTATATTGTAAGTGGCAAAGGATGGAAACTGGGAGTGTTACACTGTAAGACAGCCAAATCACCCCCAAACAAGTTCTTAATTAGTTCCAGAGGATACAAAAAAGAAAGCAAAAAAATTAAAACCTACTTTGTTAAATAACGTCAATTTAATTAACGTGTAATTTGACAACCCATATCGGCATTAGATATGTGCACCTGCATATCTAAAGAATGCTAATGTAACTTCTGATATGTACTAGAAATAAAAGACTCCATATGCCCATGCACACTTATTAGGTTTATCCTTCACAATCTCAAATTCAGATCAGCACATCAGAAATCAAATGTTTTTTTGATCATTTTTGTTCTGTTAGGGGAGATCATAATCATCATCAACCACACATCAAATTATGGTAAAATTAATCAAATGGAAAAGCCCACATTTTACTAAAACTATTTTAATACTAGTTTTATGTACTGTATATAGGTTTACTATATACAGTATGTATCAATGTAATGTTGTGTTGTTGTATACTTAACAATAACTATTTTATACAAATGTGCAGTGCTCTCCAGATTTATCCCTGATAAAATGGGAACAGAAAATATCACTGAAAGATTTAGGAAAGAAAGAATTGGATAATGCTGTCTTGTGTAAATCATATCTTTAGGTCTTAATTGCACTGCACAGAGAAGAGTCATATTTGTCATAAAATACTGATAGTTGTTTTAATTAAAGCTTTATTTTACTTTTACTCAAACTAGTGTAGGGACCAACGATTATTAATAAGTATTACCTACCCACCTGTTTTGTCTTTTTTGTCCATAACACTCCTCATCCTGTTTCATTTAAGTAGAACATACTACAAATATTCTAAGTGTAAACTATTTCTAATTGCCACATCAATGTAAAATTGACACAACACCTAGATTTTTTTGTTCAAATTTGTTTAACAATCTGTGAATTGAAAATGCTGCATACCAACAGTGCCTTAGTTTCTAGTTTTTACTCACTGGTAAGTTTGGGAGCAGCCTTTAATTTACTAATTCTCATAATATTGGTAACCTGTGTGACAGTGCAGTGGGGGAGGCGCCACGGCGAGCACCGGTAAAATGTCTAGGCCCCGGGTGAGGTTTAGCAGGGACCAAAACTAACATAAAAACAGGTGAAAAAATAAACACAAAGGCTAAAAGAAAATGTACCTCTGTGCCTCGGAACCTCCAGGCTGGTAGAGAAGGGCGCGTCAGGGTCAAATTAAAATAAAAACTTGTGGAAAAAGAGCAGACCTGTCCTGGTAGTACTGCACAGTGGGTCAGGCAAAAAAAAGAACACCCTCCCTTCTACCTGGGCTCCACGTAATGATGTTAATGATGTCTCCTTCACATTTACTGAACATGCATTTAACCTTTTAACTGCATTTAAGAAGCAGTTAAGAGTTCTAGCAAAATACATATTTTATAATGCAGGACTCCACCACATACAGTGCATCTGTATAAAATGTTACTGCTGCTGCAGTGATGAGGTGGGAGCTGATCTGACCTGAAGTGTTTTCCAGAGACAAACTCCAGCTCCTCAGCCACAGCACAGTACACAGAGGTCTGTGCTCCTTCCTTGGGTGTCTTGATGAACATTGAGAAGAGCCAGAATAGAATGGCCAACATGGAGGAGTGTCTGACCAGCTCAGATTTCACAGAGCCCGGGTGCACAGAGTTCACAGTCACCCTCAGCCCTGCAGGACAGCAAATTAAAAAAAACAGAGGTTTCAGAGTGTGTAAGAGGTGACATTATTGTGTTGATCATTTGTCACTTTCATAGGTGCATAAACAAAAGCTAGTACAATATAATCAAAACAAATCTAAGGCACCAGAAAATCAGAGGGAACATGGAGCATGAAAAATAAAAAAGTACTAACAAAAAAGTAAACATAGCCCTGGAACAGGCTTGACACAGGTAATACATTAATACATCAATGACATCAAGCACAAAATGAAGCAAACATGAACATCAAAATGTGGTAGCTTAAACTTGATGAACAGATGAACATGCAGAAAGGTCACATTTAAACCAGACAAGTGGAATTACTTTACTAAACATGGACGTTGGAAAAATTCTGTCATTGTGGAGGCAGAGAGGAGGTTCATTGTGGCAATACTCAAGTTTCAGTTGTGTCAGATTCAGTACCTTGGAGTCGCTTAGCCAACTCCCGGGTAAACAGGATGTTGGCAAGTTTGCTCTGGCAGTAGGCTAGGCCGCCATCATAGCTCCTCTCACTCTGAAGGTCATCAAACTTGATTCTTCCAACAACGTGTGCCAGGGAGGATACGATGATTATGCGTGAGGGGACGCTCTGCTTAATCAGGTCTATCAGAAGGTGGGTCAGGAGAAAGTGGCCTATAGATGCCATGGAAATGAGTCAAAATTTTGAACAGCTCAAGCACATCTCTCTTAAGAATAAAACAATGCTTTGATTTTTCAGTTGTATAATAAATTCTGAGCAAAGAGATACTGTCTTGTTAATTAATTGACTCTTCGTGCGACTCAGAACAACTCAGAATACCTGTCCAGCTGGTTAATGCATAAAGTAGTATAATCTGAACTACAGTATTTATTACAATGCACACAGATCCATAGGCATAAATTTATTTAAAATTTAAAAAAATTTAAAATTTATTTTAAATAAATGTTGAGTAATCAAGAAGGTTCTTGAAATGATACATGGAGAGTGGAAAGTAATTTCGCCCTGACTTCCAAGTTTTAGTACATCTGAGGGCCAGTGTCTTACAGTTTCATTTTAACATTGCTCACTGATTTAACACTTAACTACTTAACAATTAACTTGAAATCCTAAATACCCTTTAGGTATTAGAAAAGGTATCTTTTAAGTGTTTATTTACAGTAATTATTAATTCAATACAGTAAACCAGTTGACCACCATAAACCATGCCATGACATCAGGCCGGGATGTCTGGATTTAATTTTTAATTTCCTGAGCTCCACCTTATTATCAAGGTCTTCATTCTACATTCAAAATAGAGTCAAGCATTTCTTTATTATTAGAAATGTCGAGGACAAGAAAAGCCCTGAGCACCTTACAACAGCATTTCTTCTTAACGTTTAGTTATGTTTATCCAAATTTTTATAAATGTGTCCACATCTGGTTTGAGTAGAAATCCTTTACCTCTACCTCTTGTCTACCTCTTTCCCTTTCCTGTGTCAGCATCCATGATTCTCTGCTCAAACTCACCCAGATGGTTAACTCCAAACTGCATCTCGAAGCCATCAGTAGTCTTGGAATAAGGACACATCATCACCCCAGCATTGTTGATCAGAATGTGAATATGTTTCTCATCTAATATGGAGAGTGTAAAAACAGTCAAAAGAGCACAGCTGAGATTGTTATCCATTTCACAAGCCACATATTATTTATGTACTACGTTTACATTTACTTGTGGAAACTAGCCCAGAGATACCAAACTACAAAGCAATCTAAAATGCATTAAATGATTATTTTCCTGTTAAATACACTCAGCTTTGGCTAAACACTTTATGTACACTTTTGGTATATTTTGTACATGTGCTATAGATTTTTCCTATTTATACCAACATTCATATAAAGCACAACAAATGAGTATTGAAACCAATTGCATATCTTGTACACCCTCTGCCCAAGTTTCCTCAATCTATGCAAAATTAGCCTCACATAAAGACTTCCTGAAGGTTCCATAACATTTTGTTACATCCCTAAAGAGCAAGCAGTGCAGCAAATTCCTTCCCTAGATGAATAACATAGACTGACCATAATATGGTCTCTGCCAGGGCTCTCTTTCATACTTCAGTCTCACTTTGCCTTCTCACACATGTATCTATCTTGTTCCATTTCTTTGAACATTATGTCAACCATTTTGCAATCATATAACAGAAGGACCCAAGTTATTTTGCTGTAGTTATATGGATTGTCATGTGTTTCAATCAAGATTAGCCTATTTCAAAAGTCTTCCTTAGAATTCTCCACTGCAACTTTCAAAATCCTAGATCACTTTTCACAATGTGTTGTAATTCCAGTGTCATCTCTAAATCCAAGTCAGCTTCTAGATTCAGGGGTGTCATACCTTTAAGGATGTCTTTAGCAAAGTGCCGGATGGCCTGAGTGTCAGCCAGGTCCAGCCTCCTGACTACTACCTGCTGGTTCCCTGTGTCAGAGCGGATCTCCGTTGCCACAGCCACACCCTTCAACACATCCCGACACGCGATTATCACTCGAGCACCTACAACAGGAGATCCAATTAAGTGATCATTGTGGTCCTGACTCTCTGTGGTCATTAAAAATCGCAGGGCATTTCTCGAAAAGAGTAGGGGTGTTACTCCAGGTCCTGGCCAAATTTCCAACTGGATTACCAATCATGGCCTCCTAATAACTGCCATCTATGAATTGGCATTATAACTCTGTTCCGGTTGCTGAGGAATTCTACTGCATTAGGCCACTGAGCAAGGACCTTAACCCCAACCCCAGAGAAAGTCAGAGAATAGAGGCAAATATCTCTGGAGGCTAAAATAATGGATTTGTGCCAATGTTATACTATAGCTGACAATTGTGCTAAGTAAACGCCCAGGGATTTTTAATGACCATGGAAAGTCAGTAACTCGATTTTAAATCTCATCCAAAAGGCGGAGACTTTTCTACATTATATATTTCAGTATTTGATTGTTTTTATATTAACAATCCAGGCCTCTTTAACAACAAGATTCATAAAGACCCTATAAAATACAGCAATTGGTTCAGGCCATTTATAAATAGGCCAGTTTATACCACTTTAACACAAAAAAACCCTATCAAGGACCAATGAAATTTCATCCAAAGGATACGGCTGTTGAAAGGTAAATTTTGAAAAAATGATCAATTTTAAATTAATCATTTATTAAAAATAAGGTTTCTTAAAGACCTTTAAAGAAACCTTAGCCAACACTTATCTATTAAATATACAGTACTTATATGGTTAGAAAACAAGGCTATTTGAAAAAAACATGTCTGCTACAGAACTGAGACATTTTCTTGAAAAATTAAAAAGCCATCTTTAGGAAGAGGAGGTATAGATCCTGCTATTCTGCTGTCTCTAAATAGATCGGTCTTTGTGATTACACAGTTTTTAGAGCTATCAATCCATTATATGATTTGCTGTATTATTTAACAACTATTCGTACATTGGTGCATAAGGGGCTTCCAATAAAGGGACACACCGAACATAATCCTTATTTTAGTATAAAATACCATTGTGTAACAGATTGCTTTGAATATTCAAGCAGATTAAGAAAAAGACTGCACAGTAAATTCTACATCCACAATGTTAGTCAAGGTTCTAATCTAGACAGTTGGTTTTCCTTAACGCAGTGATTACTTGCATGTGCACATCTCCTGCTGGAGCACATTGCTGGGAAAGAAGACAGAGAGCAGTGTCCATACCCCGTGCTGCCAGGGCCCTAGCTGTCTCCTTGCCTATCCCTGTGTTCGCTCCAGTGATGAGCACAGTCTTTCCATCCAGGCGAGCGGAGGACATGCACACCCCTCCGGCAGAAAACCTCCTACAGACAATGGAGTGGTTGCAGAACTGAGTCAGGACAGGCCACTGTGGTGCACACTGCTGAGCAGAAAATTACTTTAACCAAAAAGACAGTCATCAAATTTGTGCTACTGCTATACCCCTTGCCTTTATCTAGCAAAATGCATTCAGATGGTGGCAGAACATAGCAAAAAAGAAATCTGCCCCCCTCATCGTACTGTAGTTTTTACAGATGTAATAACTAACTGTGGAGCACCACAGGGATGTGTGAGTTCAAGACCGCTCTTCATTGTCTATGTACTGTAAATGATTGTGTTGCCAGTGGTGCTCACCAGCTTCTAATTAAACTTTCTGATAATTCCATAACCTCTGATTAATGATATTGATTAACCCAACCTATATCAGAATAGTGTATACAGTTTAGTTGCACAGTGTGACCAGAATTCCTTGATTTTAAATACCAGAAAAACTGAAGAAATCTTGATTATAATAAATATTCTTCCCTAGTCATAATTCATCATGTCCATTACACAAGTTACACTGTATACATATCTGGAATTATACATAGATTCTAACCTGTATTGAAAGGCACATGTTGACATTCTTTGTAATAAAGTATAAAAGATAATTTACTCTTTTTGAATGTTATGGGTTTTTGGAGATGATTGTCATATCTTGTTCATGTTTTTCAGTTCTGTAATATAAAAGTTTAATACAGTATGGAATAACTATCTGGTATAACTGTTTTCTGTGCAACAAAGAGAGACCCAAATGCTTGAGGATGTATGAATTTAGCGAGGCTGCCACTTGAGCAAAGCTTTCAAACTGCTTATATTAAGAGTGTGTTGGGACTGGGACTCATTTTCTGTATGAGAAATATTAACTTGTCTTCAACCTGACGTTTATGTAAGTCCTTCTATGTAGACCTAATAAACTAAAGAGTTATATCCCATACTCAAAGTTCTTAACCAAAAGCTGAGTTCACAATAATGGGCAAGAGTTATCAGTGAAACTTGCAAGAGTTAAAGCCATAAGTCAACCACTACGTGGTGAACAGCTAATTGTCCTTTCAACAGTCTCTATATGGTCGTGGGTGGCAACTGTCATCTGTAGACACAGGATACGAAGTTACCAAAGCGCAGATCATCAATCAAAAAATGCTGTGTGCAAATGAACTGAAGAAGCCTGACCACTAGGATAAAGTGTTCCACATTGTCAATGTTAATTATTCATCATGTGGTCCATCTTTAACCTGCCCTAAACCGATAGGGTTTTCCGGTTAAAAACGAACTCTGCTCACTGCGAAACAAATATGACTACTTCTCAATTTTAGATGCTGTATTCCTTTATTAATCCGCCAAACAAAATTACCGGCGATTACTAATACGACAGGCCGTTTAACAGGTATTCCAATCATACGGTTTACAATATATGTGCATGTATTTGCTTATTTATTTTCGCAAAAAACTGTTGAAGACGCCAGAACAGAGGTGTAGTGCACAATAATTTCAACTCTATTGAAATAATTATAGTAAAGATACCGTATCATTAGACAATACATCCAGGTGGATGCTGCACATTGGTGGTGGTGGAGGGGAGCTTTGAGTGGAGTGTCCGGAAAAGCGCTATATAAGTGTAAGCAATTATTATTATTATTATTATTATTATTATTATTATTATTATTATTATTACTACTACTACATTGTAAAATTAGACAAGACCTTGCATCGTAAATGATACACAATACTGAAGTGTCAGGACAGCTGAATTTGGCTATTTAGGTGCTTTCTAAAGCATTTACAGAAATAATTTTGGTGACAGTTTTTTCAGTTGTCCAACCTAATTAAAACATATATGGTACATATCACAAATGAGAAATCAATGTTATCCACCCATCTGTTGGGAAAATCACGACTCCGAATTAAAACTCTGCAAAAAAGACACTCGTTTACCTGATGTAACCCCTTAATAAGTACCAGAGGACTCCGATGACACCTAGAATTGCAATTAATGTCAACATTGTAACCTTCCCTCTTCACCTACATGTATCTCTTCTTCTCTTCACGCTCGCTACTCTTGCTCTTTGCTCAGCTGTACGTTACTGTAATAGCTGAAGGACTTTTTACTTTGATTGAGTAGCGTGAATTTAGCGACATTAAGCGGCGCTGGCTTGTCAGCACCTTTCAAAATAAAAGTCCCATAAAACCTGCCTCATAAAAAATAATCCTGGGCCAGTTAAAGTCACATTTATAGTCACAACAACAATTTGTTCATCCTCAAAACTAGGTGGAATGTGATAAATAGACCCACAGGTAATAAGGAATTGCCGTTCTTCATTAATTTTTTTGCTCTCTTGCAATCTTATTGGTGTTTTTATAACACTTTCTCCTTGCAAATTGACACAGAGCTGTGCATTGCTAGACATGGAAAAGTATAATTCCTGACAAAAAAAACTGTGCCTCTCCAAAAGTAGTTCCAATCTATTCTACAGACCCTCAGCTAATAGAAAATCACCATGGTTTTCTCAGATAAGCACCTCTGTCAAAACTGCTGGGGTTTATAGAGCACCTCCAATTCCCAGATTGGGACAGTGCAGCAATGGGCACTCTCCAAAAATACCTCAAATCTACTCTACAGACCCTCAGCTAATAGTACATAACCGAGGTTTTGTCATTATATGTGTCTTTGCTAAAGTTGCTGGGGTTTAGAAGACCACTTGCTGTTCCCAGACTGGAACCGTGCAGTGATGGACAGGGAGTGGTCTCATTCCCCTCCCGACCAAATAAAAATTTGTTCCTCTCCAAAAGTGACTTAGATCTGTTCTACAGATCCTCAGCTAATAGTACTATAGTACTCAGCTAATGGTTTTGCCAGATGAGCGTCCTTTGCCAATGTTGCTGGGGTTTATAGGGGTCTTTTAGTGGCCGATACTAGATTTGTCTCGAAGGGCATGATATCACAATGTGGGCATTGTTAACACTTCACCAGTGGATTATCCTTTCTGGTTTGAAATAAAGTGTCAATTTCACACTTTTTTCCTTACTGTCTATGGGATAATTGTTTGGAGTGTAAATGTAAGACATATTATCAAACTTTGGTATTCTGCTTTATTAAATTTATTAGAGTGTATTGAAACAGCCAAAATATTGAATAGACCTTCAATGGTGATGTATCTTTCCTGGGAAGGTGGCTCTGCCACAGACATGGTATGGAGCCTTTTTGATTTGATCCAGTAATGTGGAAACGGTGGCTCACATGTTGCCCAAGTACTAGTTGTTAATTGATTCCCCCCATGCGTTCCGAAAGACTGGGAAGTAAAGATGCCTTGTAAGTGTTCTGTATTAAAACACTACAGATTTTCTCTTAAATTACATCAGCTTTTATTATTTTGAGTGTAGAACTACTCAGACAGCATTCAAATGCTGCTTCAGCTGTCTGGCCTATTATCCTTTGGACACATAAATTCTCCACAGCACAGGGGGGAGGAAAAACCTCATTGAACTGCAAGAAACCCTCCGGGGTTCAATTTTGGATGATAGAATCTAATATTAGAGAATTTCTCACGAAACTTCTATGTCAATTTTACCTGGTTCGGCATCTACACGTATTTTTGGAAATCTGAATAGCTTTAGATCCCAGAAGGGTCTTGAAAGTCTTGTGTATTGTTACAGGTAAGGCTGTCTGTTTCTTTGTCACTGATTGCAAGCTATTCAAAGACTCTTTCAGTGCCTCTTTACTATGCAGTAGAGTTGATATGTAACTGTTCAGTGGCTCCAGGTTTTTTTGTGTTTCATGAGTATTGGCATTCTCAACAGTGAGTACATGGTTTGACCAATATATGTCTCTGTCTGATGCCTCCCTTATTTCTAGAAAACAAACACAATAATTAGTTTGGTCTATGCTATGTGTTGGCTGTGTTGTGATGTATTGATCATTTGCTTTAATTCTAAATTTCTGTCCAATGCACAAAAGTACCGCCCAATGATGTCCACCTCTGTTTATAGACTTTCCTTCATGGCATATTGTTGATTTAATTGTACATTGCACTTTACCAACACTTTCCAATTCCAACTGCAGTTCGCAGTGGAATGTGCTCTGGGAATCTGAATCACAATAGTTTGTGGACAAGAGCTAAATTGTTGCTTCCAGACCACTGTTTGCTAACACTTTGAGCAATTCTGTGTGACTATGTTCTCTAGCAAAGACTTGTGTATGAGGGTCGATTAACTCATGAAAAACTCAGCTATCTGTGCAAGCAAAAAATGACTGACTTCACGTCTTTCGGTATGCAGGAAACTACAGTTCTAGCAAAAGTCTACATGGGAAGTAATACTGTTTACTTGGCCACAAACAAACCAGGACATAAGGGGAATTATTAAATTGGCTGGGTAAATTTCTCTCTTGAAATCTACTGAAGATATTACTTCACATATCTCATCTAACACTGGCTTTGAAAAGTAGCTGCTAAGATTGTTGATGGAAGGTTTGACCAAATTCAGTAAACAGCCAGGCATAATCTTAAAACCTTTAGAAAATAATTTAATATTTATTTTGGTCTGCATTGCATTCATGTTACTAACACGCTACATGACAAAATTTAACCAGCACTTGTTTTTGAGAATGTAATGATAGGTGGCTTGTTGTAATCATTTGGATGACCATAAATTTTGCATGTATCATTTAGACTAAAAATGTCTGATTGTCTTGATAGGGGGTTTTTGGAATGAATGCCTGAGATGTTGTGGAATTTTCTTGTTCCATTCCTCCTCTTCCACAAGGGCAGGAGACTTACTTATTCTAGAAAAATTCAGTCTTATCTTATCACAAAATTCCCTTTACTTTCCTTTGTAAAGAGTTCCTAACCTTTCCACACATTCATTTTGAGCTTTACCTCAGAAATTGATGTAGTCCATCCATCTTGCTGAAATCTACCCATTAGTATGTCTGTCCAAATTGAGATTGACGACAGGATTTTTTTTTTTCCAAAACAAGTTTTGAACCAAAATAGTCATTGGGCTCTTTGTTCTCCTGTCTGTTTATATCTGTCATTGCCTTAATGTACATTTTTTTAAATCGTGAATAAATGGAGAATTCACATTCTCTATGCATCCAAAATCAACATCTGAGTCCTCAGCACCTGTAACAGTGGGGACACTGCTAGTGTTCAGTTGTGGAACTAGACTTCTGAGATTGGAAATAGACTGTGTGACAAGTGTGTTATTTTATCTACTACCCATGAAAATGCAGGTATCATAAATATGAGCAGAGAGATCTTCTAATCCCACTGAATTAATTATGACACTGAAGATATACATGCCGACTCTGCAAAATTTCCTTGGTTATTTTAGCTGGTTTTGGAAAATTACCACTGTGCTCGTGTTTTAATTTCCGGGGTTTCTCATAACACCTACCATGTAGATTCATACCATCAACATCACTTCTGCACATACTGTGCATTTTACTTTTTGAGGGAATTACATGAGGAACAATTTCCTTGGGTGACGGATGCACTACATGCAATACTACTTTCCACTTCTGTGTCACCATTTAGCTCGACCTCCCTATCCTGGGAAACCATCTGTTTATTGTCTGTCTTACCACAATAAGCCCCCCAAATGAGATAATCCAGCGCTGTTTGAGCACCAATGCTGACGTGATACATCAATTTTACTTTTTTTTGGTTACATCTAACTTATTATGTATTACACTGCTGATTGCTTCACATTTGTTCAAGAAACTGAACCCAGTTTTTAATGCCGTGGCTTTAACATCACAATTTTCTGAGCAACACAGAAACCCTACAGAATCAATATCTTTGTCATTCTGTCTCATACCTATACAAACAAAATTAATCCACTCATTGCAAGCGTCACACTCCACCTTTGTGTTTTTTGCCTGTTGGATGATTTACAGATGCATTACAGTTTTTGCCTTTTCAAAACAGTGCCAGTCATCCACTCTATGTCTAAGAACCTTTTTATATTGTATGGTTACTCCGTGTCACAGCTATGGTTTTGGTCACAATACTATGATCTTCAGTGTCAGCATTACTTTGGTTGGGATCACGGTTATTGTTTACACTTTTCCCTGTCCATCACTGCACAGTCCCAGTCTGGGAACAGCAAGCGGTCCTATAAACCCCAGTAACATTAGCAAAAACACTTATCTGAAAAAAACACAGTTATTTTCTATTAGCCGTGGGTCTGTAGAATAGATCTGAGGTATTTTTGAAGAGGTCCCAGTCTGGGAATGGGAGGTGCTCTATAAACCCCAGCAGTTTTGACAGAGCCACTTATCTGACAAAAAAAGGGTGATTTGCTATTGTCTGACTGTCTTAAAATTGTATGTTTCACCACTTTTGATGGTGCAAAAAAAATGTTTTTGCCCTTGATTATAGTCTAAAAAACTGAATTAAAATATAATAAATGATTTGATTTAATTAGAAATTTCAGATACAGCTCCTTTAAAAGCTTGCATCTTAAAACCTTTTTCATTGGACAGGAAAAAAACATGTCTATGAAAAGAATATAACAATGACAATTTTTACAGTACTATAAATGGAAGAAAGGTGCTGTAAAATTAATAAAAACTTCTAATAATCTTAGATTTGTCAAACTTGGAGATTAGTGGATACGATTTAAAATTAAAAAGGACCCTCTCAAATTTTGGCAGAATGTTCAAGGAATTACAGTTACCCACGAAGAAATAACAAAGCAGGTGTTTCAGCTTAATGTTGCTATACTCCTCATACTATACTCCTGTGGTAGCTGAAAGCTTTTATTTTGATTGAAATTCGGCTATTTACATACACTTCCGGATCATTCGCGTCGCTTAAAATAACTAGCTTCCTAGTCTCATAAGCTTTCAAAATAAAAGTTCTAAAAAATGTCTGGGAAAAAAATCCTCAACAGGTAAAGTTATATTTCTGATAAACGTTACATATTTACACTATATGTGCTCTGCTTTAAACCTCGTCTAATAGTATCAGGCTACGTTTCTTTGAAAAATATTAACTCTTAAGTGCTGTAGTCTTTGCGGTAGCATACAAAGAGTTATTCTACTCGAGTTATTCTACTACTTGGCTTTTAAGTTTAAAGTCTACAAGGTTGATAGCTGGCATAGTTTTGGGTGCACAAAACTGTAACTACCCGAGAGAATCTTAAAGATGTTCCATTTAAAATAAAAGTATACGTAAATATACTTGTATACGAATCTTTTAATTTGTCTTGAAAGGCGGCTTTCTAGAGGACGATTACTGAGATTTTTGGGACACTATAGGTTTGTTGAAACGTTTACTGTTCTAAAAGATCATTTAGATATGTCATTTAGATAAATCAATTAATATGATACCCACTCAAAACAACAAAAAACTTATTTTTTTTAGAAAGCATACTGTAATATTTGCAGATAAAACAATTTAAAGGGTCACTAATCATGTGAAGCTCATTCCCACACATTCCGAGTACTACATTGTCCATAAAGCTTTGCTCTTTAGTTTTCCTTGGTAGAAGCCTTTATAAAATACACATTTGAGAGGGAAACTTCAAGTCTTGTAATTAAAAAAATAGTTAAGATAATGTCATGTTTTATAACGTAGCATATATGGCGTTATTATTGTACCTATTCTTCTTATAATGTTAATCCCTTCAAAACAGGCAACGAAAAGTGGTCTAAAATGCAAGGACCATTACCAGGAGTCCCGATAATCTTTTGTTTTCACGTACTTATATTTGACTTGTAGGTGAATTACGCGGTTGGTTCCTTGAAACAAAACACAAATACTGAAATGTCTTCCGAAGAGTTTGAAAAGTTGCATGAGTTTTATAAATCCCTTTTCGAAGAGCTAAAAGTGATGCCAGACCGAGTGTCCCGATGTTATGGAGGTAAGTAGAAAGGCTTCGAAAGTCGAACTGGAATTTCAATCAATAAAATACCAGAAATTCATTGGAATTATAATATATATAATATTAATTGGAAATACTTCACATTCGATAAATATTCCGATGGAAAACCTAACACAATATATTAACGAGACATTTTAAAACGTTACCTCAATTCAACGTTTGGGATTTCTAGCTCCTTAGTGAAATATAAATGTCAGAAGTCTATATTATCATTATTGCTGCTGACAGTCGGTGTCGTGAGATGAATACAGGCTCCAGGAAGGTACTAGGAATAACTGAGCTGTTACCTTGATTCTGTTATCACTGAAGAGGCACAGAATGGCTTACGAATGTGTCTGTGCAAGTAGAGCGCAGAATTCGCTCTAAATATTCAAGTAAATTTATATTCAATATTAAAAAAATAAAGATCGACAAAGCAATGTAGGAAATGCACAATTCTAATAAATGCAATAAAATGCAAAACTTTCGTACAGTTTGTAGAACGGCAACATACAAAACAAGAGACTTATAAAGTGCAGTGCAAACGTTACAAATTATAAAACATTTATCCAAAACGTCCTGGAACAAAAATTCTTTGACGTTTTCTTCTTTTAGAGAAGCCCTGAACTCGGAAAACCTCATGAAATTGTAATGATATCAGAATTTTAATTTCATTCCCATTTTGGTTCCGTTCATTCCGAGAGACAAGTTTGGTAGTAAGGACTTGCTCCTGATGGTGCTGCCTTCATCTGGATTGATACTTAAAACTCACATAAGGTTGCATTCTTTGCTGATAATGCAGTACATGACTTCTTTGGACATAAAAGTGTCATGGGTGGAACAGGCGGTTTAGGCCAGACCTCTGATGAGAAACAGAAAATGTACAGAGGAATTTTAAATTGTTCAGGATAACCCATCTATAGCAACCAACTTCACTGTTTTAAACCACTGTCACCAATTTCATATAAAACACAAGAACCTCAAAGAATATGTGGTCCACATTTTGTTCTTTCTTTTGAACGTTTTTAAAACATTACTTGTAATAGGTGTAACATTTAGGAAATTGTCTTGCAGTGCAATGGCCCTCGTGTGCTATCTGTGTGGAGTTTGTATGTTCTCTTCGTGTTCGTGTCTGTTATCTGTGGGAGCTCCAGTTTCCTCCCGCAGTCCAAAAACTCACTAGTAGATTAATTGGCACCTGGTAAAATTGGCTTAAGCTCCCCAGCAGCCCTGTATTGGATGAAGCAGTAAGATAATGGATGAATGGGATTTAACTTCTGAAAATAGTATTTTGAATCAAATGCTTTTTGTAAATCTTGTGTACAACATAACTTTCCTTTTCAGTGCTTATCTATACAAGTTTTAACATAAAACCTCTTTACTGCCTCTTTGGTGCCTGCTTAAAGTTCTACAACTTGCTTTAGAATATGAAAGAAATGTTACTTAGGGAAGAACAGGACACTTTGGAACCAGCAGTAATGTGTTATATTATACTTATTTAATATTTTATACGTAAGGGATGGTGAGGTAGTGAATACAGCACTAAATCCCTAGCTGGGGTCACAAGAGATGTTCTAGCGAGCAAGCATTTTTTAAATATAGGTATGCCAGTGCATGCAACTTGAACCTTTTTGCTATGAGCACAACTCTAAAACCTTTCTTCTTTCAGAGGAAAGGAAGCGGCATGTGAGAGTTTTTGATGAAAAAGTAGGAGAGGCAGAGGAAATGGTAAGGAAAGGATAAGGTGGGATTTTCATTCTTAAATGTTTGTGCTCTACAGGGTTTTAAGGCTGTCCGGGGAGATCTTGATTGTCAGCTAGATCCATAAGTTCTATAATTTACTCAGTCACCATATCAACTAATTGAACAGTTGAAGAGCTGCTTTTACATTTGGCTTGTATCTGACTTCCCCTGTAACCAAATAAATCAAATGTGCTGGACCAGTCCTTTGCTAATTCCATGTTTGAATTTCTGTTTGAATGTATGTTTTTATTCATTTATTGATCAAAATGATTTTTGTTGGAAAAAGTATGTGAACCTCTAATATTACCTGTTCAGGTAAGGGGATAATTTAGATTCAGGAGTGTCAATCTATGGAATGACAATCAGGTGTGAGTTTGGGGGGCCCTGCCCTGTTTAAAAAACATAAACCTGAGCCTTCACCACCAAAGTCTGGTCTTCACCACACAGGTTTGTGAACACATGCCATGTCTCGATCAAAGGAGATTTCTGAGGATCTCAGAAAAAGAGTTGTGGATGCTCATCAGGCTGGAAAAGGTTCCAAAACAATTTCTAAAGACTTTACCAATCCACTGTCAGGCAGATAGTGTACAAATGGAGAAAATTCAACACCATTGTTATTCTCCCCAGGAGTGATTGTCCAACAAAAATCAATCCAAGAGCAAGGTGTGTAATATTCCACAAGACCACAAAGAACCCAAGGGTAACGTCTAAGGATCTACAGGCCTCTTTTGCACTGGCTAATGTCAGTGTTCACCATCAGACAAACAGTGAACAAGAAGAGTGTGCATGGGAGGATAGTAAGGAGGAAGCTACCACTCTCCAAGAAGAACATTGCAGCGGGGTGTTCATGCAAGAAAGCCCACCAACATCACTGAGTTGAAGCAGTGCTGTAAGGAAGAATGGGTCAAAGTAAAAAAAAAATACTACACTTTTGATTTCTGTGTTTGTAAAGTAACATTTTTTAAATGTACTTGCAGCTCCAGGAGATGGAGAAAGAACTGATTGGAGCTCCTCCTTCCTTTCAAAACCCAATGACCACTAAGATCCGCATTTACAGGCGGGATCTGGGGAAGCTGCAGCGTGAGATGAAGAGCTCAGACCTGGGTTTGGGGTTTGGGGTTCGAGGAGAGGGCAGATATGGAGTTTTTGCTGCTGAGAATGAGCAAAGTGTAAGTCTAGCATAGCTGTCCTGGAGAGGAGTTAACTCCAGTACGAAAGCCTGAAAGTTCTGTCTCAACTTTTTCTTTCTTCTGTATGTAACATAGATATTCACCTTTCTAGACTATCTGATAACGGATTTTATACCTGTTCAATTTAGGATTTTATTGTATTATTATTATTATTATTATTATTATTATTTGAAATGTACAAGAATGAAATTCATTCTTAACACTCTTTTCATCCTGCAGGAACTAGTTACTGTTTGCAAAGTTTAGAGAATAGCTCTCACATGTGTCACATTTTGTCCATTTAAATGAGAGACAAATTTCAAAATAGAATTTGATCAGGCTAGTATACTGGGCCACTGTCCCAGTATTTGATGTTTTAGAATCCACACTGACCTAGTCTATTATGTTTCAGACGCAACTGCAGTCTCAAAGAGCCCTGCTCTTGCAGGGAACAGAGTCTCTGAACCGGGCCACGCAGAGCCTGGAGCGATCTCATGGCATAGCAGCTGAGACGGACCAGGTTGGGACAGACATCATCGAAGAGCTGGGAGAGCAGAGAGATCAGCTGGACCGCACCAGAGACAGAGTGAGTTTTTTTTTCATCTTTAAACTTTAATACATAATTCACAAGTGAAAGTAAATATTACTTTGGAGCAAAATGCTGTAATGTAATGCTGTTAAACATAATTAAGTCAGCAGAAAGAATCAGGAGTCATTTATAATGCTTAATTAAAATTGTTTGAGTCCTTCTGTAAGGATAATGGCTTGATAGAATGTATTTAATTCCAGTTCAGGGCTTTTCAGTCTGCCCATTTTGAATGTCCTCCTCTATACTAGATCAGTACACAATTTTCATAATTCTCTGACTAGCTGCTCTATCAATTAAGCATCCTCTAAGTTTGTCACACACTTTTTATCACCAGTGACAAACCCTCACCAACAATTCATTACATCTGCAATAATGATGGATGCATCACTGACAATTTCATCACTGGACTTCTCTGTCCTTGGCAGTTTTTCATAACGTTACATCCTATTTCATTACAATGATAATGTCAAAAAGATTTAGAAATCACTAGTTGTAGTCGTAATATGCATTCATTATAGCGCAAAAAACAAATTTGGTTCAAATTCATTCTATTCAGACCAGTTATTAAAATTCACTTACAAAATAAATAAAATGACAGTATCACAAAATTTGATCAATTCTGAATTGAGTGCAAAATCGTGAACTTTATGAACATAATCCCTCTAGAATAATGTTCCTAAATGAACACCCAGTGCATTATTGTTAATTGCATTGCATTATAATCCTGCAGTCATTAAATGCACAGAGGTAGTTATTTACTAAAAGGCTGTGTCCTCAGACCCAGGCGTAGTCGTTGGAAAGGAACTCTTGCAGATCTGCTGTTGTGAGCAGCAAATTGAGAACTGCTGCTGTGAAGCATTTTGGGATCAACAGGGATGCAAATTCTTTTCACTGAAAATGAGTGCATGGTACAAAGGTGCCAACTAACATGGCAAAAGCTTTTCCCCGTTGGTTCAGCTACCGAACCTTCTAACTGTGCCTTTTTGTATTTGTACAGCTAGTTCACACGGGAGAGAACCTCAGCCGCAGTCAGAAGATACTACGCTCTATGTCTAGAAGGTAATGTAAATAATGCTCTTACTTGGATTCATTAGAATGCAGTGTCTCCAAGACTGCCACAGACCTCAGATTCACGAGGTCAACGTCAACTAGTAGAGTACCACAAAAATGTTAAAAAAAGACACAAGAAAGAATATGATCCCTTCTGTTAAATATGAGGGTAGGGCTATTGAGCATCCTCTACCCTTGTTCTGGAAAGCATGGACCCTAAAGTACGTTGGGATATTTACAGGAAAATCTAGTTCCCTTTGTTGTAAAATTCAAGCTTGGTCGCAAATTCAAATCTACTTACAAATGTTTTAAGGCCATAAAATCAATATTCTTGATTGGCCATCTCTATCTCCAGATTTCAATAGGACATTTGAGGTTAGGTCACAAGCTCAAGCTAACCTGATAGAGCAGAAGAGGAATGGTCAGGAAATCCTATTGAACAATGTGTGAACCTAAAAGGGTTTTTCGTACCCTTTTAGTGCTATCAAAGCCCAAAAAGGATTGTTGGGGTATGACAAAGTCTAATAAGAAAAATATCCAATTATTTTATGCAGATTGAATTTGCTGTATCTAATACTGAGACATGACACAAAGTATCTAAGATTGTTAATCTCATGGTTTTTTGTTTTCAGTTATGTAAAAAACATTGAATGTTTCCAGGTTTTTTTTGCTAAAACCACTTTTATTACATTATATAGAGAATGAGTAAAGCATGAGCCAGCTATAAATACGTTCTGAGACAAACACCCTAGCTAAATCCTCAAGATCTTAAATCTTATAATTTAATGTGCCGACTAAGCACATTAAGATAGTATTTAGTGATTTCAAATTGATGCTTTCCTTTTTGTTGTTATTAATGTGATTCACATCTGTGAATTTAGAACAGAAATTCAGCCCGAACACAGTAAATTGTTCATCATTATCATTATCATAAGTCTGTGTGTTTGCACATCACAAATTAATCTCACCAAATGATTTTATATGCCTGACATCCACCTGTGGAAGAGAAGGGCCTTGACAGCTTGCATCAGCATATTTTAGGGCCATCAAAATGCACTTCTAAATGCTGAGGAGGATATACAGATGTGTATTTGGCACTTTGGCAGTGTGCCATTATGGTTATATTTGCAGATGTCTTGAAACATTATTATACAATTTGAATACCAGTGTTGAATACTATGTTTTAATTTTGGTGTAGACATTTTGTGGCATATTCCTTGAAGGACAAACCATTCTATTTTATAAGGTACTACAAAATATATATGGATTATTTTAAAATTTGCTGACTGAAGTTACTGTCCATTTTTAGAAGTCCCGGGGAAATGACTGATCTTTTTTCTCTGCAGACTGATGACCAACAAGCTGCTGCTTTCTGTTATCATCCTCATGGAGCTTGGCATCCTAGGAGCAGTCGTTTACCTCAAATTCTTTCGGAATTAGTATCTTCTCATACATAAGACTCCTTCTCCTCCGTGATCTCTTTCTGGAATTGGTGGGTTAACAGCACAGGCCCACTTAAAACACAAAGGAAGAAATGGACAGCCTGTTTTGCACTGCTTTAAACACGTAAGGAGAGGGGTTTTAGATGGACCTGAATTATTCCTGATCCATGAGCAAGGTGTGTTGTCCAGACTGAAACATATACGTCAAGCTAAGCTCAGCCTGATCACACACTGATAGTGCTTTGTACTTGATAAAAGTATTGCTCTAACACTTATTCAGCTTTGTTTAGTCTGATATTAAGCTTTTGGCATCAGCCTACTTTGCTGTTAGTATGTTATACATTGCTGGGGTTTTCCAAATCTCTCCTAAGAACTTTTTTTTCAGACAAGCTTTTCACTGATATTTGTTAGTCAGGACTTCGAAACTGAACCCTGTTCCTAGAGGAAAATGGTTGTAAAAACTGGTGGTCCAATCTATAATGACAAAAGAAACATGAAGTCACATGTTATTAATTTATTTAATGGATATGGTACTTTTTGAAGTGCTGTACCATTGAGACAAGACGCAGTGGATTATAGCTGCAGGCCTTACAGTATGACAACACAGGAAATGTCCAAGGATAGACCATCTGTTCTTTTGGATCCATGTCTCCTTTTTGTAATTTGTCCATCCTGTCAGTCAAGTGTTTGAGCTTCTGGAGTGGCTTAACAGCCATGCACCAGCCCAGAGAAAGTGGCAATCTACTTGGGATAAAAAGACTCCTCTCCTGCCTGTAATGCTTGGAATAAACAAAGTATTGTAGTCTACACTGAAAGATAGATATGGTACTTTAAGTATTAAGACTAAATGCTTAAGTATGTGTTATTTATAACATACAGCTGTAAAATATTTTAATCAGAAAGTGGTCAGGTAAAACTGTACAGTTTGTTATGAATAAATATTTTAAAGGAACTTCACATGAGGAAGCAGAGAAAACCACTGGCACGCATTATCATTGACTATTGCATCATACCTGTACATTTTTCTAGGTTAGCACTGTCATAATAATAGGGATTTGGGAGGATTAGACCAAATATTTTATAGCTGGTTTGTTGCCATTTTTTGCTAAATGCACAAGAGTTAACATTGACAATGTGATTTAAATATGGTGTGCTTTACATGATCAGATATACTTAAGGAATAGAGTATGTTTGTAACAATTTAATAAACTGCTTTCTAGTGCAGCACACTGATTGAGCTGTTTTATAGGACTAACAATATGGATCCTGGTTTTTAAAATAACCAACACCAAATATTACAGTAGGTCAAACAGTTTTAGTAAAATCACATTCCATTATCGTTTCTGTATTAATTAGGAAATTGTTTAAATAAAACTTATTACTATTAGCAGCAACCCAAATATGGGCTTTTATTTTTTTTAAATGCAATTGCAATGATACTCTTAAGTCAGCAGAGTAGATCACATTTTTGTTCCTGAACGCTGGTATTTTAGTCATCATGGCTATACAGTATAAAAAAACTTGCAAAACATTAATATCAAGTGAAATTGCAAACAAATTTCACTGGTTCACAAAGTGCAAAAGCCTGTATGAGTTACAATTCTAAAGTCTCCCTCATGGCTTCACTTGATAAAGACTGGCAGAGTCATAATTAAGTTTAACACAGGAGGGAAAAAAAAAGGTTTCATACTTCAGTCCACACACACTCATAAAGGAGCTCTGGAATGTGAATTAATTAAAAAAACTCCAGTTTCTACAGACAGATTTTCTGTTCGTTGTCTGCTTTGTATGTGGTGCCGGGAGAGGGCAGCTTGTCAAAGGAGATGTGTGCGCCTTCTCTGGTTTTGCCCAGCGATGCAGCAATAACGTCCACTGCTAGACTGGCAGTGGCTTCCACAGCCTCCCTAGTGGCTCCCAGTGTAGGGTTGACCTCCACTAAGTCCATTGCCGACAGAAGGCCTGGAAGAGGAAAAGTGTCAACTTAGGTGACAGTGTGCAAAATAGTGATACACGGGTTGACTCACAGCTGCAGGCGGGTGCGGGTTTACCTGCAGGTCGGGCAAGCTCGGGTTAAAACAAAAAGAATTTAGATCGGGTTGGGCAGGTGCAGGTTTGTTTCTCATAACCGTGGGTAAGTAAAAAAAAGGCAGACCTTCGCATCACTAGTGCAAGAAAATTGGGTTTTACACGGCCCAGGCTGTTGAGAGACTGTGATGCTCTTAGTGTCACCTCTGCCCAGGTTTGTATGGTTTCAGCAAGTACTACACCAGAATGTCCAGTGTCAAAGTCATTTAGTGTGATCATAAAGCTTGTCTCACAAGATAATCAAGTGTTTCAGCACAAGGATATAAGAGATAGGCTATTCTATTTTGAATGCTGAATTGCAGTAAATATACTAAATTGTACAGATATTATAGATAATGAATTAAACCATCAGTTGTTTATATTCATACAGTTGCCCTTGCTTGTAACACTGCAATTTCACTGGCAGTCCAGCCAGCCACAGGCATGCTAAAGAAACCTTTTACAAATCTAAAACCATCCAGAACAAGAGCTAAGCCTATCCGGTGGGACCCATTTGTACCATCCCAATTACAGACAATACTTAAAACGGCTAGCCTAAAACCTTTGATCTCTAGACCACAGGGCTGAACACTTTACCCCAAGCTATAGCTCAAAAACAGCATTAATGTTTTTTTTGCGAATGAGCTAACAAAACCTAAGAATGAATAACAATTAAAGTTCTCTGGCAGCCTACCTGTGTTGTTTATTTCCTCTGCAAGATAGATGCCCTCTCTGTATGTCAACCCTCCATTCACAGGGGTCCCAGTGGCAGGAGCCAGTGAAGGGTCAAAAGCATCAATATCGAAGCTTAGGTGTATTGGCTTTTGCTTCCTAGAGGAGAAAAGGCAAAATGTTACCTTTACTGAAACATATTCTGTTTAAAATTTAATAAGCAAGCTATCACCTGAATTAAGGGTTTAGTAAATTCATGGAGAGCTCAGCAAAAATATTTTTATACCATAATTCTTTATAAGATCTAAGATTATAGAGATATTAATGATAAATCTTTGGTGTTATTGGAGTTAATCTTGTTTTCTTTTTATAAGTCACAGACAATTAGCCATTGCTTATAAAACCCCAACAAACATCATTCCTCTCACCTGCTTAGGAGGTGGTCCAGAGACATCTCCGTCACTCTCTGAATTCCCATCCGGTCGATGTCTCTCATGGTGAAGTACTGGATTCCACAGTTCTTCAGTATGTAACTAGAATACAAAATAAAATGTGAATACTAACCCCTTTTTGAATTAAAATCAACCTAAAACTATTTGTATTTCTTCAAGTAAAATACCTAAATTATGAAACTTAAGACTGATTTGCAGTCTATCCCCCCCCCCCCCACACTTAAATGTTCAAACAGTTTTGAGTCATCCAATTTAAGTACTGGACTTTTACCACCAATATAAACTTTTGTATTATGTGATAATGAAATAGGATTAAATAAAGGTCAAACAGTCATTTTTGACGGTACAGGAAAACTCCCACATTAAATTATTTTGGCTGTTTGGGTGTGGTGGTTGGTATATGATAGAAACTTTCCTGGAATAACACAAAACCCCTGTCCTAGAGTGTTCAATTGTTCTGCAAATATTTAGTCCCTTTCTGTTAGAGTTTGTAGCTTTTTTCAGCTTAACTTAACACAAGTCAATGCAGGAAGCTTCTGTATAAAGTAAAACAACTTGTTAAACCAAAAAGTTGAGGAGTGTCAGAGAAAAAGTTCTTTTGTAGCCTTTCTTTACACCACAAAACAAATGAAAAGGCTGTGCAAATAAACATCCTCATGTACCAATCACGATGAGAAGGCCTAACATTTCAGTGCTTACTTTGAATGTGTTGATGGGAGAGGATTGAAGCATACCCATCCTCACCATGACTAATATTTGACAGCACTTTCTGAGAAGGAGCAACATGTACATACTGCTCTCCAGGGTCCACATCCCGCAGTCCAATGTAGACAAGGTCTGAGGTGGACAGGAAAGGCTTCAGCCAGGAGAACCCAGGGACCTCGGGCATCTGAAAGACACCAGACACAGGTAATGGCCTGTGGCACTCACATCTGTCAAACATAAAAGTGATGGAGTGTCTTTTTAAGTAATAATTTTAAACTTCATGGCTTAATTGAACATTTTAGGTTTAAGCAATGTCTCAGATTTGATCCAAACTGGTTTCGGAACCCTCCGCAGCTTTTTTCTTGGGCAATCTCAGATTCTGCAAAGATCCACGATATTGCTGTCATGTATTTAACACTGGTGAAAACTAAAGGAAACAATGTAGAAAGGCAATTGCCAAATTTAGCTTCCAATGGTGGCAAGCTAATGGCTGAGCACTGCACTGTACTGGGACTGAGCAGTCAGCTAGTGATCCTCATTTACCACAAGGCATGTGGAGCTGGGTGAGGACTGGTTTAGGTTGGCAGTGATGATTGGGGAGTAACAACAGAAGGTTAAAATTCAGGAGGAACAATTTCAAGCCCTGTCCTAGAGTACCATGTGTCATCTGTCATTATTTGTCTCTGAACTCTCAGTGTCTTAACTGATTTGTCAATTAAAGTAATAATTTTGTTATTTAGATCTTCTTAATTGTTTTTCAGCTTATAAAGTTTTTGAAAATTCACTTTTAACACCAAAAGGTAATCATCATCTTTTCAGAAGCTGAAAACAACTACAGTTACCAGTGTAAATTTATTATTCAGTTAAGGTTGTAAAGAAACATCTGAGACCTGAGCTACTGTACCAACATGAGCTGGAAAGAAAACTTTTTTTGTAGGTGAATGCTGACCAGCCTGCATACACATCTTCCGCTGACAATGGTACACAGTGTTATCTGGTGCTAACACTGCTCATATAGCAGTCAAATTGAGGTTTGATAGCAGTCAAACGCAACCCAGTCTGTTTTACCTTGTCCTGCAGCTCCTTGAGCAGAAAGGAGACAGACTGTCCATGCAGGTTCCCTGAGGGTGAGGTGAGAGGTGTGTTGATATCTGCGTGGGCATCCACCCAGATCAAACAAAGGTCAGGGCAGTGCTTGTAGTGACCTTGCACAGAGCCGATCGCTAAACTGAGGAGAAAAAACAGATGTTTGATCAAGTAATCCGGTTTGACTAAGTTTTCCTGCTGTCACATTTTTTATTGGTCCATGTGTGAAAAAATTACATTTTCAAAAGATAATTACAAAAATATACACTTAATATACATTCAAAGGCCAGAAGTGCAGGGAACTTAACTTTTGGCATAGAAATATCTGCCTCAGAGCTGCACTGGCAGTGAATGGGGTTTTTGTGGAATTTTCAGAAATTGACATTTTATAGTTACATAAGTTCCAACAGTATTGTAGCTACTTAGCCTTTTCTGTTCCTGTACTGTCATTTATTGCAGCTTCAGTCTGAGAATTCGCTTTTATGCGACTGACCCCTTTCTTCCATATAGAAGCCCGTTTCCGCCAGGGAGTAAAAAGAAAACGCGCTATGGTATCTCAGAATTCCGACTTTGTAAGTCAGAATTGCGACTTAGCAACTCAGAATTGCGACTTTATATCTCACATTTGTGACTTCGAAATAGCCATATTTCATTGTCTGTCCTTTTGTTATTGTAACGGATTCGGGTTCTAGGGCTTGTGCCCTCGCCGCTCCCACCCTAGTTCGTGCCTCGCTACACAGGCTCGAACCCGAGTCTTGCCAGCTGAGCTAAAGAAGACCTTCTTTTTTAAGTAAAAAAGGACATACAATGGAAATACGTAAAAAGTATGTTTCAGCTTTTATAATTGTGAATTCTTCTGGATGTGAAGTGCCTATTTCTGTATCTTATTTCATATTCCATCTACGTAAATAAAAACTATTTTTAAAAAGCCCACCGTGCACTATTCCATCCGGGTACTATGGAAGCCTCACTGGCGGAAATGGGATTCCATAAAAATTAGTGTAATTAATTTGATTTTTATCAGGACACTGTACAGGACAAGTCTTCAGGCTTATAGATCCTATGATCCTGTCCGATTCATGAAAATAGTGTAACGGAACGGCCGACATACAGGTTGTACGATCTGGTTGCAGTACACCACCCTCCCCTGCACATAACAGGGATGCTGGCCGCTGGGGTTAAAGAAAGTGTTCTTAAAGAAAGTGAGCCAGTGCAGCGAGGCACGAACTAGGGTGGGAGCGGCGAGGGCACAAGCCCTAGAACCCGAATCCGTTACAATAACTAAAGGACAGACAATGAAATATGGCTATTTCGAAGTCGGAATTCTGAGTTGCTAAGTCGCAATTCTGAGATACCATAGCGCGTTTTTTTTTTTTACTCCCTGGCGGAAACGGGCTTCCATACTTCCAAGTATCCTCTTATACAAAAAAAAAAAACATTTTTATGCGATCTGTGGTGGTAGAGCAAATTCTCGAGAAACGCCCAGAAGCCCTTGTACAGGGAATAATAGATGCAGACCCAAGTTATAAGAGAAGCCTGTATTTTAAATGTGGTCTTAACATCCTGATGCCTTACAAGGAACTGTATGCAAAGAAGCAGAGACTGGCTTGGAAGACTAGTACAGTATTATGCAGTTTCTAGGGCCATGGACTTCATCTCCTGCTCCCGGGGCAACTTTTTCTATATAATCTTCAATCATCAGCACCGACATCCTGTTCCCTTGAGCCTTACTGTCTACCTATTTTGGCGAGTGTTGATTTATTTTTAGCTAAAATAATGTCCCAAATAACATTTATGTTAAGTGTAGTGTTAACGTATGCTAGCATGTATGTATATGATTAAAGTGCACTTGAAACACTACATTTAACACTGTTCCACACAACCCCTTTTCCTCCACAGGTTTAAGGTACCGCTTTATGCAATTTCCCTTAATGTGAGGTTTTGGCAGAACATAACTCTCACATAAAACGGGGGACACCTGTACTTACGTGACAGTTACAGAGACTGACAAAACAGCTAAAGGAGTACACAGATTGTGATGAAACAAACAAGCCCTTGAAACTGCAGGAGAAAGACATAATTGCCTTTGGTAACTCCCTTTTCTCTGAAAGAGGCTGATGGCATTACCAATGGTCTGAGGCCCAGCCTTGTGTATTTTTAAGTAGTGAATGGATATTGTAACAGGAGAGCAGGTGGTCTCACCAAAGACAAGATATTCTGGAAGAGAAGAAATTAACCAAAATAGACACATGAAATCCAGCAGTCCTGTAGGTCATTTAGGTCCTTCCAAAAAAGGTATTGCAAATGGCACGGACTCTGTGAGATGGGATCGTCGCCACTTGGCATCTCCAATCATGGCTTAACCATGCTGCCAGACTTGGCTGAAGGCTGATGTTAGTCTTGGAACACAAATGTCAGGACATTGGTCTGGGATTCATGTCCTGCTGAACATATGCCAGCAGAGGCAAGGACTCCAACACTGAGGTGCAGACAAAACTGTCAACCTGTCACATCGTGGACCATCTAGACTGGAAGGAACAGCTAAACAAGGGAAAGGAAAGGTGTTTTCCATAATATGTTATAAGGAATCAAAATTCAAGTATTAAGGATGCTTAGCTTTGCAATGTCCAGTAAATTGCTTGTCTGTGGGGTGGCCCTGATAGATTAAAGGCTGGCTTTCACTGTAGTAACCATTAGCAGGGACTCTGCAGATTAAGACACTGCAGATATACAGAGCCATGCCTATTAAAATGAACTCACCCTAACAAAGTATTTAGTGTTTCCCAAATTGTTTCACAGAATCAACCTTGTATATGGACAGAAATAGTCATGTGGAAGGTAAGCCTTCCATTTTACCATTTGAATCCAGTTTACATTCTCAACGCTCTGATACAAGATAAAGATATTGTGCTTTACCTCAGTTTGTTACCTATGTACCAAGTTGTATAGGCTCAATTGTATGCCATTTGCTGAATTGTGCAGAGCAGATGAGTTTTGAAGTGTCACTGGTGCTTACCTGTGGTCTCCCCCTAGTGTAATACAGGTGTGTCCAGCCTCCACTGCACTGCCCACTGCACTGGCTAGCATTTTGTTGGCCAGGCCCACTGTCCGGGGAAAAGGTACGTGCATGAAGCACTCATCTTTGGCCAGGTGAGTGAAGTTCAGATCTCCATAGTCATGTAGAGGGTAATCTATTAAAGAGCCACAGACATTATCACGTCAATTTGAGAAATTAAATCTAATACTTCCTTTTTTATTTCTTTTATTACACTGATCTTAATCTTTTGCACTAAGTAAAATTTGTTTCTTAATGTATTCAACTACATCACAAAATTACAAAGAACAGTACATTTATATCCTGTAGGTTTGATTTCGATCTGATAAAGATGCCATCATTGGATTCTTTACCATTTGGCAGAGAATCCATATTTATCTCAATATAATGTGTGGCTGACCAGTTATCAATACTTGGTTGCTGTTCACTTTTGGTCATCAGGTTAGAAAACATAGGACCAAAGGTTTTTCCATAAAAAGAAGTGGATAGGTTCCTGCATTAAAGGAGCAGATGGGTTATAAATGGTTTACTAAAGAACCGAAGAGCATTTGAATCTCTTTCCTCTTAAATAGAGGAGAAAGAGTATAAGGGGATTCCAATTCAAAATTGACTCAGTGAACTATAGGATGGTTGTTTCTCGAGGAGCATACAGAAAAAGTGAAGCCTAAATCATTGTCCTAAATCATTGATCAGTACTATACCCTGAACTATTGACAAGGTAGATAGCTCAAGATGTAGTATGAATAATAAATAAACTAGAATAAATTATAGTAAATAACAAATTAATTTATTTATGCATACAAAAAATGCTATGTGTGATGACTCCAGGCTTTGTGATTCTGAGTCATTAACAGCAGCTCAACGTAAGAATCCTTCCACCTGCATTCTAAGACTTTCTACCCAGCTGTGTTAAAAACAAGAACTGTTGTGCAACTAGGAAGGCATTTGCATCGGCTGTAGCAAGCCTAGCTGCGTTTCACATTCCACTGCCGGTCAGATTACAGCTGACTTTGATTTGAGATGAAGCAAAACTGCCTATGTCTGTGAGTTTCCTGTGTGCTCTCAGCAAGGCTAGGCTTGGTCACCACAGAATACATAAGAAATTAAAGATGTTGGTTGGAAAAGTAAGGGCTAGGCTATTTCTGTGGCATGGAATTATTTCACAAGTCAAGAAATGCAGACATTACTGATATGATATCCCTTTAGAAGAAAACCTGGGGACAGAAACATACAAAGACTTTAAGCTCTCTAAATGCTGTGAAATCTTCCTTAAAATTCTGATAATCTGTTTACAACAAAAAGAAACAGTTGCTCTTAAATGAATGTATATTCACTAAATTAAAGGAGCAAAGAGGAAATTAATGAAAATGAAAGAAAGATTTCTGCAACAAGACAGCACATCTGAAAACTCACAAAGGATTTATTTTTTTATAGAAAGAAAAATGCTGCTTTCTTAAAATCTGCTATAAAATTAATTACATATTTTGAAAGAGAAAAGTAAATATTCAAGCAGAAACATCAAAATCAAGCAAAGAAACTTCCCCATTTGATTCACAGATTCTCACTGGCAGAGGAGTTCACAAGATTTCAGCTTTGGAAATGTTCTCTTTCTATCAGGAAGCATAGGAAATTAGTTAAATGAAATTAAAAATCTTCTTGAGGATTTTTTGTAGTTTTAATTTATATATGCAGTACTTTAGCTAGCTAGCTAAGTGACAGCAGATATGACCAGAAACCACAACAGAAAAGTGTGCAGTGTAGTGTAGCAACTGATGCCAGTAAGCACAAAAATTGTAAAGTTGACCTTGTAGTTGTTTCAAAACCTTAGGGGTGTACCTCGGACTGCTTTTTTCTGCTGCAGTACCGGATTAAACTAGGTAGAACTCAAGTGTTTTGCAATCAGAAGCTTGCATTGCTTTGGTACAGCACTACTAGTGTCTGGATAAAACCAGACACACCACTCAGGGGTGGTTGTGAGTAGAGAGGTATGGGCTTGGAAACCCTTGTGGAGAAAGGCAGAAGAATTATTAATTCTTCAGTAGAGTGCTTAGATTCACCAAAATTATATATTGGCGGCTCGCAGCTCACAGCTCACAGCTGGTAAGGGGGTGTGCAACATCACCTTACTGGTTACTGAACATTAAATATGTTGTTTTCTTCTGAACACAATTAGCTTATTACCCTCCTGTAATTACTGTGCTCGCTTGGATCACAGAACCTGGGGACAAAACTGATAGTTCTAATTCATGCGGATTCCTAGATTACTGAGGTCTTTGGAGCTCTGAACATCTTAAAAATTTAAAATCGCAGACATTGCTAAGGACGTTGTCATTTTTAATATGTTGGCAGCAAACTTTGTCCCCCTTCATTGTCACTAAAGAAGGTAGCTGAAATGTTGTGTTTCTTTTCACCATGGAATAAACCTTTACTTGTTCCTTTGCAGCTTATGCAGCTACCTACTTGAAACACTTACTCCTCCTTTGACTAGAGAAGTTATACAACTGGGAAGGATGTTTGAATTGCCTGATAAATTAAGTTAATATTTGAACCACTTCATTTACTTTACCAATTCACACATCCTCCCTACTTGCACATCTTTTCTAGAACAATAAGTACATAGTTGGCCGACACTATGCACAGACATCAATGTCTGTAGTGTATTATAAAAAATGAGAATTCTCTTTGGATATGCAAATAAAGAGTTCATTAGATTCAAAAAGATTCAAAGGGCTCCAAGGGATTGTTGCAAAGATGCCTCTCACTCTAGTTGTCCAAAACAATTTCAGAAATAAATGAAAACGCAGCCCCCCCCCACAATATTTAAATAATCACTGTCACCCATATCCTCCTGAAGCAATTGCATACATTCAACAACACTTCCACACCTGTGGTATAAAATTCAGTTTTCTATATGAAAAGTTTGGTGTTGGGACATCATGGATCTAAATTATAGGAGGATCAATTCAATGCTATAGAGTGTATACTTGCAAAAGAGATTAAAATAATGTTTTTTAGATCTGAATTCACAACATAACAAGCAGTCAGATGAAAGAGTTTGAGTAAACAATTACTCGATGAGTCTCTTGAAGACATGAAACAATTACACAATTGCATTCGCACATGTTTTAAAACACCCAAACATGTTTCAATCACTAATCTATTTACAAGAAATTCCACATTCAGTAATAGTTGATGTGACGTGGACAGACATTCTGCCTACACATCCCCCTTGGAAAATTCTTCTTCTTATTATAGAAGGCCTCTCACCTTTCCTGCAAGTATCAGTCTAATTACCCAGCTGTTTGGGGCTAAGCACTACTGGCACTGGACAATTTGTTTATCTCATCCCATCTGAACAGCATTACAGGCAGCCTGGTCATGTTACATCTAATGACTTGCACATTCTGCTCTTTAAACAGGCTACTTGAGCAGCTTCTTTAATGCAGGTCAACGCCAGCAAAGGTATTTTCAGGGTCTGAGTTAACCACTTTAACAGCAGACATATTAGTAGTTCAGGAATGAATTTTTAATGACCCGATGTCTGTTCATGAGAAAAAGGGAACACCCTTTTTAATATTCGCCATTCTCATGGTCAATAATGCGAGATTCCAGGTGCTGTTAAATGCGGATCGCCGCTACTTCCTCGGGACAGGCGAGCAAGACCTGTGGCGCTGTGCCACAAGACGAAGAGACTACCCAGTCAAATCACTCTCAGGTAATTTACAGTCTAGGCACTTCTGAATAATACTAAACTGTATGGCGTCGATGTAGTTTTTATACTCCCTATAATTCAACGTTATGAATTTGCTCTGTTACCATGTTAGGTTTTAATGCGGCTGATTTATTTTCGGCTTGACTATAACCTCTTAGCTGACGGCAGCATAGAGAGCGGACGATAGCTAGAAGGTCCAGCAGCGTTACTTCAAACAATTTGTAAACATTTATTTTAGGGTACACGTAACAGCGTATACTTTTTCACTATGCAGTTTTTTACTTCAGGGTGCTAAACAGCACTTGATGTATATTTGAGAATATATCGAGCACAAAAACATTTCTACGAAGTGTTAAAATGACCCCCTAGAGTAGAGCGCAGTAACCTGCAGCAGAATAGCTACCGGAAGTGTTAACGTTACGGACAATCCGCTCAGCGCTTCAGTGCTTTTGTGGTGTAAGTACCAGCTGAGTTTAAGATGCGATTTTAATCACCTCTTGATCCACCCTGCCAAACACAAATGTTAAACTCAATACCAAGTTGAGTTTGCCTCTTGAAAGCACCCATTCTTGAATCAATATCCCAAAAACACAAACAAAAAAATCAAGATTACCAAACTGGGGGTTTCCAAAAAAGACAATACACGGGGGCATTTTAACAGGCGACACAGATTCTCAGCCCCCAAATCATTCTTTTGTCTCCCAATTAATCGCCGTGTTATTTAGAACATTATGCAATGGTATTAAGTATTTATAAAATTGAGCGTTTTTTCTCCTTTTGTACTTGAAGAGAACGTACAAACCAAGTTTTGCAATCTTTAATTTATCAAACGAGTTTTACTATAAATGGGTGTTCACACTACATCTAGGTCAGTCTGAAGTTGTCTTTAACGTTGAGTCACCTCTTCTCGCCTTCCCTAAAGTTGGAAAAGGTTTAACTCCCTTAAGTATACACTCCAACAGGACTCAGTGTAGCATCAATATATGAATTATCCAGGAAACAAGACTTTAAAACAAAAAAAACGCTAAACCAAAATTAATTGAAATTATTTAATGTACTAACATTATGCACAAAAGGTTAATGGGTTCGCATTCGCCAGTATATTCAAATCCTTAAAATTTGCGCCACTACATGCTGCTTGGTGAAAGTCAAAACTACGTCTTTTTTATTTTAGCAATAACAATCCAGTGATTAAATTGTTTAATCTTCCCGCATCAGTTTTTGCTTCTGTTGTGACGACAAACGTAGAGATGATGCTCTGTCACATTACATCTCAGCCAAAGAGTACTGACTATATGACTAATCCTCTGACGCATGTCTGCTCGAAGTGCCCATCCTCTTCCTTAGTGCATGTGGATGCCACATCCGAAAATCGCACACTTACAAGGATTTTCTATTTGATCCTCTTGAAATAATACCGTAGAGTCGTATCTGTTAAGATTTGATTTATAAAAAGTGTCACCACACGCTCGTCGTATAAAAGGCCTCAGTTTACCAGTCTGTTGCCTCGCTGCCGTTTCTAGAAAAATTCAGAAAACGACCTCTTTATTTTTAGCGCACGATTGAGCTTTAGGCTCAAAATGTTACTTTAACTTAACCTCAAAATATTTTATCTGTAAAATCACCTACTTTATCTCGCTGTACTTACCCATGGTGGATAATCTGTCCAGCAGCCCGGCATCCCTTATTGCCTGAGGTCCATGTTCCACGCCTCTTCTTTTCTATAACAATAATGTGGATTTTCGAATGACTACATTTAGATAAGAAGCTTTCCCGTGTAAATCAACAAGCATTTGAATTCCTCAAATGTGTACTTCAGCGCTATAAAAACTCAAGTAATTAATATTACACAAATATGTCTTAGTAAAACTAACAGATCCGTATAGCTAAAACAAATACGTGACTTTCAGCACAGGGATGAAGTTTAACCATCACAGCCCAGGCGCGTTTTACCTGTCCTTTGGAGAAAGGCGCTCCGATGATGGCTACGGAATGCGAACAGTTATGTAGCTTAAAAACCGAATTAAACTGTTTCTTGAACAGACGAATGAACGACCCTCTCAGAGCCATATTTGTCCTTCACTGGCGCTTTTACAAAAAATACGAAAAATAGAGAAGCCGCGACACAAGCTCCTACGCTATCGCTTTCAATGTAAATGACGAAGCATCCGTCGTCAGTTTCTCTTATGTGCTTCCAGTTTATTCATATTCATGAGGCGGCGGAAGTTGGTTGGCCTCAGTGGCAGAAAATTACTTATGGACTCATTCGTGATCACGTTTATAATTGAGCAAGGAGACAAAACTCTTTAGCCGAGAGAATCCCTCACCTCTGTCTGTGGAAATTATTTTTGATCGTGTTGTTGTTGCTAAGTCTCAGAGATGCTTGAACAAAGAGTCCAGAGACAACTCCTCCAGATCGACCAATGAAACACGCCGCTCGTGGAGGTTTGTCCAATGGGCGTGTGCTTGCAGCCCGACTGCGCTGCTTTGTGGAAAGTTGCAATCTAGCTGTGGAAAATTCCATGGGCTCAGTGATGTGCGTTTGTAGAGACTGGTACATCATCTCGTTGGATATATATCAATTTACAGTGCCCAACAATACGCACAACCTTAGTTCACTGGCAGAAAAGTGTATTTTTCCAGAGGAACTGAGATCAGCACAATATGCTTTTGATGTACCTGTTATATTTAAAATTGCATTCTGGCATCGAATTATATTTACAGATCGAAGAGAGGGGCTTATTTTTACTTTCATAATTTGCTGTTTAAGCAAAATTATGGGACACATTATGACTCCAAATAGATGTTCCAAGAGAATTAATACAAATTTACATAAGCTTTTTTAAACATATTCCTATTTCAATTTGAAAAGTTATAAACTTGACTTCCTTTGGATATTTTCTTATACGTTTATCTCTGTATAATGTAGTTTTTCAGCGTCTGGTTTACGTTTCACGTTTAATGCTGTGAATTAACAACGTTTTATAATATTTTAACTGAATTTTACCAATACAAAACAGTACCTACTTTTAATTTACTATGAATTCACTGTGCTCCGCTACAGTCTACTATGCTCATATCTTGGTATACCACCACAGTAAACATTCCAACGTGTTATTCTATATTCAACGATTGTTTTGTTTGAAACTAACCAATTTTAAAACCCAAGGTGAAGTAAGCAGTTGTATGATTTGCTGTTTATAAGGTTTACAGTATGTAATCTGCTGAGCTCCTCAAGAACTGGACAATCCAATACATTTATGCAACATGTTATGGAAAAATATTAATTATAACTAAAAAGAATTAGCAAAAACATTGATAATCTAATTCATACTAAGAAGAAATAAAATAATTCAGAAATATAGTTCTAAATTTTAAAAAGTACAGCATTCGCAGTGTTGCTGGTTTGTCCATTTTTCTTTTCTTTTGCATTGCCCCTTACAATGAACTTGCCAAGGAGCCAAGGCTTTGGTATACTAGCAATGTGGGACAGCGTGTGAGAGACAATTTTGTTCTCTCTGTACATGCTGCCGCTAGGTAGGATAATCCGAAAACATAATATTAACTTTCATTCATATGCTGATGACCCTCAAATATAGATTTTGTTAACACCTAACGACAACTCGTCTATTATAATTTTAAATAAATTATATTATAATTGCATTAATGAAGTAAAGACTTGGATGTGTGAAAACATTTTGTTACTCAACTCTGATAAAACTGAGGTTCTGTTGTTTGGAGGCAACAATATTGATAGGACTACTATAGCTTCAGCACTTAACTCAGAGCATTGAAAAATTTGCCTCAAAGACTTACCACGTAACCCAGTCGTCATATTAGACACAAGGCTCTCATTTTACTTTCTTGTTAAAACAGTATCGAACACATGCTTTTAAGGTTAATAAATATTGCTAAACTAAGGCAGTTTCTCTCCACTCAAGACAGAAAAATTAATAAATGCTCTTGTATTCAGCAGGTTAGACTACTGCAATGCCCTACTATCAGGGAGCACCCACCACTCTTTCAACACCTTACAGTGAATTCAGAATGAAGCAGCTACAATTGTTCCTAGGAGCAGAAGGTATGACTATATAACCCTGTACTTAGCTCTCTTCATTGGGTTCCTGTCATGTACAGGGCAGACTTCAAAATCCTTCTACTTACTTATGAGGCTCTCAAAGGTCAGGCACCTGTCTATCTAATGGAACTGATTAATGTATACCATCCAAGTCGCCTGCTTAGATAAAAAAATGCAGGTCTTCTTCATATTCCACACATTAATAAAAAAACAGTTGGCGGTAAAGCCTTTAGTTACAGGGACCCTACCTTATGGAACAGTCCCACACCCCATGTTCGGGATGCTGAGTCAATCTCAGTATTCAAATCCAGACTGAAAACCTATTACTTCAGCCTAGCCTACTCACACCTTACATCTTAGCCTTCTTCAACCATGGCTGCTGGTGCTGCTGTACATGCCATTGTATGTCTCTGTGTTGGCCCAACGGGTAGATACATCTGTTCTGACCAAACTATCCTATTCTCCTCCCCACATGTCCGGATGGTGCCCAGGCTGGGTACCATCTGAGTTGGATGCTGCATCACTGCCATGGATCTAAGAGGGACATTGTGGATATAGCTATTGTTTAGGAGGATTTGTCTGGTCTACAGAGGTCTGCATGGAGTACTGACATACAGAAGACATGATGGATGGATTAATACCCTTGTTCATTTATTCCTTTTTTTAATTGTATAATGTTAGCACGCCCAAAGGGGTTGGGCAGCCAGTTGACCTTGGTCCTCTAGAGGTTTTTTTTTCTCCTTGATAAGGAGTTTTTGGCTCCTCTCCTCCACCACAAAGTCTTCTGGTCTTTTCTGTTCTGTATTCACAACATGTATGGTCATTTGCTTTGTTAAGCGCCTTGGAGCAACCTTGTTGTGAAAGGCGCTATATAAAAATAAATCGAATTGTGTTACACAAACATGAACAGCAGACTGGTACCTACAGTATGTGCCTCACAGGCTGACTAGGTATTGCGATGCTTTGGAGACCTGAAAGTCATGGAGACCGAGATCAAATGTGACCAGTTTGTTTCACAATAATTTGAAAGTACTTTAACCCTGAAATTTGAATACAAAAACATATTGGTGTTAGCAGGTAGAAAAAACTGCTGGCAGTTTGTACCAATGTCATACTCATAAGAACATAACAAGGTTACAAAAGATGGTAATAAATTGATCTGAGGTTCTCATCATGCCTTTTCTTGAGAGAAATCATGGAATTGGCTTCAACATGGCTGGGCAGCTTGTTCACTACTTCCACTTCCATTTCAGTAAAGATTTACCACTTGGTTTTAAATGCACTTCTTTGTAGTTTCTACTTGTGTCCTCTGGTTTGTGATTCACTGTTGTTGAGGAAGTCTACTGTGTTGATTTTATATCTGTGCCTCTGAAGATCTTAAATGCTTGAATCTGATCATCCCATTGTCTTCTCTCTTTAAGAAATAAAAGGTTCAGTTCCTTCAGCCTATGTAGGTAGGACATTCCCTTAAGAATTGGAATGTGTTTGGTTGCTCCTCTCTATACTGATTCCAGAACAGCAATATCTTTCTTTAAAAATAATATAAACTTAAATGTAGTCTTTTCAGACTTAAGTTATAAACATTATAACAAAAGATTTTTATGGACACCCAGCACTCCTGTACATTTAAATAGAATGCAAAGAAAAAAAAAAGAAGAGAAGAAAAGAAAAAACATTGCACACTATACGATTACAAAAAAATAAGAAAAAACATTGCACATCATTCTATTGCACCTGTACAGTATAACACTTAACAACATGTAACATTTATAACACATCACAAAACATACTGCACTCAATTGGGTTGTGTTAAAATTGTGTTTATCCTCGACATTTGCGTTGACAGCTTTAATGGATAGTGGACCAATGGAATCTTTGTATCTGTTTGACTTACATTTGGGAACTCTAACACATTTGACAGAAGGAAGAAGTTGATATTCAGAGTTGAGGATGTGGGAAGGATCTTATATAATTTTTCCTGACTGTTTGATTAAGGATTTTTCAAAGATTGTCTGCAGGGCTGTTTCACTCCCATAATCTTCAAAGCTGTCTGGATGAGGTGGGTAATTTGCTATTTAAAATGAACTGATAGATTACCAAACCAAACTAAAATGCCATATCTGATAATGCTCTTGATTACAGCACGGTAAGAGTAGCATTACTTCCTGTCAAACCCCAAACACTCTGTTTTCTCAGGAAATATAAGCATTGCTGAACTTTGGATCAAACACTCTCAATATAGTAGTAGACCAGCACAGGTTACGGTCTATGTGTACACCTAAGTACAGTACTTATATGAATCAGCCTGAGTGATAAATTCATTGTGGATTACTACCTGTGATGATCACCAACTGCTCTGGGATCGAAAAACTATTGCGTTTGTTTTTTAAGCATTTAAAAGTAGGCTATTGTTGTCACACCATTGCACAAACGTTTGGATTTCTGACATACAGATGAGCTGCTACCTCTATGCACTAAGCCAAGAACAGCTGTATCATCTGAGAATTTGAAAATGATGTTGCTTTATCTACTGCTTGTACAATCATATGTATAAAGTGTGAACAGAACTGGAGAGCTCACACAGCCCTGACGGGCACCTGTGCTAATGGAACTCGGAAAGAGTTTTGTTGACCTTGATATATTGTGTGTGATTTGTTAAAAATGAATGGTACCATCTTATAATGTTATGGTTAACGGACATTTGCTTCAACTTGCTTATCAATAGATGGGTCTGCAGCGTATTAAATGCAGAGCTAAAGTCCACAAATGGCATCTGAGCATATGCATTGGGGTTCTCTAGGTGTTTTAGAACAAGATGCATAATGCTGTTGATTGGGTCATCGGTGCCCCGCCGATGTTTATATGCAAACTTATATGGATCCAGTACAATGTTCATTTCTGAGCACAGCACGGATACCATAATCCTCTCAAATCATTTCATCACAACAGACGTCAGTGCTACTGCCCTGTTGTCATTGTTATCTGAGGGACAGGGCTTTTTGGGTATTGGCATGATTATTGCTTTTTTACACAGTGCTGGAACAGAGTGAGAGTCAACTGACTTCTGAAAGAAAGGACACCATGCTGGTGTTAATTCCTCTGTGCAATTTTTTAAAAGAGAGGTAGTGATGCCATCGGGGCCTGTTGCCTTTTTCACACATATGTGCTTGAAAGATTATGTGGTCATCTGTGGACTTATTACAAACCTACCAGCACTACTGTCAGCTGTAATAGTATCTAATATGCTGTTATATGCACCAGAGAAGTCCTGTTTTATCAAACCTCAGATAAAAGTAATTCAGCTCGTTTGCTTTAGCCAGCTCAACCATTGTATGGAAGCTCTTCTTTGAAGAATTCATGTTTGTGACTGTTTTCATTGTGTACCACAACCTCCTGGAGTTCATTGTTTCAAATTCACTCTCCATTGTCTCCTTGTGTTGATTGCTTGCATTCCCGAGTTTTAGTTTAAGATCTTTTTGCAGTAATTTAAGTTGCACTTGATCCTGGTTTTAAAAGCGAGTCTTTTGCGGTTGATACAGTCTATCACTTCCTTAGTTTTATATGGTTTATTATTTGGGTACACTAATGCTTTTCTTGGGTATGACACTGTCCACACAGAAATTAATGTAGTCTGTATCAGTCTCTGTTGCCTATTTAACCTCCAAGCTATGAAATATATCCTGGTCTACGCAAAGAAAACACCATTTCAGCATCTTAACTGTCATCAGTCCATACATTACATACATAACAGGTTTGCTGCTATTGAGAGCTGGGGAGGAGGTGAACAGTATTGTGATCAGAGTTAGACAGAGGTGGTCTGGCTTTGGCGGTATAGGCTTGTATTAGAAACAAGTACTAGGTGTATTCCATCCCGAAAAGAGAAGAGAGAAAACACAACATTTTGGCTGTGAAGCCATCTTTAGATGTGAGAAAGACAGGGCAGACAGCAAAGATGAAATAGCACAGAAGAAAAGACCGACTTATTTTCATGTAATCTTCTCTATTCTCATGCAGGTTTTGACTTCACACCTTTCTTCACCCTTCCCTACTTTGCACTTCCTGAGTGGCCTCTCTGCCCCTCCTGCCTCCTCCCCTCTCCCAGCTTTTGTTCTTCTGTGCTATTTCATCTTTTCTGTCTGCCCTGTCTTTCTCACACCTGAAGAAGGCTTCACAGCCGAAACGTTGCGTTTTCTATCTTCTCTTTTCAGCATGGAATAAACTATTACTTGTTCCTTTGTAGGCTACGCACGCTGACGCAGCTACCCACCTAGGCTTGTTTTATATTACCGTAACATTTGTCTAGAACTCTGTTCCCTCTCGTCCCACATTTGATATACTATTCAAACCCAGGCAATGCCATCTCCAGTTTGCAGTGGTTAAAATCGCCCAAATTAAACACGGGAGCTTTCGAAGTCTGCTGAAGTTGCTCATGTACTCAATCGGCTACCTGAGAATCGGCAGTCGCTGCATTTCCACTGGGAGGAACGTAAACAGCACATATAATGTTACCTAAATCTCTCTGAAGGTACCTTCTCTCTGAAGGTAGGTGCAGGCAATACTCTCCTCAGAGAGTATTGCCTGCACAACTTAATGTTCACAAAGACACAAATACCACCACCACTGCTTTTCCCAGATGTTTCAATTCTATCTGAGCGAACATGGGAAACCCCCTCAATTTCCACAAGAGAGTCGGGGAAGTCTTGTTGAATCCAGGTCTCAGCAAAGATCATCATACAAGACTCACGGTACTCAAAGCAAGCTCTAGGAATTGATCCGAAGCTCATCCATCGTGTTGCTCAGGATCCCGGAGGGCAAGGGTGGTCTGCTCACTCTTTTCCTGAGCCGCTGCCGAACGCCTCTTCTCCGCGGTCGCCTTCTTTTACGGATGTCCTCGGGTACATGTTTGAGGAAACTGCAGGGGCTATCCGCTTCGCCAGATGGCCGTAATGATAAAAGCGCTTGCCTTGTATAAGAAAGCAGTGCGCGACAGTTCCTTATGTGATCCGGCTTGAGTAGGCATATAGTTAGAAAGTCGGACAGGATCAGTGTCGTAAATAGTATTGTGTAGTTAACTAAAAAAGACATGCTACAATACTTTAAAAAAAGCAAACGTAAACAAGAACCAAAAGTAACAAGAAAAATAGCAAAACAACAATAACGAAAATAACCAACTAATAAGGAATTAAAATAAAAAACTACAGAAAGTACAGGAGCACAGGTGTCCGTGTCGCAGCACATGGACACCTGCATGAGGCCTTTGTAGTATGTTATACTATTTTAAAATCCCCTTGTAATGCTTGCACCAGGTTAAGTGCTGTTTCATGCTTCCATTACACCAAAGCCAGTGATCAACATCCAAGCAATCTTCCAATCAGCTCGTAACCTTGAAAACATGGGCTGGCAGGTTACACTTACAGTGTTTCTAGCAGAGTATTTTTTCCAGCTTCGGTGGCATTCTAGTGCTCAATCCTATTTCCAATCTTGAGAATTCAATTGCTGTCCTAAAACATGTCAGTTTAATTAATCTAAGTAATAGTATTTACTTATGAGTATTTGAATGTTGAGTATGTTTAATAAATTCGTGTAAACGATGGTACACTAAACGCATAACCCTTGTTTTTGTATCTTTTCTTGATCTCAGCATTAGCCTAATAACCCTCACGTAATGATCAGCCTTTTGTATTATAGCGGTCCCCCTCTGTTTCCCTTTGCACAAGTGGTGGTGAAACAAGAGAGGCAGGAGACTGGAACTGCAGCTCACTAGTTTATTTTCCTTTTAGGTACATGCTAGTTACTCAGGTGAGGGAAGAAAGGAAGAAAACAGTGAGAAGAGAGTAAAAGACCCAACTGCTCAGCCTGGACTTTGGCATGAGAATACGGGAAAAAGTAAAAGAGGCCTCCTATTTATAGGGGAGGGGAGTGGGGGAAATGTGTCTGTAATTTTGAATACTCAGAGACAGGTGCACAGCCTCTTAGACAATCCATTTCTGGGACGCTACAGTATTCAAGCAGACTTCTACATATTTACTTTGAATGCCTTTATGTACACATTTTTTGTATCAATACCAGGGTAAGCTCTCGCAGTTTACCATAACAACTACGATTGTGCCAGTAAATTCACACAAACCCCTACACTCTTAACAATCAATTTGACAAGAAATAGAAATTTCTGAACTTAATCAGAGGGCTGTCTCTTCTCTCCCCACAAGCCCCTCGACACAACACAGACAGTGCAAGGAAGCTGAAGCCTACAAGACCACAAAGGAGAGAAACCAGACCAAGGGATACATTGGATACCATGCAGAGACTTTTAATACCTGGATCCAAGGTGCAAAGAAACAGTCCAGGAGAGCTGATCCTTAACAGAGGGGAATGTAGTAGGCCTTTGAATATAGCTAAAACAGAGAGTTTGGAAATTGGACCAGGTGGCATCCCCCTTCTCTGTGTGGCTGTTCTTTTCCATACCATCAAAGACTTTTACAGAGACTTTTACAGAGAAAAAACATTTTCTTGTGCTCTTTCTTCATGACCTAAAAGGACTCCTGACTCTCTGGAATCCATTGTGTCCCTTGGAGTAACATTTTGTTGCTGTGGATGCTGTTTTTTTGTGGCTTGGGGTAATAGTGTATATTCTTGGGGTATTTAGAAAATAAAACAGGCACTAATGTCAATTGCTAGTCTGTGTGTGCGTTGGTGATTCTGGGAGATAAATAGAACCTGTGGTAAAGTAGAGGGGGCCTAGCACCCTGTTTGAATTTGCTGGTAGCGTAGTTCTACATGAGGCAGGAATAATTCTTGTTCAAGGGGTCACCTAACCGTGACAATCACATCACTCAAGAAGTTTGTTAATCTCCAGGATTTGCTAATCAAGCCTTGAAGGTTCAAGGGAACAGCTCCTTAGACATTACCATCACAGAAACAGACAAGGTAAGACAGCAGTTAAAACAATTTCAAACACTGTCAGTGCCACTAGAAACACAAAAATAACTGCAGAGTATTGTAGATTGACTGATTTATCACTTATTAAATAGTACTGTTTAGTAGTCAATTACGCAATTTATTAAATGATTAGGCCAACTATGGAACTGACAGCATGGGTGAAACAAATACCAGAAGACACTTCAGGAACTGAATTTGAGACCCTTTTTTTACACCATTATACAAAGGTAGGCTCCTCAATGAAATATACTGTTTTGAATTAAAACTCAGGCTGATATGAATTTATATCTGGAACACTAAAGTTGATTAGATGTGATTAGTTAATATGAGCAAGCTGCAACAAATATTACATACCCATGTACAATTTTTGATAAGTTTCTGTGAATTAGTCAATTAGAGATTGTTTAAGCTTTGATTTTTTCTCTTATATTCTTCTCATATAAGAGGTGTATTAATAACAGTCACAATTGCTATAGAACCAGAAAAGTCCAGTGTGGCTTTAAGTACATTAGTTGTTACTCATAACATACATATATTGTAACAGCTAATTGTGTCTGAGATGCTTTAAGGCTTTGGCACATTTAACACAAAATTACATTATAAACTACCAGATAAGTGTAGCACAATAAAAATAAACTTAAAAAGTCACTAGGATAAATAATTGATATCACACTGACACTGCTACTACCAATACTTCTAGTGCTACTACTGTGCTTTTATATGCTAACTAACCTTAGCATCAATGAAATGTTACATTCTACCACTGTTCTAAAACTAAAACAATTCACGGTATGTCTGGAGGACTGGCCCACAGACCTCCGAGTCCATTGTGTTATCCCATAATGCAGTGCGAGCACAGCGGTATGATTCTTTCAACGCCTATATGACTCTGTGGTCTGGTTGAGTTGACTGAGGTAGAGAGTTAAAATTTCGAAGTGAAGTATTTTAAGGGCTAAAAGCATATTTTAACTAATAAGCCACCTGGTTTCGGGTAAGTAAAAACCTTATCCGTCTAGACGGCTAGTTTGTGAGGGGACATTTTGTGTTTAATACCGGATAGGAGTAAAAGCACCCAAAAAATAGTGTTCGACGAGGACAAAAAAGCCTCCATCTTTCTGTTGCGGTAGGTTTCGGAAGGCTGGAAATCGTTTTTGTCAGAGAGCATTGCATTGTGAAGCCCTTTGGGTTGCAGAGAAGGTTTTGTTATCAAGAGAATAAATTCCGAAATAACTCGCGTTTTGTTTTTTTTTCCGCGAATTGAAGTGAGTCCGTGTGTTGTTGGACAGGCTACACGTTTACTGTAAATTAACCAAGTTTTTCTTAGTATTTAACGAAGTTAATTATTGGATGTATGATTTTATGAGCTATAGAGAACATATTTAAAATCTGTTCCATCACAGTTTTGTCAAATATTTCTTTTACAGTGCAGTCTTTAGATTGAGGTTGTAGTTTGTAGGCCGAAAAACCTCAAGGCCTAGATGTATAGCGGTTCGAAATAAATACTGCCTACAGATTAGAGAATGCATGTTTTCGAGATTTTCGTTTGAAATATAATTGGAGCAACAGCAAAAAATGGAGAGCGGCAGTGTTTGATTTTTTTCATCACTAAATGTCCCTTGGGTAAAAATAATACTTAATAATTTAGTATGGATTATTTGATCTTTAGTGTCTGAATACAACGCCTACCCACAGTTTATTCCTGGGTTTATTTTTTGCTTGCTTCTTATCTGATGGCTTACATTTTACGTGAAATTTAAGTATTAATGGTAGTATAAATAATTCATCATTAACAAAGGGGGTTCTATTGGGGATCGATATATGGAGAAAACCAGAGAGTAGAAGTACTTAGATGGAACCAGAGACTGCCTCCGTGCTCTTCAGGCTCAGGTCTGGACAAATCCAGGTATGATGTCAATATACTGGATCTGTAGGCTTTAGAGGGAGATGAAAAAATGTGGGATGGCATATAATGTTTTTGGTAAAAACACTTAAATTTTTTATCAATTATATAACATATTATATTACATTTATGTATTTTTGTAAATGATTATTAGATATAAAACAAATATTTTTAAATGAAATTTAATTAACTTCAATATTTTGGTTCATAAATTTAAACACCTGTTTGCATTTCAGTTTTCCTGCAAATATAGGATTTCAATCACAATACTATATGAATTTGAATTGCTGTAATGAAAGTAAAACAATATTAACAGTAAAATCTTCTGCCTTAGCCATGTCAATATGTCTCACTCTCTACCAAACTTAATCCGAGAACTGATTAAGATGGCAGCTTGTATGGAAGTTTCCCGTGACAGTCCTTTTCTTTTTTTGTTTTTGACTGCAGGTTGGTGCCATACAGAAAATGTCTTTTCCACCACACCTCAATCGTCCTCAGATAGGGATACCTCCACTTCCTCCGGGGATTCCCCCTCCTCAGTTTGCTGGTTTCCCTCCGGCTGTACCTCCTGGTGAGCACTGAAAGAACAGGACTGTTTGACAGTAGAACTGCCATTTATATTTGTTAGCTTTACCTGATCTGGAATGTTTTTCAAGTTTTGGTAGCAGCTATGAACCCCCGTTCCTCATAGAATACCAAATGAAGAAGTGTATCAGAATTTGACCTGCCCACTTTAGAGCTATTTGTCATCATGTCACAGGCATTGTTGTTCTTTACCAGATGTTCAGATCTGGTTGGAGGAGCACTGGGGTGCAAGTGCATGACCATTATCTCTGAGATCTGAGAAAACCCTGGTTATATTGTCTTATATCTGCAGGTGCTCGACAAACTGTTCAAAACGGTTTGGAGAATCTTGGTCATAGTTGGCTCGTGACAGCAGAGTTCAACCTGCTTTCAGGCAACCAGCTTTATCATTGGAACCACTGCACACTTTAGGTGCAAAAGACATGGTATTTGCAAGCCCCACTGAAGCATCTGCAGATCACTGTGGGGTTCAAATCAAGTAGTAATGTTTTCTATATGCTGGATTGGCTAAATGTTAACTTTATACCTTCATTCTCTTTCCCTGTTGACTAAATGTGTGTTGCATTTTGTAGTCAGATTTGTATGTCTTCAAAACTACTTTTCCAATTTTGTGAATTCAAATCCACTTTCAGAGCTGAAAGTTTGTAATGAAGGTTTTTCTTTTTGACCTTTGCTTTACTAAACCATACTACATTTGAAACTGTAGCCTGCACATGTTTTTGCTTAGTACTTGAAAATATGCTTGTCGGGAACGTCAAGAGAAATTGGTATTGGCTGGTATTTTAGTTAGAGTACATATGTGAGTTGCTTCATAGAAAGAAGAAATGAAAGAAGAATGGAATTGTAGTATTCCAAGCTTCTGGTTCATCAGGTGTTTTTTGTGTTTTAGGAACACCGATGATTCCAGTTCACATGGGCATTATGACTCCTACACCAGCTGTGAGTTTTGTTTTATTGCATGTTAAAGTATTTATATTTAGGTGTTTTGCATCTGTGCATCAGTTTCTAATGACTACAGTGACCTGAATTTAATTGGCCTACTTTGACATTTTATTTTGTATTTGCCGATGATGTTTTTTTCTGACTTTTCTGATGTGAGTTTTTGCGTGTATCTAATCTATAGTGTACTTTAATTCTTATATTAACTAACATTTTGAAAACAATTTTGACATTTAAATTTAAAAATCAGAAATACAGCCCATTAGAAATGTGTGAATGGGTTTCAGGGTAAACATGGTTATGGTTTCTTTAAATTAGGTACTTGTTCCGACAACTGTGCCCATGGTGGGAAAGCCAATGGGTCCCAGAAAAGATTTCCCTGGAGTGAGAAACAAGGAAAATGAGGAGAGTGGGGGCCCCACCACTACAGTGTTTGTGGGAAACATTTCAGAAAAGGCCTCTGACATGCTCATCAGACAACTTTTAGCAGTGAGTATGAGTTGAACCTTCTCTGTTTAATCACTGAACTAATAAATGCGAAACAGTGATGTGTGTCGAGTCTTGTTTACATGAAGCCAGGATTGGTTTTCACTGATTGCCAACTGATTTAAGTGGTACATGCCAGGAGATTGTGCCAGATGTGCTGTTCTTTCTAATCCATAACAGTGGCCTAGTCTGTAGTCTGTAAACGTTAGATTTACAGACTGTACAAAACTCTTCTACAAGAGACATTCCTGCACTTGTGAGATGATTAACTAGAATAGCACCTGGTCTTAAAGGTATGTTAAATGTGAATGACCGTATTGTGTTCAGGATCACCCTCCATTTCATTAATTTAAATGTTGATATATGAATACAAAAACAGTTACTGAGGGAGGCTGTTTAACTAAAGCATGTTGGTGATTATTCTACAGGAATGAGTTAAAAGTACTTTTAAGAAAGGCTTAAATAAAAAATAAAGCAAGGTTTCTCTAGGTTTATGGAAAATCTGAGCTATGATTGAGTGTGGACCAAAAACTCCTTGAATATGTGATAAGTTAAAGAGACGTGTTCACTTATTCAAAATCCTGAAAGAAATAGATACTTAACACATACAGTAAGAAAGCTAGAAGCAGATTTTGCTGAATGTGATTTTACAATAAAATGTGGTTATGGATGTTTGAAGCTAACTACTTTGTTGTAGAAAGGCATTAATAAAGGTATTAACTGTGATATTTAAAAAATGGCTTGGTCCTTGGATCAAATAGGTCCAAGAAACCAAATGAGCAAGACTGACAGAATGGTGGACTTTGACAGAATGGACTTTTTTGTTCTTGTGATGTTGTGCTAAACGGTTCAAAGTTGGGTTCTCTTGATGGATGTGTTTTTAATTGCTTACTATAAATATGAAAGTTTTTTATGAACATTGGATGTAATATTTTATCTTCCCTCAGAAATGTGGCTTGGTTCTAAGTTGGAAGAGAGTTCAAGGTGCTTCTGGAAAACTCCAAGGTAAAAACAAAACAGGTACAACACTTCTAACATTTTTTTCAGCCTTCCTGAATGAAGCTGATGTGATGAAAGCTTAAAGTCACTAACTTTCAACCTGTCCTTGACTGGGTATGGCCAGTGTGAGATTGAATTTGAGTATGTTGCTTCAATTCTTTTTTTTTTTTGGCAATGGGGTAAAACACACCCTTGCAGGTTTGGGGCTTCCTTGCAACCATCTGATGGAATGTTTATGGAAATTCAAATAATATTTTCTAACAAAACAGTCACATTAAAATTAATTTTGAGTTTCAGTGCTTTGAAATAAAAATATCAGAACAAAATTTCAATGTAGAATTTGTAATTCGGTAATTCAGTAAAATGAGAGAATTGGTCAAGGGTCTGAATACTTTTGCAAGGCACTGTATTATTAAAACCTAATAAAAGCAAAAACTGAAACTTTTATAACTTAGTACAGGATAACATGCTTTATAAGTGTGGGATTCATTGTAAATTTCAGAATTGCTAATGTCATTTTGAAGTGTCTTCCCTTTGGGGTAAAGCAAAGACAGATCACTATGGGTTTTTTAAAGCACTTCCTCAGGACAAATGTTCATGGCTTTTTGCAATGGGATGTTAATGAACTAAAATGGATCAGCTTAAAGGTTGTGTGTGTATAGGATAGATGTGTAAACACATCTTAAGCTGGCGTGGTTGGGAGGGAGTATGGGTATATAACAAACTTTTGCTGTATAGCTGTAGACCTCTGATTAGTGTGAAGTGTTTGCAGTTAATTCTTTGTCATCAATAAGGTTTTGTTTGAATGCTTTTGTATAGGTATTTGTTTTTCCACCCCCCTTTCCATGGAAAATAGGTTTTGAATTTGCTTGCTTTTTGAATTTCATGGCTCAGTTTTAGTACTATTTTGAATTTATTATATATACACCTTAATCTTTAGTTTGGAAACTTTAGAGCGGTTCTGGGACACCTTCTCTCTGTACTGCTTATCAAAGAGTCATTCTTGTGCTTCCACAGAACACTGAGGTAGTTTTGCTGCCAGTTTCTTCACCATTTTGTGTTTTCCCTGCCCAGCTTTTGGATTCTGTGAGTACAAGGAGCCCGAGTCAACATTGCGTGCTCTGCGTCTGCTCCATGAGCTGCAGATCGGCGACAAGAAACTACTGGTGAAGGTAGATGCCAAAACTAAAGCCCAGCTGGATGAGTGGAAGGCCAAGAAAAGAAATTCCAATGGGGTATGTACAGCAGCCTTTAACTGGTGTCCTTAAAAACTCTGGGTAAATTGGGTAGATAACTTAAGGCAGTATTTATCTGCATTTTCTTTATCTTTTTTTGCTTACTGAAAAATTAGGATCAAGCTTCAAAGGAAATCAGATTTATAGGTAAAGTTCTAAGAAGAAAGTTTCTTCACATTGCTTTCATTAGCAATAAGATGTTCTTTGCTGAAGTTGTTTTCTGTAATGTTTATCATATTTTATCAGCAAATAGAGGAATAAGTGGTTTACAGTCAACAATGAAAATGTAACAAGAATAAAATAATAGCTGCCAAAGGTTTCTTGAACAGAAGACTCAGATCCATCTTAGCAACCAGTGGTTCTGTTAACCATTTGGACAGTATCTGTTATTTTGCAGTCCTGTAAAGTTTATCTACAACTAAAAATGGGTTAGACATTTATGTTGATATATTCTCTAGGACTCATTTCAGAGCTGTGTTACCCTGGTCTTTTTAATTTAAAGTATGGGGTGTTAAACTAGCAGGATAGTTTAGTTAAAGTTTGAGCCTGATTTGATAACATGAAAAGGTGTGTATAAGTATATTTAACATTTTCATCTACCTTTTTTTCTGCATAATAGATCAAATTAAATCATGTTTTTAGAAATTGAAAATGGAACTAACAGTATTTACTTGTGACTCAAAAAAAATGGTGGGAGACCAACATATTTAGTTTTTTAGACTGCTACAAGGAAGTCAGCTTTTACGGATTAATGAGATTGGTTAACGTGGCAGCATGCAATTGCGCAGAATGCCAAGCCGGGCGACAATGCAGATGAGGAGGAGGAGCTGGATGAGGAGACGAAGCGGCGGGATCAGATTGTGAAGGGGGCCATCGAGGGGCTGATCCGCGAGTACTCCAGCGAGCTCAATGCACCCTCCCAAGAAGCAGATACCCACCACAGGAAAAAGAAGAAGGAAAAAAAGGAAGATGTGTGTGATTAATTTTTTCCTGTTCCAAGTTTCTCCCAACTTATAGGAGCATACAGTGAATACCGTTGAAGCAGAAATCACTGGTTGTGATACTTTTAAGTGTGAATACTTTTAATTTTTAATAGTTAATTGGCTTATCTGAACTTAGTTTTCTGTTGCTTCAATACCATTTCAAATTCTTATTGGCATGGAAGTTGTCAACAGCAACTATGCAACTGACTAATCCAGTAGTGTATTAAAAATGATAAACAGCTTATACAGGTCTATAAAATAATACATTAACAAGCGCTGTAATAAACTAAACTGTTTTCAAGAAGCATTCTTTCTTAAATTTGTACTGGGGATTTTCAGTCAACTTTAGTGGCAAAAAATAAACTAATTTTTTCCTGGATCAAGATCAGTATTTTAGTAAATGATTTCAAAAAATGAACTGAGGCAAAATAAAATGAAAGGAAAAATGTTTTATTAATTAACAGGAGATTCCGAACAGATTAAAAATCTACACTATTTTGTTTAAAGTGCTTTATGTTGAGATTTTCTTAAAAAGGATATATGTCATAGTTTTCAGTAATATTTTGAATTGCCATACCATAATTTATCACCTGGAGGATGGAAAGCAGTTAATGAGAATATAACAATCTATATAAACAGAACCATGGAGAAGTATTAAATAATTGAAGGTGGCACATTTTAATGTTGCTTTTGAATTTTGAAATTTACTTAGTGGAAGAAGATAATTTGTTTGCTGTTTAATTTCAAGTCTATATTGGACTTCTCTGGTATACATTTTCATAATTTTATTCACATTGCAATGCAAATTTATAATGCAAATATGATGCCTTTGAGGTAATAGCTTTTCATCTAATAGAGATGCAGTGATGACAGTGGTGTTCTACAGAGAGACAAACACTAAGAGCAAACAGTAGTGTCTAAAAACTATAAAAATAAAGGCTACCTCGATTGTAATTTAAATCTTGAACAGTAGTTTAACAGTAGCAGACAGAACAAACACTTGACTAATGTTAAGCGTAGCCCTTTTAACATCTTTTTATTTCCAACAGGAAGATATAAATGCAATAGAAATGGAAGAAGACAAAAGAGACCTGATTTCGAGAGAGATCAGTAAATTCAGAGATACACACAAGGTAACTCTTATTTCATATTTTAATAGCTTAGCCCTGGAAGGCAATGAAAATTCAGCTGCCGAGTTGTAATTTACACAGAAGGTTAATGTAAATGTAGCAACATTATGAATAAAGGAATGTTGAAGTAAACCGTAGTAAAACTCATAATCTGGCTGATAATTCAACTGAAAGATTGTAATGTAGAAAATGTGGCTTTGCATAATGTGGAGTGGAGAAAAGCTTTCCTTTTCTTAGCTTGAAAGTGCTGCCGATCATCTTCAGCAAACATTGAGAAGACAATCTTTGCCCTGACGTTGCATCATGCAGGTGTAGTTCAGGAATTCTGTTTAAGGGTTAGATCTGTTCATCTCTGCCTAAATTTGCATCACCTTTCTTGTCTATCAAAATTTATACTACAAGTTTGGGTTGTTGACCTTGTAACACCGTCCTTTATGCACAAGAAACTGAAGTGACAGCTTTGTTTTACATGCATTGGTTTTATTCTATAAGGCCTGAAAACCTGAACAGATGGTGCTGAAGGCCCTGTTTATCATTCAGTACTTGTGAAATCTCACTGAAGGAAAAGTGTTATAAAGTTAGGCTTCCCTATGCTTTATATTTGACTAATAGGGAACATTATGTAACTCTGTAAGGGGAAGGCATCATTAACCACACATAAAATGCATGGACATAATGTAAAATTCCCTTAAAGCTAATCTATTCATTAAACCCCACCATTATGATAGAGATCATATGGTGACTAAAGCAAGATGAAACTCAGAGCTTTGGAAAAAGTTACAAGGATAGGATGTAAGTATGAGCTTTCATTTCTATTTTACAACTCTTGGGCGCCCCCTTCAGGAGGATTTGCAAAGGGGCAACTGGCTTTCACCGTAAAATCTCTTATGTGGTTATCTTGTTTTACACGCAACATTATATCCAAATTCTAAATTTACTGGCCCTGCTTATAAGACAGAATAAATGGATACAAGAAACTTTAATTTGCACTGCCTGCTTTTGGCTGCTGTTTTCTATAACATACTAGTACAAGAAATTACTATGAATGTTAAACTTGGCATAAAGAATTCTGTTTACTGCACTACGTAAATACAGAAAGAAAGGAGACAGGAACAAAGCAAGGTCGTGGCGAAAAGCTTTTTAGTTTTAATACCTAAATACATTAAATCATTTTAAAATAAATTTCAATGGGCTCTCCTGTGACTACATCTCTGTATGCTTGTATATAAAGTGGTGGTTGAACAGTTGTTCTGCTTGACTTTTGACACATTTGAAAAAAATTAGCTTTTGTGCTCATGTTTAGCTCAGTGAACCTTTGCGTGTCTTACTGTAAAATTGTCAAGCCGAAAGTAGAAAGGCAAACAAAAACAATAACCACTGCAGTCATTCCGACTGTAGACTGTCCGTAGCAGGGGGCGTCCCTTTGCAGCACGCTGGTCTCTGAAGACTGTTTCAGGTAAGATTTCTGTTTTTGCCTGCTGCCTTTTCTTTCTTTTCATTCTTCCTTTTGCTGTTTTTTCTGATTTCACTCTTAAGTATGTTGAATATTTTTATTGCCAAGGGTGTTCCATGCACCACCTATAATTATTCCAGTTTAGATCTGAGGAAGGTGTCTGATTGGTGCTTAGTTTTTCAAAAAAAGTGCGCCTGGAAAATACATTAGAGATTCAGTCCTTTTGAGCCATCAGTTTAATTTAAAATTGCTGCAAATACAATTTTAATAGCAACTAATATTTTAATAGAAAATACATTTTTCTTAAGTTGTTAGTCGTTGTCAACTGTTAAAATAACAAAAACCCTGAGTATAGCTTGGGGTGGAAATGGTTACATGACATTCCATGTAAATATTAGTTTAGTTTCAGTGTACATTGTATATGACTGCAGGAGCTTTCTGCATAGGAGACCTATCAGTAGTGTCTTACAAGTTTTCAGCATCTACGTATGTTGCCTAGAAACCCACCGAAATTAACTGTAACTGGATAACTGAAATTTTCTTGAATTTGTTTTAATTCTTAGTGTTTTACTTTCATTCCTATATAATTTAAATAATGTTTTGTAAAACCTTATTTTCAGCTGTTTTAGTCTTTTTTTGACTGAGGGGGGGTGTCAGACATTCATAAAATATTGGTATAAAAGGAAATTAACTAGTCATAAATCCAGAAATATGAGTTTCACATTCACATTTTTCCCCAATGAAGAAAGTTGCTGTGACTTTTCAGTTTTGAGAAATGAACTTTCTAAAGATGCTTGAAAATATCACTTACATTACTCATTTATTTTGTACATAAAGGTTAAATGACCATAGAGTAACATTACATATTATGTATGCATCTTGTTGATTTTAACTTTTTTATCAGATCTTCTGTTAGAGGATTTAGATTACTAGGTAGTTTTGTAGAGGTCTTAGTTTGCAACAAGTATTGAGTTAAACTATCTTTACAAATATAAAACATTCACTGTTAATTACTGCAGAAAAGCTACTACAAATTTAAGGACTATATCACTGGGTCTTGAAAGATCACTTTAGAATTTTTAAAACATGTAATTATAATATAATTACATTTCTAAAATATGAATACAATTATAATTACATTATTATAATTGATATTTATAAAACTCTCTGCAGAAGTGCTGTAATTAGTCTCTTGATCACACTGCAAGTTTTAAGTAGTCCTTCCTCGGGCTTAAGTGCCAATTCATGCTATGCAGCCTGTGTCAGCCTGTGACAAGAAAAAACAGCTGCAGGTTCTTTGTTTATAGAGCCGATACATTATATTAATGTTTAAGTATATACATTGAGTTAGTCATAGGCCTCATTAAAGTAAATGTTTTTCGACATACCCTAAGGTAAGTCTAACAAATTAATATTCAGACAGTATTCAAATCAGTATTCAGACAGCATTCAGCTGTTGCTGAAAGTTTTTAGGGTCCGATTATAAACTCTGGTGTCTGCCCTTCCTCCATACTACACACTGAGTTCTAGTTTTTGACAATTGGTTTTACCCATTACTTTTCTTTTGTCTTTTTATCCTCTCTCATCTGCTTTTTCTGTGGCATCTGTATACCCAGCATTCAAATTTTAATTTGATTTATCTGCTGTTTAGTTTCAGATCTTTTAATTTGAGAAGTGACTACTCTGAGAACCATAATTTGTTTTAACTTCTGTAGTGATTTAGGTATAGAAGTTCTTACCAGCTCTGCATCAGAATATTAACTTTTTCTTCTGTTCCTTTTCCCATTGAGCTCCCAATAAGATGAGAAATTCTTTAAGAATCTTTTAAATGGTATTGTCACATTATCATTGAACGTACATAGAATCTGTAGCAGATCTTAGCTGTATTACAGAGATAATCAGTACATGCTTACTCAAAACAGCATTTAGATTTCTGATATTTTAATCAGGAGTTTGAAATGACCAAAATATGAGGATATTAAAATATTAAAGTATGAAAGTGTGCTGCTTTAAGCTTAAATGTTGGGTATATTGTTGGCTTATCTGGGAGTACTGTTATTATTGCTTGTTGGTGAGAACAAGCCACAGCGATCCTTAAGAAGACTACACTCGGGTAAGATGGCTTCTATGATTTAATTTCTTTTGCAAAACTTTAAAAGTTGCGTTTTCATATGTAAATCTGTTTTGTGTATTTCGAAAAGGTTGTTTTGGAAATGTATTTGAGGATAACTATTAAATGCATATACATGTTGGTATTAGGGATGCTTAGTACAAAGTCACGTATTATCTGTGAACCATTTTACTTGCTTTTCCTCCCAGACCTAGCTTATAGGCATTGTAATCGCTGTGCTGCCGATGAAAACCATAGCACAACACCTGTAAGTCAAAATCAAACAGTTGCTTCCAAAGGATGGATATGTACTTTTTTGTAAGCGAAAAGAAAAATATTTTACACAGCTTTGTTGAAGTTCACAATACAAGTGTATGTATTAAAAACAACAACATTTTTAATGCAATGTGTTTAAAATGTAGAACACGGGTACTTTTTTGAAGTGGTTTCCAGCCTCAACATTTTAATTTATATTAATTTTAAGGTTAGAACATTTTTTTTCTTGACTTCGTTAGATGAAAATTAGAAAGGTGCTACTTTTGAACACATTCCAGTTGATATGACACCGAAGGCGCAGTGTTTGAGCAGTAGATCTAAAAGTTTCATGCTACAGTAGCATTCTTGCTTCTGGATAAGCGTCTATCTTGATAAATATATTTTTTGTGTCCTACCCACAACTTCTGCTGTTTAGGTATGATGCAAGTGCAACACTAATCTTTACTAATGTAATTTCCTTAAAACTGTGGATGACTTTTCTGGCAACAGCATGTGCAGTAGCCAATACAGAAACAAGTTCATATGCAATGTTGAATGCACAATTAATTCACATAAACTGTTTCATTAGTCATTTAGAGTATCATTGCATCTAAATGAGTTGCTTTTGTTATCTTCTAATGCGAGGGGATTGGAAGGGTATCATTAAGAATAACCCTGTTTAATTTTACATTAACTGATTTTTAACATTTTGGTAAGGGTAGAACACATTAATAAACACTTAGTAGTTTGTAAAACATGCATTTTCAATTTTAATAACATTGTGATACAAAAACAGATTTTAAAGCCATGCTTAATTTCTGACACTTGACTTGAGTTTTAGTGATGTAGTTCTAAAACTTAAAATAGGGTTAGGAAAGGAGACTGTAAACCACTTGCATTACGTGTTTAGTTATGCTTCTTTTGCACGTTAATTTTGTGAGTTGTGTTCCATTTGGTGAGTTTCTTAACGGTTGTCACCAGACTAACAGCAGCTTTGTCTTCTTTTTGTCTGTGGACCTGTAGAAGCTGGAAGAAGAGAAGGGGAAGAAGGAAAAGGAGCGTCAGGAAATTGAAAGAGAGAGACGGGAGAGGGAGAAGGAGCGAGAACGGGAGAGAGAGCGACGGGACCGCGAAAGGGAGAAGGAACGGGAGAGAGAGAGGGAGAAGGAAAGAGAAAAAGAACGAGAGAGAGAACGGGAGAGAGATCGGGACCGGGAGAGGACAAAGGACAAGGAGAGGGAGAGAGAACGAGAGAAAGAACGGAGCCGCGACCGAAGCAAGGATCGCAGTAGATCTCGGTATGTGGCCACTGCAGTGCTTCACTCAAGGCATATATACCTCTTAGGTTTATGTATTATAAAAAAAAGTATACAAATTTGGCTCTACAGGTTCTTGCTAAGTAGGTATGTTATGTAAAATATGACTAAAAAACGTTGATGTAAGTGGCTCCTCGACAGAGAAAAGAGCCGTGACAGAGAGAAAGACAAGAAGCGAGACCGGGAAGAGGATGAAGAGGAAGCATATGAGCGAAGGAAGCTGGAAAGGAAATTACGCGAGAAAGAAGCAGCTTATCAAGAGGTATGAGTCGAGGCTGTGTCTGGGAAGCCGTAGTCATGGAATATAATGGAAAAGTTGAATTTAAGGAAAAAGTCTGTCATATAATGAAAAGAAGTTCTAATATCTGTTAGTGATGCAGAATCTCAGAGTTGTATTTTAATACACTCCTATGTGTTGGTGAGAGAAGTAGTAGTAGTACTGTTAGAAGAACTTATGAAATCTCCAATTTGTTTAATAATTAGCTCTGTTTTGAGAATACAATCTAAGTTTGTACTTTACGGTTTCTTAAGCGACTGAAAAACTGGGAAATCAGAGAGAGAAAGAAAGCTCGTGAGTACGCGAAGGAAGCTGAGAGAGAGGAGGAGAGGAGACGAGAAACGGTGAGGAAAAAATAATTCATCTTTGGTTGGCCTTTGTAAGTATTTGCAGACCTCCCAAATATAACTTGACAGTTCAGTAAAGTATGAGAGTATAATGAAATATGCATTTACTTTTTTCACAAAATAACACTTCATAATTTTTTGGACAGCAGGTCTGGTGATGCTTCCTGCATAAAACATTTGAAGATAATGCACTTTATTTACTTAAAATATTCCAGTGATGAAAAACTTATAAGGTATTAATTTCCGTGAACATTAATTAGGGTTCCCACGGTTATGGAAATGGTAAAATATCCATTAAGTTTTGGGGAAAGTCATGGAATTTTTTTTAATTGACCCAAAATTATCATGACTGCATCATGTAACTTTGTTCATAATTTAGCAAACTTTTAAAAAGGTTGTGGCATTGTCGTTGCTGACATTGCACCTTATAGTGTTGCATCAGAGCCGTAAGCTAGCTTAGTGCCCATGTCAAAATGCCGGGTAAATGTGTTTTCAGTGACCTCTGGTTAGCATATGAAAAATACAAGGTATGGCTCCAAAAAGATGAAGACCCACAACATGCAAGAAAGAAGTAATGGAAAAGTTTTGTTGGTAAAAATGAGTGGGAACCCTGATTAATATTGATTCTTGTTTTATGAAACAAATGCATTCTTTTCATTGTCTAACTTTTTGTGTAACATTTGTAGGCAAAAGAAGCTAAAAGGTTGAAGGAATTCTTAGAAGACTATGACGATGACAGAGATGATCCCAAATATTACAGGTGAGTCTGAATACATCAGTGTGAAAGTAGGGCAAAGTTAAAAATACCAGGTTGTGAGATCTTACCTTTCTGAAATATAACTGAACAATTACATTGCCCTACATGTCTGGGGCATGTAAAATATAACATCTAACAGAGCAAACAAGTTTGTGTTTGGATTTCACAATGGTATATTTGTTAGCTTTCATGGGCTTGTCTGGCTTTTCTAAAATTACTGTATTGTGATGTTCTAAGCTTGGCAGGATGCTAAAGTAATGAAACTGATTAAATATATTTCCACCTCTGTCTATTGCCCTTTCCTCGTATAATGCCAGTTTTACCTTTGGAATCGGGTTTCCTCAGTGTTTGTGTATATATACGTTCCTTTGTATACTGCCCTTTTTATAAGATCACCCAGTCTTATTGTTGATGTCTCTTTTCCAGACTTAGAAGAGATTTTTTTATATCAACCCACATCTTGTAATGAACATTTTAGATCCTCACCCTGTAAGAGGTCTAAGCAGAGTTCTCCATACCCCATACTGCAAAATGGTGTTCAAGTCTTAATATAGATACTTTATTGTCCACTGCTGTGGATATTTCTTTGGCTTCTCCCATAGAAGCACAAAATACCTAAGCAAGACCTAAAAGTCACATGAAATCAGAACAGTATGTAATACAGTTGCAAGAAAAAGTTTGTGAACACTTTGGAATTACCTGTAGCTGCTGATGAGACTTGCACAATGGTTAAGAGGAATTTTAGACCATTCCTCCTTAGAAAACCTTTTCAGTTCATTGATATTACTTGGATTCCTGGAGCGAGCAGCTCTCTTCAGGTCATGCCACACCATCTTAATTGGGTTGAGGTCTGGACTCTGGCTTGGCCATTCCAGATGAATTTTCTTCTGTTCAAGCCATTCTGTTGTTGACTTACTCGTGTGTTTCGGGTCGTCTTGTTTGTATCACCCAACTTCTATTAAGCTTCAGGTGATGGACTGCTACTCTGACATTCTCCTGTAAAATTTGTTGAAACAATTTTGAATTCATTGTTCCCTCTATGATAGCACGCTGTCCCAGACCCTGGGGCAGAAAATCAGCCGCAAACCATGATGCTCCTTCCACCGTGCTTCACGGTTGGGATGAGGTTTTGGTGTTGGTGTGCAGTGCTTTTTTTCCTTCAAACATAACGCTGCGTGTTTCTGACAAAGAGTTCAACTTTAGTCTCATCCGTCCACAGAACATTGTCCCAGAAGCAATGTGGAACATCCAGGTGGTCTTTTGCAAACTTGAGACATGTAGTAATGTTTTTTTGGAGAGCAGTGGTTTCCTCCGTGGTGTCCTTCCATTGACACCATTCTTGTTCAGTGTTTTTCTTATAGTGGATATATGAACAGAGACATTGGCAAGTTCAAGAGGTTTCTACAGGTCCCTTGCTGTTACCCTAGGGTTCTTTTTCACCTCCTTTAGCATTGCACGCTGCGCTCTTGCTGTGATTTTTGCAGAATTCCCACTCCTAGGTAGAGAAGCAACAGTAGTGAATTTCTTCCATTTGTAGACAGTTTCTTACTGTGGATTGATGAATACTCGGGCCTTTAGAAATGCTTTTGTAGCCTTTTCCAGTTTTATTCATCTCTACAATTCTTCTAAGGTCTGGGCCATGGTTCACATTAACAGCTCTTTCTTGAGAAGAGCAGACTGTCAGTAACCATCCTTGTGTGCCTTTTTTATAGAGCAGGGCACTTCCAACCCACACCTCCAATCTCATCAGATTGATTGGAACACCTGACTCCAACCTCTTTCCAACCTAAACTGAGAATTTTTAAACAATGTGTTCAGTACTAACAAGAAGTACAATTGTTTATGAATTTAAGCAGTTTGTTTTTGTCTATTATTGTGACATTAGTTGAAGATCAGACCAAATTTTTATGAGTAATTGTTGCAGAAATCCAGGTAATTCCAAAGGGTTTTTCTTGCAACAGTAAATAAATGGATAAATAGGTAGTGGGGAGGCTACATACATTAATTGAGTAGTCGTATTGCAGAGGGGACAAAAGACTTCTTATAAATGTTTTATTTGAATTTGGCAACCTATGCCATCTTCCTGATGGGAGTATTATGAATTGAGAGTGGGTGTGTGGAATCAGCTGTGATGTTCCTGGCCAGTCTGAGAATTGTACTATGATATAAATTTCAGAGCAGGGGCTGCTGTTTCCCAATTATTTTTCCTGCCATTTTCACAATTCTGGACAGTTTGGTTACTTTTCAGCCCCAGGTTTTCATATCACACCGTCATGTTAAATGCCAAGATGCCCTCAACAAAGCTTTTAAATGCCATCTCTTGGACATCTTGAATAACATTAAAGTTCATGAGTCTTTAAATTAAAAACAGCTTTTGATTTGCTTTCTTAAAAAGTCTGTTCTCAGTGTAACTCAGCCTCTGTTTAATGTGTACTCAGATATTTAAAACTCTCCACAACCCCTACAGACTGACCATTGAGTACTATTGTTTGCAAAGATTGCCCTCCATCGGTTTTAGCATTGAAAAGAAGCTCTTTAGTCTTGGTCACATTTATTTCCATTTAACTGGATTGGCATCCGTTTTCAAGGATACTTTTTTTAAACTAAGTTTGCTTACCTAGAGGTTGGTCCTTTAAACAAAGCCCTAAAAGAACCACATTGCATATTTAATCAGACTGGCTGTGCCACTCTGAATCTGCATCTCATTAGTATATATTGAGAATAGAAGAGGTGACAGTACACAACCCTGGGAAACGCCGATATTCAACAGAAAAAAAAGTGTGCTAACACTGTTACCTGAAACACAATATGATACCCTGAAAAGCCAACAAGAGATGTACCTTGTCTTAAATAAGAGTATGCCTCAGGATTAAATCTCCCTTTCTAGAACATAGGTGCATGAAAGTGAATGAGATTCTGTGATCCTTTTCTGAAAATGCATCACCTACTAAGAGAGTGTTTTAGCCAGAGGATTCCACAAGAAAGGAGTTACCTAAAATTAAAGAATGGCAAGCTCTCTTAATGTTTGGACAGTCAGAATCTGGTCTCCATGATTGACCAGGACAAGGTTCCCTCAACTGGCACAAACTTAGAGCAAGATGGTGCTTTTGTCTCTTTTCTTCCCTCTTTCCTTTCCTTGGCTCTTATATGCTGTTTAATGAATGAAAGACTAACAAGAAGGTAATTAGAGTAAACCAGAAAGTTTCCTTTGTTTCTTTTTACCAGTGTATGAGCTCAGTTTCAACTGACCAAATGGCTCAGTTTCTCCTCATTGTAGTTCACAGAGTCTGAAAAAATGTTTTTCTGTCATGTAAACGTTCATCATATGAATGGCAAATGATGGATTTTACAGCCACTGCAACAATGGTACATTGTGGAATTTATAGATATATTGCCTTTGACAGTTAAAATTGTGAGATATTTAGTTTGTCCACCCATACTTCAGAACATTTATTGGTGTTTTGACATAGCAAGTACCTGTTATGCAAACAGTTTAAAACTATTATTGGTCTCTTCTGTGAAATATGCTGTGACCCATGCATTCAGGAGTAAAAGTGTGATGATGCATAGAGAAACCCTTGGTACCAGTTTTTATTAATTTTACCTTTGTGTACATAATGCATATGCCAAATTGGACTGGTATGTTAAAGCTTCTCAAATGTCTTACCACTGTTTCACGTGTGAACTGTGTGTTTGGTAGGATGAGCGAATAGATTGTTCAGCCTAATGGCAGATTTCACTGCATTAGGGGGAGTGAATAAAAATGTGAATGTTTTACTTTAATAATACTCGCATGTGGCTGACATCCAGGGGCAGTGCTCTCCAGAAGCGACTGCGAGACAGAGAGAAGGAGATGGAAGCAGATGAGCGAGACCGGAAGAGGGAGAAAGAGGAACTGGAGGAGATCAGGCAGCGGCTTCTGGCAGAGGGTCACCCAGATCCTGATGCTGAGCTGCAGAGGGTGAGACACTGTTATCTATGGATGCTGTAGGAATCGATCGAAAAATCCAGTTGTAAGTGTTAACTTCTAGTGAACTTGAAAACCACATAAAACACTTTTCCAAAATAACAGTATAGGGGTGTAACAAATATTGTGAAGATTTTTAATGTTTGTGGATGTAGTACAGAAGCCAAAGTAAGCCCAAGGAAAATGATTGGTTTTATTATAGATTTGTTTTGAGAGAAGATCCATAGAGGTGATGTATTTCCAAATATACAGTGCCTTGCGAAAGTATTCGGCCCCCTTGAACTTTTCAACCTTTTGCCACATTTCAGGCTTCAAACATAAAGATATAAATTTTTTATTTT